ACCCCCCCAGTTCACGTTTGCGCAAATGCGGAGAAGAACGACCCCAACTGACAGTCTCGGGTTTGTCAGACACACCCGTTCTCTGTTGATTTCGAGTGACCACAGCCTTTCTCCAATGAGCCGTTCCCCGCCGAGACACATGCATCGGCACGGGTGAGCACATGGGCCCCCTCGGGCATTGGTCCGCTGTATGATGACATGCAGTAAAGGGCCCAAGAGGGTAAAGCATGGGGGTCGCTGCCTTGGCCAGCTGCAGCACGGTGACATTGCGCGAGATGCGGGCACGCAGCTGCAAGTGCTCAAATGCGGCGACCTCACTCGTCGTCCGGTGCATTCAGGTCCACAGATAAGGCTGAGCGGGGGAGGAAGACGAGACGATTCCCCTTCGGTAGCGCCGGCAGTGTCGGGACCGTCTAGAGACTGCGTTGTTCGGAGTCAATGATGGTGACTCGCATGTTGCGTGCGTGGCGAGAGCTGTTTTGCCAACGAGGAGGTTGGGTAGGCTCAGCTCTCAAAGGGGTAGCAGTAGTACTGACACATCGGCCCAATACAGACCTGACGTTTGGCGAAGCCATTCCGAGGCCAGCTAGCCTTGCGTTGTCCGTTAGACAGCAGCAGCGCCACAATACCATGCTTTGGTGATTTGGTTGAAGATCGAACCCAAACGCCCTTGAAAACAGCTCAACCGCGAAGATGAATACTCAGTACCTAAAATGACTCCCAAGTACCGTAGCCTTGGTCTCGAAGAGAGATGTCAGATACGCAGGTATTGAAGGTACTCGCAGAATTCGGCATTCTATGCCGCCGAATGCTCAATGGCGGAATTCAACGAAGCCCTCCATGACGGCCAGCCAGTCTTGTAGCTTGCCAGAGCTAAAGGCCGAGGTGATGCCCGCGGGCGTGATGATACAACATCTATATCATCAGTTGTCCCCTGCCTCCCGGGTGTCCAACAACGGCAACCGATTGCTCAATACATTTCTGACTCGACAGCTGAAGCCAAGGCACTTCCGGCTACTCGATAAGACAACCGCAGAGCCTCGTTCCTGATTCGCACACAAGACGTCGTGATGTCTAAGACAATAGACAACACCTTCCAACTCTCCGGAGAAGGGTGAGTCAGAAACGGTGTGACAGCGAACTAGGGCTGACCGAGATGCAGTGAACCGACAGGCGGCACGGCGTACTCGCTGGAGCAGTACCTCAACAGCAACGGTGGGGTGACGGAGCGGTTGCTGAGAGAACTCAATGTCGTAGAGATTGTGGGCCGGGCGCAGGCTGTGAGGAGAGAGGCGGACAGGCTGGCGGGCAAGATTGTCCAGCCGTCACAGAGCTCAACCTGAACGGTCGACGTGATTATCTGTCGTGAAGAGGCGTTTGTTTATCCGAAGGCCGACTTTGTGTGCATCTCAGGAGTCAGGGGTTCAGGGGTTAAGGGGTGCGATGGGAACCTTGCCCTTCTCGAATGCGGAAATTGGGCCAAAAGCCTAACCAAGTCAATAATAACAGAAGAGTAAAAGGATAATAAGAATAAATAAAGAGAGAATATAAAAAGGCTAACAAGAACCAGGAAAGAAGAAACCAAGATAACGATAAGAAGAAGGTTAAAGAGAAAAACAAAAAAAAAAAAAATAAACAAAGATAAAGTGAAACGAAGATGAAAAGGAAGAGTAGTAAAACGATGATAAAAGAACGAAAGTAAAGTTAAAGATAAAATGGAGGAAAGTAAAACAACGATGAAAAGGTGGAATTTGAAAAAGAACATAGTGATATAAAACTCACCGCAGAATCGAAATCGAGCCAATCCGTGCTCTTCCACCTGTCCCAAAGTCGGGCGACAATAGGGGTAGCAGGCTCGACAGGAGTGTCGCTGTTGCGGCTTTGGTCCACCAGCGCCTGGCGAGTAATATCAGCTTCCCAATGAGCTCGGAGTGCATCTTCCAGCACCTGTTCGTCTGCCGAGTCGGGGTCGTCCTGAGGGCCCTCACTCTCTCCCTCGGCATCCTGTTCCCTGTCTGGGGTTGGCCCCTGTCGGGAGGCCTCTTCTCGCATCTCATCGAGAATGACGGCCCACGTGCGCGCCGGTGAGTATACGCTGGTGCTTTCACGAAACGCTCCAATGGCCTTTTGGGCCAGCTCGCTCAATTGAGCATCGGATCCATCCCTGTGGTTTGGGCAACCCCCGGCGAAAAACCTCTGCCGCTCCCGGACGCGTGGGATCAGATAGGTGATAGAAACAGGCGATGTACATGAGGTGGTGGGCATAGACCAGGGTGTGGAAATGACTCTTGTCTCGTTTAACCTGTTCACGAGCGAGATTCACCGTCATGGCGAGCGTGGCTCGAACGGCTTCAATCCAAGTCCGGATGGCGAAGTCAGCGGTTGGTTTCTCTCCGCGGTCTGCGGGGTATGGCGCCGTCAGGAACGGACGGTACACCAGAATCTGGGCGCGCCAGTAGGCCAAATGCAGCAATTGCTGCTGGCGGCGATAGGTCAAGCCGCGCAAGGAGGGTTTAATGCGGTCCATGAGGAAGGGCAGCTGGGCTTTCCAATCCTCGAGGGCTTTACCAAGCCGCAGGGCACACCCAAGCCTCTCATCCTCCGGTGTGTCGTCGAGCGTATAGACCTGGCGCTGAATCTTTTGTACAATTTTCCACAACCTAGCACATCTTTTTAGCCGACACACCAATCGACGGCTTTACGGAACTCTTTACTTGGCCTGTTCAACCAACACTTCGAGGTAGCAGTCACCTTTGTGCGGTCTGAAAGGGCCGTGGGGCCCCATGTCCTCGTCGTTTACACAGTCTGGCAATTCTTGGTCGACGGTATCAAGGTTAAAGTATGCCGGCCGACCTAACAACATGGCGAGCTGCTTGTCAATGACATAGGCGGACCGAAAGGTTCGCCTTTCACACTGAATCGACGCGTAGTCAGGGTGGGTGACGATTTCGCGGCCCAGTCCTCCGTTTCTGCCGCGTCGCCGGTGAAGACCGAAGGCAGTCAACATGTTGACGGCGTTGCCAGAGATGTACCAGGCTTGGCTCAGCCGGCATGTGCAAAGGAGATAGAAAACCTGGAGGAGACGGGCCTGCACGGAATGTAAAGTAGGTGGGCCGAGTTCTTGGTCTGTCAGCCTTATGGTGGCGGTGAAGAGGTCATCGCCGGTTCCGATAGTCCAGAGCCAGTTCCAACTCGCGTCCTTTCGGGTTTGGCGCCAGGGGCGGTAGTTGAACATGGTGCTGAGAGCCATGGTCATGATAGGTATGATGGCCTTCGCATGGCCGATGCCCGTCTCCAGCGGGTTGCCGTCATTCCAGTTCCGGAAAACAGCAAGCAGCCACCCCCAAGCGGTCGGACGGTGAAGGAAATGGAAGGTCTCGGTCCACCCCGTGGCGAACTTGTCTTGCATCAGGCGCCACATCTCTACTTCCGAGGGGAATACATTGGGCGCTGACGAGTGGAAGGGCTGGTCGCCAGAGTAAAGGACAAGGCGACCAGGCGAAGCTGGAGCCGAAGACGCTTGGTTAGTTCTTGCGAAAGCTTGTGCCGCCGAGATCTTGCGCCAGGCTTGTGGAGGAATGCGACGGGCGGCATTTCCTCCCCCGCGTACCTAGTTTGTAACTGAAGAGGCTCAACAAGCGGAGCGGGCCGTTCCAAGACAGAACCCTCGCCCCAGCCATCGGCCCCGTTTGGCTTCCCTTTGCAATCTCTGCAACTCCCACCTACGACTCAGTCAGCCAGCTGCAGGGAGAGAATATGGCCCGTGCATCCGCGCGGAAGGGAGCAACTGACCGCTTGGCATTATCTATCAACTGCTGGGGGGGTAGGTCTTCGCTGCGGTCGTGCAATACCCGAGGCTCTCTGCTGAGCGCGCCTAAGTCACAGTTAGCCGACAGATAGCCGATGGAACATAACAGGAAGAGCAAGAGAAGGCAAGAGGAAGAGCAAGAGGAAGAGGGGAACCAACCGCTTGAAGGTGCACTCCACCCTGTCTTGGAAGCAATACAAACAAGGCAGCTTGCCTTCACACGAAATCTTGTGGTGACGGCAGCGGTCGCAGGCGCGGTCGATCCAGCCTTTATCGCGATGCTCTTGGCCTTTCTCGTTGAAGGGCTTTGGCCAGTTTCGAGCGGACCAGTCGTCACCTTCGGGCGGCGGAGGGGGCGTCGTGGCAAGACCCTTGCGATAGGGTCTCTTATAGGTGCAAGTGAGACCTTCTTGGTGCCTGGGGATAGGGGATCAGCTTTTTGGTTAGCTGCCAGGACGGAACGACGGTGAATTACAGTTTGAAACATGGCTTGAAGCCGGAACATAGTTGGGGCTTGCGCTGGCACTGGTTACAGCAGCGTGTCACCCTCCGCTTTTGTTCCTTCCTCTTTGAAGAGGTGCGTCAGGCCCATCAGGTGCAGGGCGTTTGCCTGTGCCAGAGTTACTGGGAGAGGGCTCAGCCTCTGCGTCTGAAGGGGTCGTGAGAGCTACAGCTGCCAGAGAGGCGGAATTTGGGTTGGCATCGGCGGCTGGGAATGGGCTGCTACTGATGCTCGAACTGCCGGCACTGGTAGCTGAGGATGGGGTCCGTTTCGAGCTTGAAATGCAGGTATTGGTAGCTGAGGATGAGCTGCTCCTGCAGTTTGAGCTGCTGGCAGGGGGCCCGGCAGTGGCAGAAACTGCTGCTGCGTGAGTCGTTACAAGATGGGCACGGAGGATGAGTTCCTTCGACGCGACCACAATCAAGTGACCTGCAGCCGTGTCAGGTGAGCTGTTGTCAACGGCAGTGCGTTGATGAGCGGCTCGGTTCACGGTTGAGCACTCTTGACGCGTTGGTGATTGAGAGATAGGATGAAAATGCGGGCTGTGATTGGGTTTTCTGTCACAAACTCCCGTGTGGGTCTATTATCTACCCCAAAATGACAAGTCATATAAGGCTTGATAAGCTGAGAGAGGTCGGACAATTCATCAAGCGGATCTGGATGGCACTAGCAACCATCAATTCCCTTTTGTAGGTAAGATTTGTAGCATCGAACATAGTACATTAGGTTGGTGTTTGTGCCCCGAGAATCGGCGCTATCTGAATGAGGTTGAGCCGGAGGTTGGTTGCTGGACTCCCTGAGCAGTGTAAATCACGAGGTATGCCCGGTCTTTCCCTTCCATCGTCTCATTCATTTCACTTTCCCAGTTGCCAGCTAAACAGCCCAGACTGGCAATGACCCCCTCAATGTAAGGAACGTACTGTGTACTGTACTGTATGCCTAGTAATGTACGGATAAGGTAGGATTTGATCTTGCCAGTTTCAACCAAGGGTACGGCTGACGTCACACCACCCCTGTCTCCCGCCCCAGATCTATCGATCGGTCCAGAATCCGATCACATGCGGGGTCGGGTATGTGTACACAGAAGGTAGACCTCGCCTTTTGGTTTTGCCGCGCCAGGTCACCTCGTCTTGAGGACAACTGTAACCAGGAGTCTAGTGCCACTCCATTGTTAATAGCCATACGCTCAGCATTTCCTCCACCATCCTTCCCCGACCACTTCTACGTCCTGCCACAATGGCTCCCAAGACGATCCGGCTCGGGACCGCTTCCCCTGGAACGCAGGCTAACACAGCTGAAACCCTGACCCAGCTCGAGCAGCTCGCTCGGCGAGCCGCGTCGAAGAAAGTTGACATTCTCCTTCTGCCAGAAGCTTACATTGGCGGCTATCCCCGCGGCACTCACTTTGGATGTGTCATTGGCTCCCGATCTCAGGAAGGCCGCGATGAGTACCTGAGCTATTTCCAGAGTGCCGTGGACCTCGGTGACACTGTCGGGGATGGTGCCGGTGCTGGGCAGGCGTGGGTGGACAGGCAGCTGCCGAGTGATATGGTCGCTGGCTCCGAGGGCGAGAAGGATGTCCCCAACAGGCGGGGCGATGGCACGCGGGAAGTGTTGGAGAGAATCGCGTTGGAGACTGGAGTGTTTATCGTCACAGGCCTGATCGAGAAAGCCGGAGGTAGTCTTTATTGCTCAGTCGTCTATGTGTGCCCGAAGAGGGGCATCATCGGCAAGCGAAGGAAGGTCATGCCTGTAAGCCCGCCTTTCTCCCATGAAGCATCACCGTACTTTAACAATACAATCCAGACCGGAACAGAGAGGCTAATTTGGGCCCAAGGCTCGCCCGCCACTCTCCGCGCGGTGTCGACAACCATAAGGGGTATTCGCATCAACCTAGCAGCAGCCATCTGCTGGGAGAACTACATGCCCCTGGTCCGGCAAGCCCTCTACGCCCAGAACATCAACCTCTACCTGGCTCCGACCGCAGACGGCCGTGACACTTGGCTGTCCTTGCTCCGCACAACGGCCATCGAAGGCCGCTGCTTCGTCGTCAGCTCCAACATGTGCGTGCGCAATACACCCACAACCTCACCAGCGACAAACGGCAACACCATCCACCCTGAAAACGGAACCCTACGCGACGGGTCCCCCTTCACCCACAGCGGCACGCACCACCGCCGCCACTCCGTTCTTGACGAAAACGGCAACGAGATTGTGCTCCCCTGTTCCCCGCCTCCACGCACCACCTCCCGCGGCCGAACAAGACGCCAATCCGTCTTTGACGAGGACGGCAACGAGATCGTCCTGTGCTGTGGGAAACGACAGGACGACAAACCGGCCACTACTACTTCAGCCGGCACTACCACCACCACCTCCACCCCGCCAGTAACAAACACAACAGCATCAACGAACACAGCAGCAGGGAAAGAGTCAAGAACGCCTGGTTTTGTCTCTCGAGGCGGATCCGTAATTGTTGGCCCAATGGGCGACGTCCTAACAGGACCGCAATGGGAAGACGACTCAGGAATCATCTTCGCAGACGTCGACTTCGAGGACTGCATTCGAGGCAGGCTCGACCTGGACACGGCAGGGAGCTACTCGCGCAATGACTCGTTCCGGTTCGAGGTCAGGGGTTTGGACCTTTCGCCACTTCCTTACTGAGTTTTCCCAATATTTGGCTTGCAACGTGGGAGGCGATACATCGTGTGAAGGATGCGGGGATTAATCTTGAATTTCTGGAGTCGTGGTTGGCATATCATATGCGAGCAAGTAACTAGTTAGTGACAGGTTCCAGGTTGGCTCAGCAAGGCGCAAGACGGAGCGCGGAACAGAGCGTTGGGTATCGCAGATTGCATTGCATTGTGCTGGCTGTAGGAGGTAATGGCCAAAGGAACCTCGTATATGCATGCACAATGATGCTTGCGCGTCCGGAATCGTTGCTTTTGTTCTGAACCGTCTCATAGCCCCCTCATTAAACATCCCATCTGCCCATGCCCATGATAGACCTTGACCCCCAAAACCACCCAACGCCAGAGAGGATCCTACGATTCGACCCAGAGCCACCGTAAGCCAAGCCAGGAACCGTATCTCATCACTACCCAATCCCAACCCGGATAATCACACGCTCATCATTCCTTCTCCGTCTCAGTCTCCGCCTCCTTTTCATCTCCATTACCACCCTCACCCTCGCTCTCCGACACCTCCCTCGGACTCGCGAGTGGACTCGTCCCCGACGCCGGCACGCCAAGCGCGCCACCACCGATGCTCCCACTCACACTATCCGCCCGTCCATGACTTAACAAGCCACTTCTCACACTCGCCGCATCCCCCCCGCCCACACCCCCACCGCCAAACCCCTGCTTGGCATAGAAACTATTCCTATCGCTCCCCGCAGCCGTTCCATAGATACCCGTAACAGAGTAAATACTCGTCCTTTCGTTCGCGATGCTTGCGCCGCGGTGTAGACCCGGGGTCGTCGGACCACCAGCAGCTGTTGTTGTACCGTCCATGTTGGCCGAGAGCACGCTGAGCGGCAGCGACTCGCGGCTGCCGCCCCACAGGGAGGAGGGCGCCAGGGCGCGGGTTGAGGCGTCCTCGTCGAGGGAGCCGCGGCGGCGGTGGCGTTTCGAGGAGGACGCGAGGGTCAGGATGGAGGCGTTGTCGGTCAAGATGTTGTTGGCGGTTGCCGAGTGGTAGGTGGCTAGGTGCGCGGGGATGGCAGATATCGGTCCGGCGTTGGAGGGGAAGGGCTGGTTGAAGTGGATTGCTTGTGAGTTGGGGTTGTGGTGGTTGGCGGTTGTGTGGTGGTTGTTGCTGCCGCCTGGGTTAGGCGTAATCGTTTGTATCGTGGTCAGAGTCGTGGTCAGCGATCGGACTGATGGTGCCGGGGAAGAGAAGGTGCTGTCGCCGCCTCGTCTGCCGGTCACGGTGCGGCTGGCGGTGGCGAGTGACGACTCTCCGTATGAAGGGGCGACGGTTGATACTGTCGGCGCTATTGAGCGTCCACCCATGGTTGGGGGCGGATGCTCGTCGCTCGATATCCTGACAGAATCGGAGCGCTCCAGAGATGCGGTGCTTTCCCTTCGCCGGCTTCGGACGGGAGATACTGAGTAGCGGCTGTGGTGCGGAGACTCATCGATTGCGACGCGGCCCGACAGAGGATACGGATTGTTCTGTTGCTTTTTTGCCCCGTTTCGTTTCGAGCTAGAATGACGGCTTCCGTCTCCTGAAGATGTTGCCTTAAGGTTCGCTAATTTCTTCATCAATGCCGAGAAGGGTCGCCGACGGCCCAAACGCCCTGCAAAGTCCATGGTGTCAGCGGCTTTGAACTGGACCCGAGGCGAAGTGTGGTATTTGCGGGGCAAGAAACAGAGACACATTGATGCCAGAATACGGGACGTGGAAGTATGCGCCAACCAGAGAAGAATGTGCTATGGAAACCTAAGAAGCAAGGAAAGAGGTGACAGTAAGTACCATGTGGTTGGGCGGCAGCTTCGGTCATAGCCATGATACGGGCTCGAGCGAGGGAGTGTCTTGAACAGCAGTGGTTGATCGACAAGGCAGTCAAAGCGATGCAAGCGCAAGGGTTGCGGTGTGAATGGCGTGAAAAGTGCTGCAGAGGAGCAGTGGTCTGGTGTCAGAGCGCGGCTTCACAATCCAAGGAGAAAGGCTTGGGCAGGGCTGTAGGTGATGGTGGCAATTGTTGCCGTAGGTTCGTTAGATTATCGAGGGATATGCAGTCGGCTGGAAGTAAGGTATTCGAAGTGAAGATTCCAAGCTCTTCAGGGCAATCACTAGAAGGTCGCAGGTGACGGTGCTCGGCGCGACTCAGGAACAACAGTGGGTGGAATGTTGGGTTGAATTGTGAGGATGCAAGTCATGGCTGCGACGGGACGAGCGACAGGGTGTTGTTGTGGTCTTGGCTTAAGGCCCAGATTCTCGGCAAAGACCTCACGTGCGACGCTTGCTCTGGTGGGCCCGTTCTCATCCAAATTCCCCGGTTGGAGCCAGCAGTTCAACTTCGGTTGGACCGGCCCGATGTGGAGCAACCGCATCCACGCACATGGCGACACACCATCGGCCCAGTGGCATCGAGATTGCATTGCTGCGACCCAAGAGATTATTTGCTTGTCTGAGAATCAAATGTTTTGATAGCTTCGGTCTACATCCTGGATTATATGAGCCATACCGGCCAAATTCACCATACCCCATGACAAACAGACGATGGTGAAGCACAACCTGGAGCTTTTTGGCCATCGACTACCACTTGCTCAGAAACCCCCTTGCCGATCGAGATGCGCGCAAAGCAAGCAACATGTCAATACAGCCGCTTCCGGGGAACGTCGCTGCACAGATCCGGTCTTCGTCAACCATTACATCGCTGAACGGCACAGTATGCGGCCTGCTTCAGAACTCGCTAGACGCAGGGGCATCCAGAATCAACATCTCTGTTGATTATAGCCGCGGAAACTGCTCAGTTGAAGACAACGGGCTTGGCATTGCTCCGGCAAGTTTCCGGGATGATGGGGGATTGGGCAGGCTTCACTGTGAGTCTTTTTCACAGACCGAGTGCGGTGCTTGTTGTTGACAACCACCCGTAGACACCTCCAAGTATCCGCCTCGGCATGAATGTCATGGAAAACGTGGAGAGTTCCTGGCTTGCTTAGCAGCACTCTCATTGCTTTCCATCGCATCACACCACCGTGACTACCGGACCCACAACTCTCTTACCATCCACAACTCCAGGGTAGTCGCACGCTGTCTCCCAGCGCCGCCCGAGCAACGTGTGTTGGCCTCCACGAGCGGAACTCGGGTTGTTGTCCGGGATTTGTTTGGCTCCATGCCTGTACGTGTGAAGCAAAGGGCTACCGAAGTGGATCGCTTTGGGACGGCCCGAGAGTTCGAACAATTGATCTTCAACATTGTTGCTCTTCTCCTCCCCTGGCCAGGCGAAGTGGTAGTCTCCGTTCGGGACTCGTACGCGCGAAGGACCTTGTTCCTCTCGGTATCCGGAGCTGTGGATCGGAGTCGGAGCTATCAAGACATCGCTCCTATCTTCCTCTCACGGGTGAGCACACTGCTTCCTCAGGCTTCTATTGTGGAGAATGAGGATATGGAATCCTGGGTGCCGATTGGGGCCACGGCTACTCGCGTTTCGGTCAGGGGTTGTGTATCCCTACGGCCTGCTGCCACCAAGCGCGTGCAATTCATTGCGATTGGGATTCAGCCCTTGCTGAATGAACACCACTCTAATCTGTTATACGAAGACGTCAACCGCGTCTTTGAAAACTCCAGCTTTGGCATCGTTGAAGAAGCCAGTCTCGACCCGGACGACAGGCCACCCAAAACCCAAGGGCTCACTGGCACAGAGCTGAAACCCAGGAGGGGCATCGATCGATGGCCAATGTTCTTCCTTCAGATCATCCTGAGTACAAGAACGGACTCGATTGATCTTGAAGAGGTCCTCGACCAGAGGCAGCAAACTGTGGCGATCATCACAGATCTTCTTCAGGTCATGGTATACGAGTTCCTAAAGAAGCATCATTTACGACCAAGATCCGTCACGGCTGTAGAGCGACTCAGAAAGCCAAAGAGCAGTTTGCCAACTCCTCCTTCCCAATCACTAGGCGTCTCGGGACCTTCAACGGGTGGATCAGGTGCGACTGTCAAACGGTCTCGGTCCAGGCAAGACCTTTCCGAACCGACCTCTTTGCCGAACTCCAGAGGCCATGCTTCCGGAAAACGATCAGCCTCCCCCTTCGCTTCTTGGTCCAGAACAAAGTCAAGCCTACAACAAGATCGGGGAACGAAGGACAAGCTGCTCTTCCCTGCTATACCCCAACAAACAGGCCGCTTCTCTTTGACGTCAGACATGAGTTCAAGGACTGTACATCCGCTGTTTGACAAGTCTGGAGGTCTCTTGCGGAAGCCGTTTGACGATATGGACGATGTACCGGCTACCTGTGAAAACGAGATACCAGACAACCCAACCCGTGCCGCAGAACCTCCGGCGGAGAAGGAGAGCGTGAGAGAGACAGTCGTATGGGTCGACCCTAATACCAAGATTAAGTCGCTGATCGACCCACGAACAGGGGTTGCAGTCAAACCTCGCACCGGCGACGAGGATCAACCCATCACTAAGGCAACGAGGCACCAAGGACCTTCAAATGTCTCTCAACTGCATCAATGGAGACCGAATGTTGGTGGCGAGAAGACAATGATATTCCAAGCGACGGAAGCGCGGATTCCCCAAACCCTTCCAGCATCGGACACTTTCTGCTGTGACCACGGCAGCATAAACCTCGAGTTTCAGGGCATAGGAGGTCCTGCAATACAGTCTTCCGGCAACAACCTGTTAGCGACACTCGAAGGCCGAATCTCCAAGAAGGCTCTGCAGAAAGCCGAGATTGTGGCTCAGGTAGACAAGAAGTTCATCTTGGCCAGGGTCGCTGCGGAGCTTCCTCTGGGTTCAACCAAGCATGTCACCGAGACTGACTGCATGCTCATTCTCATCGACCAGCATGCGGCTGATGAGAGATGCAAGGTTGAGAGTCTGCTGCAGGCCTATTTCGGCCCGGACACGGCGGGAGGCGGGCAATTGGTTGCGCAGACCCAGATTCTCGATAAGCCTCTCCGCTTTGACCTCTCAAGGCAGGACGGCGAGCTTCTTACCCGCTTCAGGCGGCATTTCGCGCACTGGGGTATCACATACGAGTTCCCCAAGTTACAAGAACCGGGCTTCCAGACAGGCGTGATGGTGGAAATTCAGGGATTACCTCCTAGTATCCTCGAAAGGTGTCGCCTCGAACCACGGCTACTCATCAACCTGCTCCGGAAAGAGATCTGGAAGCTGCACGCCGCGGGAAGTAGCGGCGCTATGAGCTCACTGCGCGTCGATACCGGGGAGAGCTGGGTCGCGAGGTTCCATGATTGCCCGGAGGGCATCTTGGAATTGATCAACTCCAGAGCCTGTAGGAGTAAGTGTCTCTTCGTATGGACCGAGAAGGTTACAAATTAACGTTCCAGGTGCAATCATGTTCAACGACCCGTTGACAACCCAACAGTGCTCGGATCTCGTTCAGCGCCTGGCCTCTTGTGCATTTCCGTTCCAGTGTGCTCATGGGCGACCGTCTATGGTACCGTTAGTGCATCTTGGTCAGGGGAGCACACTCATGCGGAGGGCCATGGAACGGGAGGGTACCGATGCCACCGGAGATTTGCTGGGGGCGCTGAAGAGATGGAAACGGGAATCAAGATAAAATAAACCTGTTAAAGGCTTGGAGTGTCAATAGGCACCACCTATACGTTCAATCCTGTTGCCTCTGGTTGTGGAATTTTCGAGGACTGTTCATGCCGTGGGTGGGTAGCTCTACAGAACCTATACCTAGGCAATCAGGGTTAGGGTCATCCCATGGTCTGCACAGACCACTCAACAAGCTGCTGGGAGCTTGAGCTCCACCATATCAAGCAACCAGCAAGGTTCCCGCATCCTCTGTCCGTCAACAACTTGCCCGGCGCAACATTCCTGACATTCACCATTGCCCCAACACACAAGCCACAAGCTCAACGGCAATTCGGCAACGAAGATGCAACCATGGCGTTAACAGTGCGTCCATTTCCCTTCAAATCACTTCCCTCGTCTACCCCCTCCCCTTCCTCCAGTCCCTGCATCAACCTCGCCAACCCATTCGAACTCGTGACCTGACGACAAACAGTGGCGATCCTTCGACTTCTTTGACGCAACCCAGATCGAACTAGCCAGCGACGACGAACACAACACGCGCGCCGCCTTTGAGAGCAACGACATCTCGTCCGTCTGCTCCGGCTCCGACAGCCTCTTCCTGGGGGGCCATGACGGTACCGTGCGCATCGTCGGCCCCAGCTGGAAGGTCGTGCGCAGTTTCCCTGCCTTTGACGAACATGCAGGCGTGGGCGGGGGCGGGAGGAGCATCACGCATATGCGCCAAGTTGAAGGGACGAGTTTGTTAGTCACCGTTGCGGTACGTACCTCACTTCGTGTTATGGGGGCGCTGGGGCGCGGAGACAAAAAAGGGGGATTATGTGCTAATGGGTTACGCAGGAAGCTGTTGGTGGTGCCGCGGGCGGCGACGCGAATGCGCAGCCTGTGTTGAAGGTCTGGGCGCTGGACAAGCCCATCAAAAAGACGGGGATTCCAACCTGTTTGAGCACGGTCGCGATCAACAATGGGAAGAAGCCCTTTCCGGTAAGCAAGCATTGCGTTCGCTTGGCTGGCGCTCGATGGGATGGAGACTGACGGGCAAAGATATCGGCCTTTGCGGTAACCGAGGACCTGACGCAGGTTGCGGTTGGGTTCGCCAACGGCGCCGTCACCGTCATCCGCGGCGACCTGGTCAACGACCTTGGCACGAAACAGCGCATCATCTACGAGTCGGACGAGCCCATCACCGGCGTGGAACTGCATGTCGACGCCGGATTGACCGCGCTGTTCGTTGCGACGACATCGCGAATACTGAAGCTAGTCATCTCGGGAAAGGGGCATGGGCAGCCGCCCAAAACGGTCGAGGATACGGGCTGCGGCGTTGGCTGCATGGCCGTAGACAAGAAGACGGGGAATATTGTCATCGCCAGGGAGGATGCCATCTACTACTACACGCTCGACGGCAGGGGTGCGCCAACCGCATACGAGGCTCCGAAGAAGCTGATTTCGGTCTACCAAGACTACATTGCCTTGGTATCTCCGCCAACGCCGGCAGGGGAGGCGGACACAATAAGACGGCGGTTCTGGGGTGCTTCGGCCGACAGCATCTACACCTTCACCTTGATACATCCGGACCTCCGGATCATCGCGCACAGCGAGACGGTGCTATCGGACGTGAAGCACATCTTCCAGTTGTGGGGTGACCTGTACATGCTCACACAGGAGGGCAAGGTTTGTGATGTCTGTTAGTTTTGAGAAGATCCAGCTGACCACGTCAGGTTTTTCGATATCACGAGAAATCGCTTCAACAACGATTGGAGATGATGCACCAGCGGAACCTCTACACCCTTGCCGTCGACCTCGCACAAAGATGCGGCATGGATGCGCAACAGCAAAACGTCATCTACCGCAAGTACGGCGACTACCTCTACCAAAAGGGCGACTACGACGGCGCCATGAACCAGTACATCAAGGCCATTGACAGCACGGAGCCGTCGCAGGTGATCAGAAAGTTCTTGGACACACAGAGGATACACAACCTAATCGAGTATCTGGAGGAGCTCCATGAGCATCACAAGGCAACGTCAGACCACACCACGCTTCTTCTCAACTGCTATGCAAAGCTTAAAGATATTGATAAGCTGGAGAACTTCATCAAGTCACCGGGAGACCTCAAGTTCGACTTGGATACAGCCATTTCCATGTGTCGACAGGGTGGCTATTATGAGCAAGCCGCATACCTCGCCAAGAAGCATGGGGAGCATGACCTGGTTGTCGATATTCTGATCGAGGATTCCAAGGCCTACGATGAAGCACTCGACTACATCTGGCGCTTGGACCCAGATACTGTAGGTTAACCCCTCGATCTTCCAGCGGTTCGTTCTAACAACCTAGGCGTATCCCTGTCTGATGAAATATGCCCGGGTCCTCATCGAGCACTGCCCCCCAGACGCGACACAATTTTTCATCGACTACTACACGGGACGGTTTAGGCCCAGGGTAGATCTCCCGGCGCCAAATGTCCAGCCTACCACCAACGGGGGGTTTGTCGTCGGGGCTGCCAATGCCGTCCAAAATCTCAGCCACTTATTACCCCTGCCTTACATGAACACGAGCGCGGTAACGCAACAGTCAGTCGCAGCTAAGCCAACAGTCGGCGATCTTGCCGTCAAGCAAGAAGCAGCAGCACCACCAGAATACACCCCACCACGCCCCCGGACGGCCTTCTCCTCCTTCATCGACCATCCTGACGAGTTCATTGTCTTTCTCGAAGCATGTCTTAAAGAGGACAGCATCTCCGACGTCGACCGGACAGATCTCTCCACAACACTATTCGAGATGTACCTCCACAAGTCCAACGAAAAGAAGGGCGACGACCAGCACCGCCAAGAGTGGGAACAACGTGCCAAAGCCCTGATCGACAGCAGAGCCCAACTCAGCACCGCTGCCACGACAAAACCGCAGATTGAAAACTCTAACGTCCTCCTCCTGTCCCACCTCTCCGACTTCCGCGATGGCACCACCCTGGTCAAGGAACAATCGGGCCTTCTCTTCGACATCTTCCGCTCCTACACGTCAGCCAAAGACACGCGCGGCGCCCTCAAAGCCTTGCGCAAATACGGCCCCGAAGAGCCCCAGCTCTACCCGGCCGCGCTGTCCTACCTCACCTCGGACCCCCGCGTTCTAGAAGAAGCTGGGCGGGACGAGCTTGCCGCCGTGCTCGAGCGCATCGATCGCGACGGCTTGATGGCGCCGCTGCAGGTGGTGCAGACGCTTTCCCAGAACAGCGTCGCCAGCATGGGCATGTTGAAGCCCTACCTCGCGCGCCGCATCGAGCGCGAGAGGAAGGAGATTGCTGAGAATCGGAGGCTGGCGGCGCAGTTCCGGGCCGAGACCGAGACGAAGAGGGCCGAGATTAGGGATTTGGGGACCAAGCCGGCTGTATTCCAGGCTACGCGATGTGCGCAGTGTATGGGCGGACTGGAGTTGCCGGCGGTGCATTTCTTGTGTAAGCACAGTTTTCATCAGAGGTGTTTGAGGGGTGGGGGAGGGGGTGGAGGGGGTACTGGTGAGGGGGATGAGTGCCCCGTCTGTGCGAGGGAAAATGCCACGATCAGAGCGCTCAAGAAGAGCCAGGAGGAGAATGCCGAGCGACATGAGCTGTTCAGAGATGATTTGGAGATGAGTGAGGATCGCTTTAGGACTATCTCGGAGTGGTTTGGACGGGGAGTGATGAGTGTGCCGAGTGTGGAGTGATGTGGAACTCCTAGGTGGGCGTCGGATGCATTATCGGGTCTTGTCTATGTATAGCTGGATGAATGGGGGTATCATAGATCAATGGTTTCTGTTGAGAAATCTGCCGACCGCTGTGTCGGAGATTGTCTGTACGACCGCGTCGGCCACTGCGCCTCCGCCGGCGTCTGTGAGGGTCTGGATGCCAAACATGTAATTCAACCACTCCCCAACGCCTTCCACGTCAACGGGAACCGGGCTGGCTTGCCTGAGAGCGCTCCGCCAGTCTTCGATGTAGTAGAGGCGCTGTTCGACCAGCGCGTTGCTTAGGACCACGTCCTGGCTGGCGTCATCCACAGAGTAGTGGTATTCGAGTCCGGCGAGATCAGCCGCCTGGATCTCTCCATGCCGGACAGTAAACTGTGCGCGGAACTGGGGCTGTCAGCAATCTGGTCGGGGCTGAAGTAAAAGGGATGTACTCTCACCTCCTCGGGTAACCTATGGGTTATCCCGGGTCGTTCCCTCGGGTCATCCTCTGTTGGATGCGTCGAAAACGTAAACAGCGGCGTCTGCCCAAAAATCCAATCAGGCGACGTCAGCTCTCTCAATCCCTTCACAACCTCCTCGTTCGCCAGCGCCTCCTCCTCGCCCACGACCACCTCCCTACCATCGGCATCCCCATACATCTTCCGAAACTCCCCGACCACCGCGTCCGCAAACTCGTCCCCGCCCAAACCCACATTCCGGATCGGACTCCTGACGCTCTCCACGCCGCGCGCCTTGATAAAACCCTCGGCAGGCGATCTCAGCAAGCCCCCCACCCGGCCCAAGTTCTCCGACGACAACAGACACGTCCCGTGGTGCAGCGAGCGCGTGCGCGTGAGCTTGTACGCCGACCCGGAGACCTTGAACGTTTCTACTCCGCCAACTTCCACGTCGAGGTCCATGACGATGTCATGCCGCTTGTTCACGCGCACTTTGCCTCCTCGGGCCGCGGCGCCAGCCAGCCCTCGGAGCGCGCGTACCACCATCTCGGCGTGCTTGTCCCGGTCAAAGGCCGGCGGCGGGCAGATGATGGACCAGTTCGCGTTGCCGGCGTCGTGGAAAACGGTGCCGCCCCCGGAGCGGCGGCGCACGAGGGCTATGGGGCCATTATTGCGCTTGTCTTCTTCTTCTTCTTTCGCCGTTGTCTGTGGTGATGGGTCTTGAGACTGAGGACTCGGTGCTGCTGCTGCTGATTGCGGTAGGCCCTGGCGCAGGGCGCGCAGGTTGACCTCGAGCCAGGGGTTCTGGTTGCGGCCGATGACGACGCTGGGGCGGTTGGTGTAGAGGAAGAGGACGGTCGATTCGGGGTGTGAGCGCTGCAGGAGGTGGTGCTCGATCGAGAGGTTGAGGTAGGGGTCTGTGGAACGGGAGCGGTAGATTTGCACGGGGCGGCCGAGGTTTTGGGTGTACGGCCGTACTTGGATTGGTACTGGTGATGATACAGAATGGAGACGAGATCTGGTTATATTGGGGGTCAGGTGTCGAGTGAGAGCCCCGAGGTGGCATAGGAGAGCCATTGGCTCTGATTTCATTTTGGGGGACAAGAATTATTGTCACTCCTCCATTTATTTTACTCCCTTTCGCGCTCAGGTTGAGTGATATTGGTACTCGTCAGCCTGATATCGAGCTTTCAGTAGATGCAGCTCACAAACCTGGATGATGTTGAAATGATATGCAGTGGAAGAGGCTTGAAATAAGTGGGGCCCCTGGACCCGGCTCGTCCCGCAGCTCCCTTGCGTTTGCGGTCCTCCACATTTTCTGCAATTCTGAAGTGGCACACCACCATCTTCGTTTGCGATGCCGGCCAAGCCCGACTGTCATGACTTTCATGCACTTATAGAAGCCGGTTGGAAGGTTAGTCAGTCGCAGCGCTGTCAGGAGCGGGCCACTCTCAGTTCTCCGCCTCGTGCTGTCGAGCGACTGGTCCAGCTTCGGCTATCTCGGCGATGTCTACAACAATTGCGCTTGAAGCTGTGGGATGAATAAGGTTTCCAAAACAGGGCAAGAATTTTTGTTTGTCTTTGATAGGAGCTCGGGGACCGCGGTGCTAACATTATGTACGCAGCAGAGAATACTGAACCATCAAGTTCCTCCGCCGACCTACGGCGGCGAGCTTGCCATCAACCAGTTCGTAAAAGAGCATTGTCATAGCCCGTTTGTGGCTCCGATCTATGGCAGCTTCAAGTTCTTGCATCAGCCAGCATAAGCCGGCCCAAATTTGACCACGTTGGCGTGGTATCGGCGACCCCGGTCAGAGGAGGAAATGTCCATGAGCCTGTGCCTGAGTTAACGCTCCTGCACTTTATGCCTTGGGCATTAGTCAGCTCATATTAGCTCTCTTCGAATCATCTATAGTGTGAGTATGTTAGGGGCTGGATGGCGCGCCAATGCCGATTTGACTCTCTCCCGTTGTACACGATCAACTTGGTAACCGTGACCCCGACACGCAAAGTTGAATCATGCCTGAGGCACTTTTAGTCTGTGCCGTAAGTATCAAGCTGCACCTTCCATCACCTGCACCAGGGAAGAGGAGGATGGACCAACACGATCGCCGAGGCTGAAGGCACGGCAAGGAGCATGGTGCTGGTCCTTACCGGTATCGAAACTACCTGAACTTGCCGAGAAATAAAGGTAACCTTGACAGGCTAGCGCCTCCTTTTCCGATCTCCTCCACGCGCTCTTACCTCAACTCGAACAACACTTTCACGTCCCAGAGCACCAACCCTCTCCCTGGCGCCTTTGGGCGAGCAGGAGAACATAGCATACGGGAAACGCCAACCGCTGCCGGGAGCCGCGAGCGTGTCACGAGAATGCTTGCTGTACGACTTCAACAGTCGGGAAACAAGGTGTGGCGTTTTGCCCTCCTTTCCTCACCTCTCGCCTCCTTGTCTCCTGCAAGATGTTGTGCAAGTCAAATGGGGACTTCGCCTTTTCCCAGGTCACTGGTCTTTGGGATCCCTTTGTGTAATGGCAATGGCGCGTGAAGACTGCGTTGTGTGACTCTATTTGAGACGGCTCTTGAGGGAACACGGTACGCAAGCAGCTGGGGAAGGGGGGAGAGGTGCTACGGCAGGGTGAATCAGTTTGTTCATATTTGATGGTTCGGGGTTTCCCCTGGACTAAGAAATCAGGGGCACCGGGGAGGCAGTTATGCGGACGAGCTGCTGATTCGAGATGGGGATTACACCACTCGAAGAGACAAGGTGGCAATACACAATAGGTACAATAAATAACTGCCTTGTTATTTGACTGGCTCTGGTACCTTGTTCTTAATGCCGGCATGACCTTAGATGGAGACATACCCAATCACGGTCTTCGAGGATTATTGCATCTGCAACACCCGTGGCCCCTACGGAAGGTATCGTTAGTGGCCCGTTCGCCGACTTAAGTTGTCCTCCGCTTAGTTACTGTTCGAGACGTTAGGTCGTTACACCTTGTTCTAGACCGGGTATGCAGTCTGAGAGACTCTGGTAAGCAGCCTCGAAACACTGCACAGCTTTCACAGAATGATCTCAAGGCACAACATGAGGCCGTCATCAAGATTAACGTGATGTTCACTGTACGCTCCAATCAACACTGTTTGACCGGTTCAAGAATTCCTCAACCAAACCTGGAAGCAATCAGTTTGAAACACGGAAGGCTACGGCGACTGTAAGCCACATCCGTGTCCTCGGCACTGGTGCGAAAGCGGTTGGCAGGATGCCGGCACTCGAAGAATCCACCGGGCGCGTGCATGCCGACAGCATGTGACGGAAACGAGGCTGCAAGTCCCTCTTCCTCAACCGGTCAGTTCCAGCATGAGACGACTCGGAACCCACCTGCCCAGGCTGCTAGCAACCCGATCTGAGGAGTTTCCCAAATACAAGGTAGCGCGGATCATTCTTCGTGGTGGTGTGGGATACAAGGAGACTCGAGATACCGAGTAAAGCCAGGCCATGGTCAGTCATCTCCGCATCTCAGGTGACACTCGAACTTTTCAAGCGGATAGTAACGCTATACAGCACACGTCCGCGCCTCTTAACGGACAAATTTCGAACCACAAAGCGGCTCCGTGCCGTGTTACTCGGTTCCAACTTGGCCTTATACTGAGCAATTTGCTGTCGCACTCCGGTGTATCGTATGTATTGTGCAACGCTCAAGAGCTGAGACCAAAGGCGCCAGCCAGCTGGGCTGACTTTGGGTTTGACTGACTTCAAGGACTCAATGCGACACGGTAGGAGAGATGAGAACTGTGCAACTATCCGTATGACCTCCCCTTCTGTGGTAAACAAGGTACGTGTGGGCTTGGAAACAAAATTCCCGTCGTCCTGGTCCGGCGCTGCCCGGCATGGACAGACAATCTTGCAGGCACGTACTGTGCAACTGCAGATTCGTTACGCAGTACGGAGTACGGATCCGTACTTGGTACCTGATTGATGCTGCAGCGTGTTCAGCCACAAGGTCGCAATGCAGCATGCACGTTGGCACTGATTCCAGACATCACCCCATTAATGGTGCCGCACGAAAGCAAAATGGTCCAGGGGAAGGCCGAACTAGTGAACTGAAATGGACATTGCATTGCATGTGATGCCAAGTTCGTTTCACGATAAGATGTCCCTGGTCATTTGATGGTCCGATCAATATGCCGCGACGTTGCGCTATAGTAAGTCGAATTGCCGTTCGTGGCGTTCAGCAATGCAGGATGCCTAGTTTGGGCTGATGGTGGGTGGTATTCAATCAAGTAGTGTTGTGGTAGGTCCATTGCGGCGGACAGCGGGCTGGGATTCTGAATCGGCTGTTTTGTTGGCCTCTGCCATATTGACTGACGGAATTGCAGTTGGTTCCGGCTCCAAAGAAAGGTAAGGCTCGGGGACCCGGGGAGGAACAGACAGTTGAATGGCGAATCGCCGACTGCCCCGACTTCCGATGTCGTCAGTTGTGGCGTGATTCTGGCCTTGATGGGCTTCTGGGATGAAAGAACACCGTTCGAGAATCGGCGTCCAATTCGCCTCCAACGTGGCTCGTCGAGGAGTCCAGTAGCATGGGCCCGGGTCGACACGGCCCGACGAATGTCGGAGTCGGGAATGAGAAGCAGGGAATCAAAGATCGTTTGACGGAGTTTGCCGTCGCTTTTGTCTGTCAAGCTGTTGGAATCCAAAGACGTGTGGACGTCAGGCGAGAACAAGGTGGCACATGTGGCCTTCCCGAACCGTTCTCCTCTGTCGGTTTGACAGTGTGACGCCATGCAAGACTGACTGCGTCTACAGTGCGAGGCGTACCAGCCTGCAGTGCTCTCACCCGCATCTGCATGCCATCGGCGGCCGAAATCGTTCCGAGTCGTTCGGCTTTGCCGACCGTCATCGGGCGTGGTGGTGCTTGTCCAGCTTGGTGGTGTGCTCGTCCATCAGCCTCTTGGCCAGCGCCACGATGGGGTTGTCCTTCGCGGTCTGCTCCATCAGCGCCGCCTGTTCACTCAGCGGTTTCTCCGCGAACAAGTCGCGGATCTTGCCCGATCCCGTCGCCGTCTGCACCACGGCAAGCGTCGTGGCGAAGTTGGTGCGCGCCGCGCCGCCAATCTGTATCGCGTCAAGCATCAGCAGCGCAAAGTTCTGACAGTTGTTGCTGATGAGGTTGTAGCTCGACTTTCTCTTCCGCATCCCGTATATGACCATCTCGCCCGCCTGCCGCAATGCTTCGTCGTTGAAGCGCGTCTCGCCCACCCGGAAAGTCCGCCATTCCTCGCGGTCGACTCGCCCATTGACGTAGATGATGTCGAGCCGCTCGTCCATCCATAGCTCGTGGCAGTACTCGCCGACCAGCACCGCCCTTAAGTTTTGCTGGTTAGCAACCGTGAGCGTTGAGGCTGTTCGTCGGATATTTGGCTATTTTTCCAAGAGAGATCAAGAAAGAGCAACGAACCAGTGCTGCGACGGATCCGGATAATGGTGCACCTTCTCGGTAATCCACGCGCCAACCTTAGTCCTTTCGGCAAACCACTTGCCGGCGAACCCGGCTACGGGGTGCCACCCGATCTTGACCGTCCTCGCAGGCCCGTTGGTGTCGGGCTCGGCGGGCGGAATGACATTGGGCTTGTGGCCCAATCCGAGTGAGTGCTCGAGCGCGATACGGCCCTTGAGGAGCTCATTTTTGCCGCGCGAGAGGCCCTCTTTGCTGGGAAGACAAAAGTCTCAGTCAGTCACTCCCATCCAGGTACTGAGACAGGCGGTAATGTCGCTTATGCCAAGACACTTACAAGAGTGACTTCATCTTTTTGCGCTTTGAGTAGTCTCCATTGTCGGAGCCGGTTTCCGAATCGCTCATCGTCGATGACTCCGCTTCCCTTCTGAGATCCGGGTTCGAAACAGCAGGAAATGGTGATTCATCAATCAGAGATCGGTAGCGCCTCAGAAGCTGAGGTTATCTCCAAATCATCAGCCCGGTTTCCCAAGCTTGCACATGTGTCCCACAGCGTACCCCCCCACTCGAGCAGAGCTGAGCCTGCATGGCTGTGCAGCTCTCGAACCCTTTCAGCATCGTACGGAGTATAACCCAGCGGTTGGCGCCAACAACTAATTCGGAGAGGAATGTGATTGAGGCATTTCGTGATTCATGCTCGATGACTGAGTTACCATTCATTAGCCCGCGTAGAAGATCGTCCCTGAGCGTAGGATGCCGCAGTTCAACTATCTATGAACAGGTTGCCCGGTATCTCTTGTAGCCGTTGGACAATACTTTCCGGGCTCGATTGAATCCAACAAAAGCCAGGCGCCTCCAGACATTACACAGTAATCCGTATGACAAGGAGAGCCACCGTTTCGGCGGCCGACTGTCGATCGGGAAACGAATCGTTCTCGGTGCTTTATCCGTACTCCATACAGCATGTGAACTGCCCCCTCAGGTTCGTGGCAACTACAGTAAGAGATCGCTTCTTTTTCTTCCCTCCTAGTAAGCGAGAGTCTCGGCACCTCGCAAACCGTGCCTCTAGAATAAATATACCGCATTGGCTCTAAAGCGGAGGGCCATGCTCTTCCAGAACAAATGTTCGCCAAGTGTTTAAGTCCTGCGTCGAAGCGCGCTGGAATCCTAACGGTCGTTCTTCGGAGTCAAGTCAGACGAACCGGGTGTCTGCACCAAAACATGTCAGATGCTGAGACACTGCCCTCGACCTGGTGGGTCATTTTTACGGAATGGTGGCTGGCTGGGCGTGACTGGCGACGTGTGATCGGACCATGACGTGTGATCGGACCAAAAGTTTGCAGCCATGTGCCCCTGTTCTCACTCCAACCGAGGACCGGGTCGCGAGCGGTGGCTATTGACAGCTCTGGAGTCTTTGTTTCCTAGGCTAAGTCTCTAGGCAGCGTAATTGTTATCATTGATTTGAAGAACAAATGAAAGATACGTCAAGAGACTCCAATAATCCCCCTACCGGAGTGATGAAGCAGGAGGATTGACGAGTTACAGTACCTCCACAAAACGGTCGAAATATATAACAACGGCTGGGAACGCTCGAGCACCATTCTATTGTTCGGATTCGGGAATGACCTGGTCAAGAGCAAGTGCACCTGAGCGGCCGAACCTCAACCCTGGATTGAGAAATGTGGAGGCGTGCTATTCCTTGGCCAATAGAAAACTGAGCTCTACACCACCTGCGTGGCGGAGACACGGCAGCAGGCCCGGAAAGGAAGGCCAGTCGCAAGCCCAGCGAGGAGACTCAGGAAGAGCTGCACTGCGGTACCGTGTAGCTTCACTGTCTGGCAAACCCTTCCCGCTGGGCCGGGAGGCTGTCTTGACCAATCAGTACCGCAACCGCCCCCTACCAGGCTTTTACTGGGCCCACAATATGCGACGACCCTCCTGCAGCCCTCACCCGGCGCACCGTGCAAATTCCCCGAGTTGTGACGATGCGCTCGCCTTGGACTGATCACAGCGACTGGGGGATTGGTCACTCCCCCATGCTCGCGCCGTGACATTGTGCCAGCCCTCATTTCGAATCCCTGGCCACCCGTCCTCTCTCCCTGTATCCGTCCTCTCTCATCACTCGCCCTTTTTGAGCTGCGACCCTACTACAATTTCCCTCCCTCAACCTCCACATCGTCTGAGTGCGAAGGAGCCGCGAGTTGAGGACGACGACAAGGTGCAGAGGGTGGAAGAACAAAAGTGCGGGAAACTGGGCTCGATCCGACAGCGGCAGAATTGCGGTACCGTCCCGGTGCACTGGCTGAGACGAACGACCCAGGGCCAGCGCTACCGACTCGCTGCCCACCCGTCCAATAACAACCCATCGAATCCCGACCGTGTCCCATCGCTTTGGTTTCTGGAACCGCCAGTCCTCCATCCGCACATTCACAATCTTCATCCGATTGTGATACAATTCAACCATTGTCTCCCCAATCCCGCCCGATTTGCACCCCGTTGCAGCAGATCGATCGACGAGCATTCATCGACTCGCCGAGGTAAAAACGTCAGTCATCGGCAAGATTATCCCCCACAAACCGGGTCGTGTATTCTTCCTGGTGGAGGTCTGGGTACAGTAGTGAGGGAGTTGCCGATTGTTGCTGGTTGGGCGTCCAGAGGATATCTGCGCTGTAACGACTCGCTGCGTCACGGCGCCAGTGGAAGAAGTGCTTTCGGTGGCTTGGAAACGGTATATTGGGACGAATTGCAATTGACGGGTTGAAACATATCCCCAACAATGGGCGCTCCGTTGCTCGCAGCGGCGCCTCATGCCATTCCGGCCCTCGAGACTCCCAATCACGCCATGGAGGCGGCCATCACCTCGAGAGACACCCAGGGCGGCCGGAGGCTGTGGTATCGCATGAAGGTCATTCAGCAGCCTGAGCGTGCCAGAGCATGTGGTTCTGGTCCCAAGTGTAAGCTAAGCTGGTATCTTTATGCCCCTCTGGCCCGACAACTAACAGTTTGCAGCGTCAGCCGATAGACGCCCCGTTGACCCGCCTCCCGTCGTGGAGCTGCGCATCTACGAAGGTCAAACTTGGGAGCAGGCACAGGACAAGGACATCACCTTTGTCTACAATGCCAACTTCTTCCTCTTTGCGACCCTGGAGCATGCTCGTGTTATCGCCCATGCGCGTGGCCAGCCCTCGACGAGTAACACGCCGCCGGTGCTCACGGGCATGCCGGTCTCGGGCATGGCGTATCTGGACCGACCCCAGGAGGCGGGCTACTTCCTGTTCCCGGATCTCTCGGTAAGACACGAGGGCCGCTACAAGTTGACTTTCAACCTGTACGAGGAGACCAAGGAGGACAAGGACAAGGACAAGGAGCGCGATGGCGAGAGCCAGCCGCTCATCACCGGCCTGAACCCTGCCACAGGAGGTTCTTTCGACTTTCGCATGGAGATCAAGTCGCAGGAATTTATTGTGTATAGTGCCAAGAAGTTCCCTGGTTTGGCCGAGAGCACAGCGCTCAGCCGTGTCGTTGCGGAACAAGGATGCCGTGTCCGCATCCGCCGTGATGTCAGGATGAGGCGCCGTGACGGCAAGGGTGCTGGCGACTACGAGAACGCCGAGGACGAGTACGCCCGCAGGAGGCGGACAGCCACGCCGGATAATCGCAACGACTACAACCGGTCCCGATCCATGAGCGGCAGCACAGAGCGCACGCCGTATTCCAACGACCCACAACGCCGGCCGTCGATTGCAGACTATCCGTCGCAGTATCCGCAGAACCCGCCGCCCGGCGGCCACCTGCACTTCTTGGGCGGTAACGCGAGCTCACAGTATCCCGCCGCCCCTCCACAGCCTTTTGCGCAGTCGTCATCAGTTCCTGCCTCGCCCGTGTACCCTCCGTCCCAGACAAATACCTACTCGCTGCAGTCCGCGTACCCGCCTCCACCGCCGCCGCCCGCACCGAAATCCCATAGCAGGGAGCGGACGCCTTCGCAGTCCGGATATGCCCCAATCAACCCGGCACCAACCCGCCGTGACAGCGTGCACGACTACCGCGCACCTGGTCCAGTACAGTTGCCACCCCTCAACGTTCCGCCATACCACCCTCCGACGCCTAAACAGTCGCACACGGCTCCGCCACCTCAGCAGCAACCGCACCACTACCAGCAGCAGCAGCACCACCACCAGGTCCTCCCGCCTCTGCAGATCGATAACGCAGTCCCTCCCCCTAGCGCGGCCCGCCTCCCGATTCCCAGCCCGACTGCCCTGGCCGCGGCGCCACGACCCCTTGTGCCGCTCGCGCCTCTCATCCACCCCACCAACAGCAGCAGCAGTATTGGTAATAGTGTCTCCAAGAGCGGTCCGCTCCACCCGACGAGCCTGCCGCCGCCAACGCAGTACGCGGGCACCAAGCGGGCGCACGACCAGAGCTTCCGCCATGAGCCGGAGCAGCCGCGGTTCCAGGACGGGGCGCGCGAAAGGGCGACGGTCGAGGATGCGGTCGGCATGGAGGACATGAACTGGTACTTCCACAGAGCGGACGGAACGCCGAAGGATGCGAGACTGTTGGGGCGTATCTAGAGAGGTCGGATGTGAGCGAGGTACTGCAGCGGCGGACTTTTTGAGGTTGCGAGGTTGGTTTTTGTATATATGGGGAAAAGAGGAGCGCGTTTCCTTTGGGGGGGGAAAGAGGGGAGTAGTTTCCTTCAGTTCCTGGCTTGTCGGCTTTGGCTGCGGTGGTCAATGGGCTCTACTCCCGTCGGAGGAGGCACTGGACACACACACTCTCTCTTCCCACCTTGGATTTTTTCCTTTTGCTTCACTGCGACATGTCGCTCCCGTTTTCCTTTCCCTTTTCATTTTTGGCTTCATAGTAGTTCCATCTATAAAGGAAGGGATCTGAGCTCGGCTGGATATGCTTGGACAAGACAAACGTGACAACATGTAGCAGACACAGATAACAGCAGGCTGGGTGAGCAGATGGACTACGCTTCTACTGAGCGGGAACTTAGTGGCATCCTAAACCCTGTTTGTTTGAATAGTACGGAAACTATATGGTATGGAATATAGGTTTATATCCGACACGACGATGGGATGCCATTATCATCTTCACAAGCTCCTCAAGCGATGGGCGGTGGAGTTGAAGAGTGTCCAGCTGTCTGCTTGATTGGCTGTACCTGTGGCGCAAGGGGGCCGTTGCGGTTGCCCGGTCGGCCAGCGACAGGGGGCGGAACTGGGCCCAATGTCAATAACCGCTTTACCCATCCGCCCTCGTTCGGTTCCCTTCTCGCATCTGCTGCACTTCACTTCAGAAGGGTCTTACACCATTGGGTATCAGACTTGCGGGAATTTGTTGGTGCCCAAGAGACAAGACTGCTGTTTTGGTCTTGCGGGCAACGAGTCCAGGTTAGGGGGCGCTGGTTGCATGGGTGCAACGACCGAGTAAACAAAACCCTCCAGTCGCCAAACCTCGATTTTGTGTCCGAGTCGATTCCCAGCAGCGCGGCACCTAACATTGACACACTCCCGAGACAAGGACAAGACACGCATTACAGCCTTACAACATTCCGGACACGCGGAAACAACCCCGTCGGAACTAGCAGCACATGCCTACCCGATCCGCGCATCCCCCGCCCAACAATAACCACAACGATGTCGTCGACAGCCTCCTTCCGACAGCGGCTCCAGATTCAGACAACAATGAGCCCTCGCCCCTGGCCAGGAGGCGGCGCTGTCTCCCCTGAGCAACAACAACACCGCAGCCCCGTCCCATCCCGCCCGCCTCTCTCCCCGCGCTGCTACTCCGCAACCGCAGTCACCGGGCAAAGCCGCTTCGTCGAGGGATCCATGAACGACCGCGTCTCAGCCGCGCCGCCGCCCGGTTTTTTGGGGCATGACGAGGATACTGGGGCTTGGGAGGTGCAGGGGCAGCAACAAGAAGGGGCTGGTGAGCAGGCGCGGGATAACGGCAGCAGTGCGAGGTATCATCTGAGGAGGCCTAGAAGCACGGCGGCGTGGGCGGTTGGTTCTTCTTCTTCAGGAATGGGCAATCAAGTGTCGAAGGAGCAGCAAGGACAGCAGCAGCAGCAGCGGCGGGGCGGGGTAACGAAAAAGAGCAGCTTTTTGGCGCCGCTTTGGGATGGCGTGAGGGAGAAGCTGCATCTGAGCAAGTCCAAGTCGTCAGGTAGTATTGGGCGGGTCGTGAACTCGGTTGTTAGCGGAGGGGCGAATGGTGGCGGGGAGGGGAGGATGGAGAAGGAGGGGGCTCCGGTGGGAGGAGCCGAGGACCGGGCGAAAATGCCGCCGCCATCGACAACCGCGGGGTATCCTAGCAGGGAGGAGGTGCTGGAGAGCTATAAGAACCTGGTTGCGTCGGGCTTCTTCGAGGCGCATGCTATTCGGGGAGGGCGACATCCGCCGCGGACGGGCGGGAATGGGCCGGCGCTGGAGCAAGGTAGGTCGTTTGTTGAGCATATGGGGACCATGTCCTCACCGGGTGCAAAGTCGTTTGCGGATCACATGGCCGCTCAACAGCAGCACAGGCCAGCGCTGCCCCTTTCATCCCCGACCCGGCCCCCTCCACCACCAAGAATCTCGTCGCAGGGGAAGTCGAACACTGCGCCTTCTCCGCAGCGCGGCACTAAGCGAGGTGCATCGATTGACTTGGCCGGGGACGCCGAGATGGTCACTCGCAAGCTCGTCAAGAAGCTGCGCTACTCGGCCTCGCGGCTGTCAATGGACCTGCCCATGGTGAGGGAGAAGCGCACCTCCCACTACTCCAGCTACGGCACCGTCAGGTCTCGCCCGTCGACATCCTCCAACGTGCCCGGCCCACTCTCGCCGACGTCTTCCGTCTTTAGCGGCATCACGCCCTCTTTGGCCCACCAGCCTCTCCCTACGGCAGATGATACGATGTCGACCCGCCACGGCAAGATAACCAAGCCCAAGGACGACCGTCCCCGCCGCATCCTGCGCCTCGGCCGGAGACAGCACCGGGCTCCGGAACCAGCAACAACCACGGATGCCGTTACCGACGACCCAGATGCCATGGTGATTGACGAGCCCACCACATCCACTATCGTCACCGAGCAACGTCACCCAAAGACTCAGCTTAGAAAGGTCACGCCGCCGCCAGCCGCATTCCGCAGTACGCACCACCACCCGCGCGGCGGGTTGCGCAGCAGCAGCACAAGCAGCAGCGTCATGAGCATCGACCGCGAGCACGACGAGCACGGTCAGGAGCCGCTGAGCATCGTGCCCGACCCGAACCAGGGGATCCCCTTTGTGCCGCGTATCCCAAAGGAGTTTTGCGAGGCCATGGCGGACTTGGTGCCGTCGGCATCGGCAGCGGTTGTGGTGGTGGTGCCGCCGGGAGAGACGATCGAGGATGGCATGGCCAAGAACGGGAATCGGGATTCGGGGCTGGGGGAGGAGGACGTGGAGAATCTGCCTGTTTGGGGATAGTCATGGCCTCGCTGGCTCTCCCCTCCCTTTTGGACCTCTCCTGACTCGGCTGTTTTTGACAAGCTGACTTACTCCTGCTTGGGTGTCGTCGACTCTTTGCTTGTGGAAAATGATGCGGGGTTGGCGGGTTACCACAACTGGATTTACTGGACGGTGTGGTGCTGGAGTGTTGGAGTGTTTTCGTTTTATCTCTTCTCTGTCCATTTTACTCTTCTCTTTTCTTTCACCGCGGCCGGATCAGGTAGGCAGAGAAATCCCCACCCAACAGTGTGGTTAGATGGATGCTCTCAGCTTTACCTGACCCGGTTTGATGACGCAGCTTTTACGATCTGACGAGGCCTCACGGAAAGGACCACACTACATACTACCTGACCGGGGCTTCTGTGGAGGGTACGGCGGGAGCACACAGTGGGACTGCACAAGAGACGAGTTGTATGTGGATTGGCCGCCAATACACATGTGTATAGATTGTCCGGGGACGACTTGTTTCGGGCGCTTTGTAGCTTCCTCCCGTGTCGTTAGCCAGGCATGCTCTGCGTTGGTTGGAGATTTTGTTTGGACTACGGTCAGGCTGACCGAATGTATTGATGGGGTGTGTTGGTCTCCCAAGAGGTGATGATAACGGGCTCGGGTGGCTGGTTATGCTTCTGGAATGTATGCGATAGTGCCCGTCTACTTCGCTACGCACGGGAGGATAGCTGTCAATACATGATGACCTTCTTCTTTGTGACGCGTGGTAGGATTCAAGTTGTGCTTGCTCAATGAGATTGAAATGGATGTTAGACATGTTCTTCCGAAATTCTACTCTCCCTCATAGAGACGTACAGTGGAAGCCGTGCGGAACTCTCCAGAACGGCGGGATTAACGATCTCCCGATTGACTGATCTGCTACGAGAGATAGGGAGCACGTGGGCCGAGATCTGGCCGAGCCTGAGTGGCGGTGTATGCATCGAGTGAGTGCATACGGTAGCTTCAGCGAGTTCGCTCCCAACCGCTCAACAATATCTCCAACGCCAGCCACCCTTCACCAAAACAATAAGCCAGCCCACCCACTGGCCACTAAGTTGAAATGGGCGGTGTGCCTAAGACCGATGCCGGCTTTCTCAATCAGGAAATGGACTGGCCCGACTTTCGACGTCTACTCGAGTACCGAGGAGGGCGGCGAGATCATGCGACGTAGCGAAGCCGCTCTCTTTGCGTCCATGGATCGCGAGGCTCAGACCAACAGCGAGCGGCACAGGCAGCGCACGGCAACATATCCTTGAGCCTCTACGACAAGGCGCTGGATTACCAGGGCCAGCTTACCGAAGAGGAGTGCCAGCTGTTCCTCCGCCGCGGCGACGTCCCGGACAAGGCGCTTGCCTATCCCGATATCCTGACCACCGACGAGATCCACGAGACTTGCGCATGGCCACCGCCCGACGTAGTGCGCGCCAACATCCAGCGCGCAACTGACGGCATGCTTAGCACGCCGGCTGAACTGTTCGCCAGAGCCAAGGACGTTCACGATCACGGCCGGTTCGACACTGACATCAGCGACGACAAGGCTTGTCTGATTTCTCAGAACTTCTATGCTGGAGACGACTATTTCCCGTCAAGGCGTATGGCGCCTCACGGTATCCCAAGGTATGGAGACATCGTCACATTACTATCGCGCCGCCTAGGGCGGGACATCACTGTCTTCAAAGCCTGCGGATCACGCTCAATATAACTTATGGAGCGCCTAAGGAATTGGGCCTCTCTGGCTCCGGCCTACCGCAACCATCTTCTACCGCTACAGCGACACCACAAGACCAAGCCAGCCAGGAGCAGGCCGCCTGTGAGTTCAACGACGCTTTGGCCTCTGTTCAAGAGCAGTACCGCCTCGACACTCTGTCCGAGAAGAATTCCTGGCCCGTATGCGCTGCATACTCGATGCTATGCGAGCTGCCTATCTCAGCCGTCGTATCCCACTTCCAAACCCCTACCCGTCCCCCCTGGCTTTCTCGCACCCGGTGTCCAGCCGCCCTCGCAATTCGACATGGGCGGCTCGGGAGCCTGGCCCGTCGCGTGCCCGTCTTTCGGCGGTTTCCACCTCTACAGCAGGACATCGGCCTCTCGGGCACCGGGTACGAGGCTGCTCCGGGCTGAGCGGCTCTGCCCAAAGACGGGAAGGAAACTTACCGTGCACGGGCCGAGGCGAGACGCCGCGAGGCCTGGGTCAATTTTTGAGAGGAGGCTCACCTCTAAGGATGCGAGCGGGGCAGAAGCCGGCTGCGGGTGTATCCCATCCAACCCGTTCCTTCCCTCCCAGCGTTCGAGGTGTTTCGCGACGAGCTCGTTGCGGGTGATGACGGGCTGAGCTTCGGGGAGGTGCTGACGAGGTGGGAAGCGTTGACTGACGATCAGAGGATGCAGTACGAAATACGGGCGTGGCATGCGAGGAAGGCAGGAGTGGCGGCGGCACAGTGAACCGGCCGGCCAGCGGAGTGACCACCGCCGTTGACCGTTAGGCTACTAAGAGTGGTCGGTGAAGTTTGGAGATGCAGACCTTCTACATCAACCACTTGTTGATGCTCCCCGGGCTAAGCCTTTTATCCGAGCTGTTGCTGTCTGTCACTCGATCCAAGTTCAGCGAGTCTATCAACGGGTCCAGCCATGACGATGGATGGCCGGTGCTTGTAAGGCACTGTGAATGGTGTCGTGCGAGGAGATGCTTATGACCTCTGACTCGTGGGACAGGTTGATGAAACCGAGCTTTGAGCGGCATGGATGGTTTGACATTATTTAGTCCAAAACGTGCTTCAAGATCCTCCACATCCATGTTGTTGACTTATTCCCAGGCTTGAGCATAAACACCAAGCCCATTATTTACAAGTAAGCAACGAAAAAAAGGGATCGACCAATCAAAGTAGCGGGATCACTGTAGACAGCTATACATAACATTTCCAGCTCAGCTCCCGGTCCCTGAAGGGATGCGTATATGCATGGGTTGCAGCATAGAATGTGCTGAAAGGGCTTCAATGGTATTACTGCGAACCTTTTGAAGCCAGCTGTCGAGGAGCTTATGGAAGGGCATCCCCTTTATCCCTGAATGAGTTGACATCAACGATGGGTTTGCGGGTACGGAGTGCTTGGTCCTTCGATCTCTCCACTACAGTACAGCCAGTGACTTTCAGGTTAATTCCCTGGTTCCATAGAGCATTCATTGAAGCAGGTGACCAAAACTCCGTCAAAACATCATCATGTAAGCGTCTAGTTCTATGAGGTTCCGTCTAGCTTTCATCATACATTCATGCCACCATATATACATATACTCGCAAGTGTATACCACCTGAACCGCATGCAGGGGCGGAGTGGCCTCATCAAGCACCGGAAGGAGCCTGACCAGAGCTGACCGTATCTGCAGTGCAAGCCCGGATGAAGCGGGCGAGGTGCACCATTGTCAATATCCTAAGAGAAGAGAAGTCCTGTCAGCCCGCCATTTCATCATCACTGGGAAAGTAGAGCGCGGGTGGCCGTGTCGTGGCAGCAGCAAAAGGGGCTCTGTTCTGCTTACCAGGCCACAGCACCAAGCGCAGCGCAGCCAGCGAGCGCACCGCCGATCTGGGCGCTCCAACTGATCCAGGCCGAGGCAGAGCTCGCGGACCACGCCCAGGCGGCAAGCCAAAAGATGACGGTGAGGCCGTAGCCAACGAGATAGACGATGCGGTAGAAGAACCGGGGCGCCGCGAATTCCAGCCCGATCGCGCTGCCATAGACGGCAAAACTCAGGATGGCCTGGAAGGGTCATGTCAGACCAGATCCCAATCACAGCAAGCCAAAGAAGGGGCCAAAGTATTGAGGAAACTCACGATGAAGTGATCCATACCGCCAGCAAAGCCGCCAGGATACCCGCCGTTATAGAGGGACATGGCCCAGGCGGCGAGCGCAATGACAATGACGGCGAGGACCAGGACGGCCACCTTGATGTACAGGAGCCAGTGAGGCTGCGGCGGCACGCCGACGGCGGTCAATCCTCGCATACCCATCGTTTAGAAGGAAAAAAAAACAGTCGGTGGTCCAGGAAACAGTAAGCGATCGAATGGTCTGTGTATCAACTCGGACGACGCGGCGACGACATGGAACTCAAGGAAATGGCCGAAAGATAAAGAACAAAGGAGGAAGTGCTCGGCTGAGCGAGGGAGATGTGCCTACGTCACTTTATTTTTTTCATGTTGTCGCACTGCTAACTCACATCTCGTACTTTGACGCGCAGTATGATCCTGATGGTCACCGTCAAGCCTCAAAGAGGATCAAACAAGATCGAATTGGGAAAAGCTTGCAGAGGGCTAAGTAATGCCAAGTCCGCGACTCCTCCGTCAGAGTCGCTTTGTGCCGGGACCCTGAAAAGGAAAACCAAGGCGTTGCCCTCGTATTGCGCCTTCCGAAGAATACAGCACACGTTAAGCGTCTTCGAATGCCCAGGAGCATAGCCTCAAGGCCGGGCTATTTGCAGACCTCCGCTGTCGCTAAGGCTCCCTGAATTTACGGGCTACCCACGACACCCCCGTGGTCAAAGGTGCAGCTGTTTACCCATGTTCTTTACCTCAATCACCAGCCGACGCTGTCTATCAACCCATATGCGAAAGGAAAAAATACCCATAATCGACAAAACAGGACGCTACATAATGCACATGGACGATCTCCTCTTGTCTAGCCCTGCTCCGATAATCCTGCGTATTCCATAATCAGATGTTCTCTGACAACAATGCCATCCAAAACCGAAGTACGGAAGGTAGGTAGGTGATCCCCTTGATCCACGCGCCGAGGCTCCCACAGATTGGGCCACTTCTCGACCAAGATGCCCTAAACCCATCGCAAAAAAAAACAAAACCGGATATGGTGCTCCCGTCCCCCCACGTATTAGCAGCCGAAAACATCAGAACAGAAACAGCCTACACCGGTACCGCAGTTACCCCCTCCGGAGCATCAGCAGCCGTAGGCTGCACCCCGGGGCGGACAGCCGCAGGCACCTCGACCTGCGCCTTGGGAGCCGGTGTGCGGGCCACCGTAACGAAGCCCGGCATGCCGTGGTAGACCATGGCACCGACCATGAGAATGAGCAGCGGAATCTGGCAGCAGCTGTTAGCAAAACCAATCCCCGAACGAAATACCCAAACAGAACCAGCGGAAAAGACATACCCAGATAAAGAACAAATTCCGATCCCAGCTCAACTTCTTCATCTTCTGCGCGTGCGCCCGCCGGAACGTCTGCTGCTGCTCCTGGGTAATAGCATCTTTGCGTCCGATTTGCAAGAGCGCGGGAATCTCCTGGCCCTCCGACTCGTCACAGTTTTCCTCCTCCAAAGTGGTACTAGCGCTCGCGGTCTTGACCACGGCAGTTCCGCCGCTTGTTATCGAGGCCAAACTCGCCTGGGCTTGGTCATGGTCAAAAAGCGCCGCGCACTTGGCGTCCGCCGCAGCGTCGGCGGCCGCTCGGGCGGCGGACGATAGTTTCGTGTCTAGGTCGTTGGCGCCTGGCTGCTGCTCGGGGAAGAGTTCGTCGTACGCGGGAGGAGGAGTTGCGGCCTTGTTGGAAAACGACGAGATGTATTGCCAGGCGTCCGGTAAAGGGGGCATGTTGGGCATCTGTGGGAAGTTGGGGAGTTGCGCGAACTGGGGAAACTGCGGTAGCTGGGGCAGTTGGGGAAGCTGAGGGAGTTGTGGCAGATTCTGCAGGTGCGGGCCCATCCTCTGTTGGAGCTGCTGGAACTGCGCGGCGACTTGGTCCTTGATGGCCGCCATGAGCGCGCCTGTGGCATCGGTCCCTCGTCGACGAGGACGAGACGGGCTCCTCGCCCGGGCAGGAGTATTGACAGCGCTCTTGCGACGCCGTACAAGAAGCTCAGTCTGATCGCCTGCTCCGGCTTCCTCCGAAAGGTCCGAAGAATATGCTTCAGAGTACTCTTCGGAGCTATCTGGTTCAGGTCCTGGGTCGTCGCTTGAACTGTCGGTGACCTCTTGAGCGACCGACGAATGCTCCCGTAAGGACTTGAGGCTCGCGACGCTGTTGATGCGACTATGCGAAGAGCTCTCGCTTTGCGATCTTCTGTGCTGCTCGAAGCGGTGAATTATACGTACAACCTCTTTGGACTTGGCGACGTCGGCAGCTGTCAGACCTGACAAGCTCCGCAGTGTCGGATCTGCTCCATGGGCAATCAATAGCCGGACAATTTCAGTGTGGTTGCTCATCGATGCCATGTGTAACGCTGTGTAACCGCCGTTGTCGCGTGGATCCGGATTGGCTCCTCGGGCTAGGAGACCGGCTACGAAGCGGTGCAGGCCCATCTTACAGGCCAGATGTAACATGGTCTGTCCGGTTACCCTCCTCCTAAGGTTGAGCCGTGGCTTCCGTGCGCTGTTGGCGAGGTCCATCAGTTCCATCAACTTGAGAAGGTGGCCCTCGAAATTCTCCCTGCCACGGTTGGAGGAGCCCTCAGTGCCTGACATGTCGGCTCCAGGTGAAGGATAGCCGCTAGATGACTCCTTGATAATCCGGCGGGCAAACTCGGCCGGGTCCTCATAGCCACCCGTCATTTTATTTCCGAGAATCATGAGGGCAGTCCGTAGAAGCTGTTGCTCGCTGTCATCCACGTATCGGAACCACTGAGGGGCGAGGTTCTGGCCCTTGATAGTGACGGGCACCATGCCCGCCGTCTCGGATGGGGGCAGCAGGCACACAAGAGACTCTGACGACCAGTACATGGTCCCTGGAGCCTGCTTGTCGCCAAACATAACCTGCATCCCAGCGTCGAATCCTTGGCCCATCAGCGTGACCTCGACACCGCCGGCGACAGGTCCTTCGCCGGGGATGACCTTGAAGATGGCCCTTTGTGTCGGGGTCTGTTGACTCCTCCCTTGGCCCGCCGCAGCATTCGACGCGGGTCGCGGGCCAGCTGGGTGGGCGGCAGGGATCTGCCGAGCTGACGAAGGCATACTAAACATGGACATGGACATGGCCAGATTTGCCAGGCTGGGAGTCCTGCTAGGGTTCGGCGAAAGCAGCTGGCCACTGTTGCCACTCGGCTGTGGGTCGCTTTCAAAGAAGTTCGCCGATGGCTCAGGCGCGCCAAATACTTGAAATCCGGCAGAAGGCGGAAACGATGGGGGAGGGGTCGGCGAAAAGGACGTGGCCGGCGTCGTCACTGCGGTATTCGCAGCAGGTTTCGGCATTCGTGGTGCAGACAAAAACGAGGTATCGAGCGGTGTCATGGCCAAATCATTGGGAATCTTGGTCATCGAGTGGTTTCCCCTTCGCCGTTTAGCTGGTCCACTAGGGAACGATGGCGACGCTGGGCGGGAGAGGTGCTGAGCGCCGAGGGCTGGTTGAAGTTCTTCGGCCGGCACTGCTGCGGCGGGTATTGCGCCCAACGAACTGCGTCTCGCAGCTTGCAGGTCCAGGCTGGGGGAAGACTCTAATGAAGTTCCAGGCCTCGGAATGCCCTGCGCGGTCATTTCTTCCCGCGGGCTCAGCATGGCGACTGGCACTCCAGGAACTGGCTTGATAACAGGGTTGGGGCTGGTTGTCTTGTGATCGTCGGTGATCATGATGGATTCCGACAGCGTCTGGGCGATCAGTTGGCCGAGATGGTTGGTCAGGGTGAAGATGATTTGGAATCCTTGCTTCTCGGCATGATGCCGGCAGTAACAGGCAATCCTCATGGGAGCCTCTATTTGCCATGCTCTTCGCGATCCAGTTTCGGGATGGTTCTGCAGTGCCCATTCCTTGACCTCGTGCGTGTTGAAGACAATCACTCGCCGGGCTTCATCCCTTCGCCAGGCCTCCTCATCTTGCGGATGCTTCGACTTTTTGCGCCCGGCCCGTTTCCGCTCCCTGCCAATGCAGTTCTCGCAAATTCGAACCTCGCCTCCCTCCTGCGTCTTGAGCTCCTCATGCTCCTCCTCAGTTTCTCCGCTCCCTTCCTTGTCCCGTAGGCCTGCCAGTTTCTGAGCTCGTTGCAGAGCCGCCGCCCTCTGCTGCTGAACCTGCATGGCACTCGTGCAAACTAGCATGGCGTGCAGCTCCAGCATATCGGGAGACGGCTGCGGAGGCGGTTTGGTCCAAAACTTTGGTTTGCTTATGGTATGTTTTGGAAGATGGACCTTGGTGACACCCGGTGGAAGCTGCGAAAGCCTCCACTTGACCGAGATTTGGGTCTCGACTCGGGATTTGGTGCTGCTAGCGCCCACTTCTAATGTGTATGGCCCGGGACCGTACTGATTATGCTCGACCGGAGGTTGCACGGGCATATGTGCATTACTTGGGAAGAACGGTCCTCCTGCGCCGAACTGGCCTGTGTTTGGGTAAATGGCATTCAAAAAGCCGGATAGGCCAGTGGATACATTTCCTTTCTCCTGTGGTCCGTGGAACTCGTAGTTCGGGGGCGCTGCTGGTTGGGAAGGTCGCAGGCACAGGGACGACGCTTCGTTTGCCGAGTTCGACTGTATTCCGGGCAGGTTAAAGGTGAACGGCTTCCGCCTGGTTAGCTTGCAACAAGCGGCCGGTGGTGCGGGCGACTCACTAAGAAACTGTCGTCACAAGGCGGCGGTGATGCCATGGTTGCCTCTGGTGAAAGAGTGGTAAGGGCAGAACCAAACGGGCTTGAGGTGTCCGTGGGACTCTGCACGCGTGACTGTGTCGAGGCAGGGCCATCAGGGTATTGGAATGGTCGGTCCATCATCGGGAGACCATTGGGGGCTGGCGCTCGCAACGAATCTGACATTATATCCCAACTGCTCTTTCCACTAGTGCCGATATCCATCCGCGAGTCTCCCGCCGTCATCCGGGTAAATGCCGTCGTGGACGTCGCCTTGGAGGATGTGGAGTCGAATGTCGACCCTTGTGGCCCGTCCATGGACCGTGAGCTGCTGCTTGCAAGGCCTAGGGCTTCTGAGGGAGAGCCACAGTCTTGCGGGGCGTGTGCCATAGCGCCAGAGCTGTGTGGGCGGTGAGAACGCGGACTTGTATCATCGGTATGGTGGAGGTCAGGAAGCGGGCTCCCTTCGTCGGAATCCATAAACTCGTTGGTAAACCGCGACTCGTCAATGAAATTCGCCATTTCAAATTCGAAGTCGCATACTGCTTGGTCGGCCATTTCGTCTGTCGAAGTGGCCGACTGCTGATCAGAGCGACGGATGGTGTGATGCAGGTTCGTTGAGTCGCAGGCAGCGGCGATGGGGACGAAGATGATAGGGAGAGAAAAGGAGATTGGGGCTCGATTACTGGGAATCGGTTGGCAACTGGCGCAGGTCAAATGGATAGTATGAATAAATGGCAGAGAAAGCGCCGAAGTAGGCAAGCGCTGAGCAAAGATGAACGAGAAGCGCGGTTTCTGTCTCCCCGAGCAGAGAAATTAGAGAGCAGCAATCTCGCTCACGTCAAAACTCAACGTTCCCAAGCAGGTGCCACGACGCAAACGACAGGACGAGCGAGATGGCCGAGGCGCAGCCATGAATGCCCCTGTCTTATGCAATTATCGGGGATTAGGGCGCCATAACGTGAATCCACCAAAGCGCTGGCAGTTCATCTCAACTTCAGCTCTTGAAATTTCGTCATAACTGCACGAATAAGTATTTGACCTTGTCGCTAGTTTAATCCGGAGCACTCTCAGTCGGCAGCAAGGTATCCGTGAATGCCAGTACATTCACCTCTGACGTTTAATCAGATCGAAGTATGCCGCACCACAGCCAGTGACCCAACTCTCATTCAAGACCTGTCAATAACTAGACATAGTGAAGGCCTTTCTCCCTTGCTACCGATGTAGCCGCAAGAACCATGGATTGGTTGAGTGCTTACGGCATGCATGGAATTGGATCGTGCATCTCGTTGAGAACTCGCCAAGTTGAATGTTGGGGTCGCACAAAGTATGCATTTCCAAGATGTAAGAAGCACGCTTATGCATTTGACACATTCTACGGAGTATACGCACCGCCTTCCCGATCTGCAATTCCCAGAGGATTGACCATATACTGGATTGAACATGTCACTTTCATCACAGCCATGATTGAGGGCCGGGCTGTATGCGTCTCACGCAGGTGAAGACATTGACGCCCGGCGGTTCCATTTGAACAGACCGACAAGCCACTTAACCCCGGCCGCCAGCGTGTCCCACAGGTGCTGGAAGAGCTTCAAGATGCCACCAAGGAAGGACGCGATGACGAACAAGACGACGAGAAAGAAAAAAACACTCGCCACGAACCACTTCACGCCCAGCGCGTTGGCGAGAACCTGCTGTTCCTCTGGAACCGCAAACAGTGCCTTTCAGGTCGATTAGCGTCTCAGCACCGATGAACAAGACAGGCCAATGGATGTTCCCTCACCGCTGACAGGCCTATTGGCAGGCACCCGATGGTGAGGTATGTGAGTTTCTGGATCGTTTTGTTCTGCCGGTATGAGTCTTGGCTGACGCGCAGGGCAAGGATGGCGGAAAGCTGCGAGAAATCTCAGCTTCTGGCCGGCCTCTGGGGTCCAACGGAGAGAGGCATTGCCGATCTGCCCCAAGGCCCCTAGCATGTGTTGTCGCTTACCGCACTGGAATACCGCATATTCAACTCTACCTGCCGTTCCATTCTGATCTGGAGGGCCGACAGGTCCGAGAAGTTCCGTTCGAGCTGCTCCAGGTGCGTGCGGCACATGTCGTCCAGCTCCTCGCTTCGCTTGTCGGGCCCCTGAACCAAAAACGGGTGTCAGCAGTGCCGAGATCGAGAGCAGCCCATTTGATTGAGCGGGCTGATAGTAACCTTACCTCCTGAATCTCCCTGTTCACGTCCGCTATTGCTAACTCGATGGTCCGTACCGACGTGGCCATGGTGTTGCTCATTTTGTAGAGGGCCTCGAGGCTCCAAAGACTCAGTCGCAGTTCAGCATCCCCATTGCGCTTTCGCAGAGTTTCCGACCTGTCTTCAAGATAGGTGGACGACTGCGTCACAAGGTCAAATCTGGCTATCGAATGGACCGTCGTTCCCAGAGGCTCTTCATTGGCAGACTCACAAACATCCTATCCAGGTTCATTTCCTCGAAGAACTCCTTGATGAGCTGGCGGTATTCGCGGGCCATTCTTTCGCACAGACAACCCAGAATGACAGCGAACACGAGAAACCTCCCGGTTTGTGGTTGATGTATGAAGCTGTCCCAGATGTCCTGTATTGTGTCGCCGAGCTCAATCAAGTCGGTTTCGTCTACCAGGTCGGTAATGACAGAACATTTGCTGAAATCGCCAAACTCGTTTGTCGAAATGCCAACCGACGAGACTTTGAGCTCAAAAATGGGAAGATCCTTTTCTCCGTCGTTCCCTTTTCCTGAGCCCCTATTGACGGCGGTCGCGTTCGCGCCCCCCAGACAGCTTTCATCCTGTATTGCCACTGCGTCTCGCTCAATTTTAACATGCTCGTTTGTGCGTTTTATCTTTTCTTCTCCCATGAGCCTTGGTTCCTCCTTTTTCCGAACCCGGTCAAGGGTCCCTTTCAGTTGTTCCGGGAATTCGATCTTGTCTTCTTCCATGTGGTGATGGGGCGGCAGAGCTGCAGTGCTGCGCGACCAGCTTCGCAATGTGATGTGGGCTACAACCCCATCAGTCGCATTCGGTCGTCCGAACCTGGACACCTTCATTACGTGGTTCTTGAAACCCTCGATCATCTCCGGATGGAGGACATAAAGCAGCAGCTTGAGAAGGCCCGGAGCTGGAATCTTGTACGAGGCGCGGACAAAGCTGATTAGGGACAGCCGTTAGTTTCTGACAGTACTGAAACGGTACGTATTTGTATCGGAAAGTGACCTACAGCAGTCGATGGCGAACCTCTTGATCGATTAGCTGTAAGAACGGCGTTGTTAGCAAGCGACCATGGTACATGGCCTCGATGGTGCCCATCTTGTGTCTGAACCTACGCTGTCACTGATCTTCTTGACCGTATTCGCACCGAACTTGATCTGGGGCGCCAGAGCTGTTGTGGAATCCGGCGTCTCTATGTCGATGACGGCCAGGTCGTGCAGTGCAACCGCCGGGTTGTCCGAACCAACTTGAAGGATGTCTTGGAGGAGTTGTCTCGTGCGGGCGTCTATGTCAGTGTCTTGCTCACTACTAGAATGTTTGACATCGTGCATTTTTCGAGTCACCGAGTTTTGGAGGGACGAGATGGAGGAAGCCAGGTTCGGTTCTTGTTGTTGCCGTACTCCATTCTGAATCCGAGGGTCCCGTAGCGGGCAGCGTTGGGGTCGCGGGACAGTGTCGCATAGGGCTTCCTGGATGGCTTGAGGCACCTTCTTGCCTTTGGCATCAATCCGGTCGGCCGTATACAAATAGGGCGTGTCGTCCAAAGAGTGGAAGAACTCATCTGGGTGGTATTTCCGTGGCGGCCGGAACCTGAGGTAGTCGATCCGTCTTCCAAGGCCTCTGGCACTGGCTAGTTGCTCTTGCGTCTCGATCTGCTGTGCTAAAAGGGCTTCGGTGCTTACCAACTCGCCATTGTATCTCACACGGCTTTTGAGGCTTGGGTGGCGGAACCTGGACTCCCTTTGAGACTCGCCACGAGCATCGAACTCCTGGCCATGTCCCGTAGGGGAGGGCCTCGCTCCTTTGTCCTCGGCTGTGTCAGGGGCATCTGGTCCACGTGAACTTGGGCCTGTTAAGGCCGCCGCTGGCTCGTCAGGGGGGTTGAGACGGAAATAGTCAAGATCATTGCTGAATATATCCACAATTGTCGATGCAAGTATGGCCGTCGCCTCTGACCGCAAGAAGCCGCGCCGAGCAGACAAAGTGTTTCGTTCCCAGCAAGGGGTAAGGGAGGCCTCGGTGGTCAAGAAAGGATATAGTTTCTTTCTAAAGTGTTCGACTTCTTCCTCGCTATCTGCACGCGCAGCGTTGTTGAGAATGCACGGCATATTCCGACGCGCCACCACCAGGCGACTATGATGGCAAAGCGCATGGATTTCCCACGGACCATCAGTAGCTCCCTCTTTGGCAAGAGTGGGGTGGCTCGGCTTGATGATCTGGGTGAACTTGCGGTCTTGTATCCGCTTCGTGATGCGGTTCACAAGTCTGGCAGCATGCTTCTGGAACCGACCTTCTGTGCACAGCTCTTCCGCAAGGAAGACCAGTCTGTCGACAATCTCGTCATCCGCCCTGTAAGGGTCGGTCGAAGAGATTCTCTTCGCAAGCTCTGTTCTGGCAGTGTACCGTGAGCGCTCGACTTCGGCAGCGCTCACTGTCTTGAGGATGCCTGCCTTCGACTCGTCCTGCAGAGAAAGAACGGATTCATTGTGGAGCCACTTGAGCATGGAGTGCTTAACTCTCATGGATGCGTCTGGACCCCACAAGAGGTGATCGCCTCGTCCAGTCTGAGTCGCCAAGTGTGTGCTGAGAATGCTCTTGTTCTCCGAGACATCCTGCCACTTCCAGTCCCACTGAACTTCAGGATAGTGCTTGACAACATACCAGACAGTGATCATGAGGTAAAGACAATTCACCGCGTCGTAGTGATAGTTCGCGTCTCCGATATCAGGGAGTTTCGGAAGAAGCGCGAGTGCTGACTGTGTTGACATGAGGCAGGCTTTCACAAGATAAGAAGTGACCGAACCAATGACCTCCCGGATTCTGTTAACGGTTCTCTTGGCGGTCGATATATTTGCAGCGGTTAACGACTGAGAACTTGGCTCTCGCTTTGGACCCGCGCTTGGTGCGGGTGGTGTCTGGTTGCCAGCTTTCTCGCCCGAATGTCGTGGCTGAGTATCGGCTTCTTCGATGATTCTCGACAAAAGCCGATCAACTTTGACCAAGAATCTCATCTTCCAACTATGCCAATCGATGTCAGCCCATTGTGGCCAGGAAAGGGGGAAGCGGTTGCCAACTCACAACAGAGATTTCAGGTCAACCTTGGCCTTGAGGAACATGTTGCTAACGAGCGCTGAGTAAGGGGAAGGGAGTGGGACCACGTCGACGCCCAAAATCTTCTCCAAGCAACGGCCGACAATACGGACCTCGGGTAGCTGTGAGATGCATTCCATGTTATCCTGCCTCGCGTTGAAGATGGCTTCCCACATAGCCGCGGTTCCCGCTCCCGGCTCGGACGATGGACCAATGCCAACAAACGCTGAGATCTCTCGACATGAGGGCGTTTTCTCGAAGGCCGACGGGGCCTTGACGCGCGTTCTCGGTGGCAAATTGGCAGATCTGTCTGTCAGACCTTCGTCTGATTCCTCGAAAAGGCAGAAAGAAGCCAGAAAGACGCGTGCGCCGCCTGAATCAGCACCGGTTGACGGCAGGTAAGCCCGGTACCTCGGCAGCGAGGTTACGTTGTCCTTATCCTTAGAGATGTGATCCATCTTGTCGACTTTCATTTTTTGCAATTTCAAATCCTGCCATGCCCAAGGCTGTTCCGAGTCTTTGTGTGTTTTGTCAGAGACAAGTTCAGCAAGCTTTGCTTGCCAATGGACCCTGGAGCAAGCAGCACACGGTTGCTTGAACGCGCGCTGGGGCTTCGAGCCGCGCTCGCTGCCTTCGACATTGTCGTGTCCCTGGCGATGTTGCTCGCAAGCCTTGCAGGGAATCACTGCCATGAAACGAGCAACAACGTCGTCTTCTTCCGGTTCGCCATGTCTTCTGTTCAATTTATCTCCGTATTCATCGCACGAGAATAGCTCAACTTCTTTGCCTTCGTCCCCTTTGTTACCGGAATTGTGATGGTTGAGACGGTCAAATGACTGCAGTCTCATGGGACTCTCTAACGTCAAAACTAGCTCAGGACTGTTGCTGGGCTTCCGCGGAGGATCAAGCAGGAGGAGTTGATGAACCACCCCTTTCATAACGAATGATAGGATGGAACAAGTTCCTGTTTCCTCCGACCTTGGATGACTCGTTTCGCAGACGCGAGATGTGAAGCGGCAAGCTCCAGTATACCCGGCTGATTCGGTGGCCTTGTCGACATGGAGGCAAAACTCGTTGTATGGCCAGCGGTAGCCGTAACAGCCACGCTCAATAATGCTAGCAAGGGCGTAATGGTACCGAGGCTATTGGCAATTGTCAGAGTAGCTGCCTGAGATAGCAAGCCCAATGACGCTTACATGCCTTGAGTGAGGTAGGTGAGGAACATTGGGCATACTTTTGACTCAAAATGAGGATTACTTACCTCTTCACATGAGCTGGCCGACCTCTCAGGCTCAGCAACTTGCAGGCCAAAAGCTGACTTCCCTCCACTGATTCTTTGTCCGCGGGCGAGAGACAGATACAGGGAGTACTCAAAGTCACCGCGTGCAAACACGATTCCGTGCTTATCTGAACGGGCTGTCATCTGGAGCAGGTTGCCTCCATTGTTCGAAGATGCGGCATAGCCTTGATCCCCAAAGTCGAAAGAACATGCAGGCAGGTCGGTGAACTCAGAGTAACTGACATATTCCGCTCCTTCATGCCGTCAGTGGAAGTTTGTTGGATGCAGGCACAAGTCACACCGATGCCAAAACGTACCTCGGTCGTCAGCGCTGAGCCAAGGAAAGGGTTCGTCCCCTTCCATACTGCCCAGTTCGACCCGCCTACTGCCAGCATCTTTCTGATGGTCGCTGACTCCTCGGGACATTGTCATGGTTAGACAACTTGAGAACTTTTTGCTATGCGGAGAATGGTCTTGAGGATGAAGCATGTGAAGTGATTCAAGTCGTGTTCCGTGCCTTGCCATCGAACGGGGTTCGTCATCAGCTTATGCACATCAGGCTGGCTGGCGAATGCTGCCAACCGACGAAAGGTGCCCAGGTTTGGATTGATGTTGCGCAGAGCCTCGCCGACTCAAGGTTCGGGTTGAGGAGCACCCGTTGTGATATTGGCGGCTCTTGGTGTCCAATCATCACAGCTTCCCCAAGCTTCATGCACACCCACCCTTGCTACCCTCCCCTTCGATCCCGTCCTACCTATAGAGCATGCAGAACGTGCTGGGATAAAGTTGGTGCGGAGGGGATACTTTGCAGCAAGCTGAACCCCTCAACTTCCAAAAGAACTAACGAGGTGTGTGGAAGAGCCAACAAATAGTGGCTAGCAGCAAGGGTACAGATTTCTCGGTGAGATAGGAGCTGACATACTTGGAGCTGAAGGTAGTATCAGTCCCTGCCGCGCCAACCGATATTTCAGCGCGATAGAATTGTTAAGTCTCATTGGGCGTGCGCTCGGGGCAGGAAGACGAGAACCCCTCAAGGTTGGAGGTTGAGCTATGTCAGGGGCTGACGCCTCTCTTGAGCACTGAACACCGACCTCCCACACATCTCAGTTCCCCTCACGATAGCAGAGCACTTGGCTGTGATAGGACATTCAACGCGGGTCGTTGGCTTTGTCATGGCTCAGAAGAGCCGGCAACTCTTGCCGACTGGCCACTAGGTAACCGTGACTCATCAGGGAACCGAATCGTCCGTCCAGGGGGCAGCACCGAATTCTGAGCCGACAAGCCTTGCACCGCTTCCACGGCGCTGGCCGACGAGCTTCTGCTGGCATCCACTACTTCGCGCTGGTCAGGGAGCTCGCTGCTGGGCGCCTCCCGCCTTCTGGGAATGATGGAGCCACCGATTTTGAACACGGCGCGTCCAGACACGGGGCTGGCTTCTTTTCCCGACTGACCACCGGACCGCCGACGAATGGCAATCGTAGTCACTCTGCTACCGATTGTGAAAGGAGATATGGTCTCAGGTCCGTCGCCATCGGGCGATGCGACGCTGCGGGACAGGGTTCTGGGGAGATAGTAACCCAATTTGCCGAGCGGGATGCTCAGACCGTGAACAACCTGCAAAGCCCCATCTTCAGTCAACTATCGTCATAGAGGCTAGAAGGTTGATACCACTCACAATACTGCAGATAGCAATGAACCAAACCACCACCACGACGGTCTCGGGCAAGTTCTTGACATCATCCCTATGCTCGCCGTCTACATCTAGAGTGTGTAGGAACTCCAACGTGACGTAGAGGTAGAAAATGGCCGACACGCCCACAGGGCCGAAGAAGCCAACAAAAATGGCCTGCCGCACCTCCTCGATCTGCGGTATGAACTTATGGATCGCAAACACCCACGGCAGACGCCGGAACAGCAACACCAAGATCCCGAGGGGAACTAGCCGGCCCAGCGGTACCACCTCGCTATGCGAAAACAACTCCCAAGGACAAACGGCGCCGTACCACATGAAGATTGACACGTTCAGCAGCATGTCGATGGTCGGCTGCAGCGAGTCGTCGAGCGTCTCGAGCCGAAACCAGTCGTCCCAGGTGAAGACATTGCCGGCCACGAAGCAGGCCAGCACATCGTCGCTGCCAATCATGCCGCACGTTCCGACAATAAACAGCGCGAGCGAGATGGCAAAAACGAGGAAGCTCTCGCGGTCGACAAACTTGCGCTCCTCGGCCCAGTGGAGCAGCTCCTTGGCAACCCAGCCGACCACCGCGCCGTAGGCGACGCTCAGCAAAATAGTGTAACCCCACGTCTCGCCAAACCACAGGCCCATGGCGACCCTCGCGCCACCCTGCTCCGCAACGCCGCCGTCCCCAATGTACTTGATCAGGTACAGCGCGAAGAATAGAAATGGATACCCCAGCCCGTCGTTGGCGCCTGACTCGGCGATGATAATCTGCTGCAGGTCCTTGGGCACGTTGTGGTCGGCGAACTTGCCCTTGACGATGACGGCCGAGAGAACGGGGTCGGTGGGCGTGACGCACGCCCCGATGGCGAGGGCATGCAGCAGGCTGATGCCCGGGACGAGCGCCCAGACCAGCAGGCTGGTCGCCAGCCACATGGCTGCCATGATGGGGCCGATGAGGATGCTCAGGGGCTCCCACTGCTTCTTGAGGTAGCGGCTCGGCAGTTGCACGCCGGCCAGGACGAGCTGGACGCCCAGCACGAGCCGCGAAAAGGCGAGCGTGACGGCGTTGACGTTCTCCTCAGAGCCGAGGGCGTAGTCGAGCGGGCGGATGAGATTGGCGGCGTGGGGCGAGAGGGCCACGCCAGCAAGGAGGGATATGACTAGCGGAGACCACAGTCAGTCATGTTCCCGTTTTCCCGGGGGGTTGGCGAGGGAAGGGTGAGAAGGGGGTTGGGTTATGAATCGGACTTACGGGCCTCTGAGAGGTAAAAGCTCTCCTTGCAGAGGTAAGACACTAAGCCGAACAACGAAACCCATCCCCCCAGCACGCTGAGGATAATGTTAAAGTTGGTCGTCGCTAGAACAGGCATCTTGACCGCTCCGCAACCGCGAGTCGGTTGCAGGCCGAGTAATTCGTCTCACGTTATCTAAAGCTACAGTCTTCTAGAACGGTCCCCTGAACGACGGAGATTTGTTAACCGCTCACCCCGAAACTAAGACTGTTGCAACGAAAAAACCAGTCTCGTCAGTGTTATCGAATCATAAAACTGGGGGGTCGAGGATGTGACGAGTGGTCATGGGAAGACGGGGATGACGAAATTCCGGCACCGATACGTATTTATCTTGCGGGATCGAACGAGGACCAGAAACGGACTGAAAAGCCGGTGTCAATGTGATTGTCAGACTGCGGACAGTGAGACGTCGCACCGATCTTCTTATCTCGTCGGTCGGGGAAAAACAGTTGAAACATGAGGTCGAATCATCGATCAGCGGCCACCTCATGGCACTGGGCAGACTGACGATGGTGGTGGGGACTGCAGTGACCCACACAAGCCTAAAGCCGCAGGCTACTTCAGCCAGAACCAAGATAGGAGGTACCTAGGTTACCGTGCAAACGGATGAACGGTTGCCTCGAGATGGATGCAGAGGCGAGCTGTGAGCCTAATTCCACCCGAAGATGCATCGTCTTGACGTTGATATATTGCTGAATGCCAAGCATGACTAGACGCATCAATACTTTTTGCGATCGGGGTTTCCGAACACAAGCATCCTGCCAAGAGCTGGCGCGAGCTTGTTTGTGCTGTGACTGACATCCGTGGCTAGGTTAACTCGTCTCTAGGGTTAGCACTGTAAGGTAACTGTCCCGCAGGCATGGCGTGGGGGTCACTGTAAGGAATGCTGGTGATGACAAGGTTGGTAAGCCTGTCCAATCCGCCCGCAGTGGCGCCAGTTAGCCCAGAGTCCGTCGTTGAACCGTTCTCGGAGCAATGTATAACGAGTAACAGAGTTTATGGGACATGGCTGCTGCAACTCTCAGAAGCACCTTGATACGTGGTTGGCGAACGGTCCAGAGTACCTCGCCAGCTTGGCCGTCATAAACTGGCATGTGATTCTCTCCAACGCCATCTAACCTCTACTATGCACCTCTCAACAGGATATGATCCATAAACCCACTAATCCATGACATGACCGGGAACGCCAGGCTCGCGATGCTGCTTTTCTAACGCCGGCGTCGAGTAAGCCGTTGCTCAAAATAAAACAAATGTTGCGCCATAATGCCAATCCGACGAGAGGGCTACCTAACTCCTCCAGTTTCAGCCTTGCCAATCAAACGCAATGATGCACACGAGATCCCTAACACTATACACAACCATCACCGAGGCTGGCCCAGTCGCAAGACCATCTAGGCATGGATCGCCTTGTCCACCCGGAGTGGTTTCAAGCAGCCGCTCGACTCCCACTCCCAGGCGACCATGCTCCAGTTCAGCTCGCGGCGCCAGAACAGGCCGAGCCCGCGGCCGCCATCGGCGCCCTTGAGCGAGGGATGACCATGGCCGCGATCCTCGGCGCAGAGCCCGCCCGTCAGCGGCATACGATGACGGAAGACGATTTTGCCCATGCGCGAGTGAAGAATGGCCATCGAGCACATGACGCATGGCTCGTGAGTGAGGTACATCTCAAGCCCGTGGCAGAGGTAGCCGTCGGGGTTCGGGTGCTCCAACTCGAAGACCTTCTTTTCGTCTTCGAGAATGGGGCTGTCCTGGAAGGCTTCAAACTCGAGAATGGGGGCCTGCCGGGTCTGCGTCTTTCTGTTTTCAGCTCGGACGAGCTTTTGCGCCACGACGCTGATTGCGCGCATGGCTGCATGTGCCATGGGATTCCCAGTGCATAATCCAACCTTCCCTTGGTGGCGCCACCGACAATCGCCAGACAGAGCAACAACCGTTGTTTTGCCCTCGCCCCTTTGGATGATGCAGGCGCCCATAGGCTCGCCGTAGCCTGCCTCGTGGGACTGCCGGGCTACCTTGTGTGCCAGCGCCATCCAAATTGCGGCATCGTCTGCAATCTCGTCCGTCTGGCGGGCGATCATGGAGGGATGCGGTCCCAGCGGGTTGTTCTTCCGGTACAGGGATGGCCAGAAATGCTGCGACCACATGGCAGCCTGAACCTGTGATGTCGGAGATACCATCGGGACTGGGATACTCCGAAGGAACACCTCCTCCTCCATGCCTTCCACCGTGGACAGCGCTCGGATGACCTCATCGCGATTGAGCATATTCTCGGGGCCGACGATTATGTAGATCCAGTTCGACTTGCCCGTGTGTATCTGCCGGCTTTGCGGGGATTCGTTCATGAATTGCGCCTTGAGGTGGGCAGGCAAGTCCGACGGCTTGGCGCATCTGCGTAGATGAGGGACACCCTTAATGATTTCATCTGGTAGCAGACTGCGTAGCAAACTGTGGGGAGGGGTTGTCAGCAACAACGGTGAGAGCACCCTCCAGCGCTCGGGGCCCAACATACAGGATGGCTGGATTGGCCGATTTGGTCGGCGTGCGGGTAATCAAGACGCGGCCTGTTTGATAGTCATCCCGCAATTCGAGAGTCGTCTTTAGCGGAATAAGCACGCCATGCTCAATCTCGTCCTGGATAAGCTCCCGAACAATCGGATCCTGGGCGGCAAGCGATCTCTTGAGAGACCTGCCATCTTCATCCATCTTGCCAGCAGCAACGTTCGCGGCAGGGCAGTCGGCTATCAGAGGGTCGGGTTCCGGACGGAGCGCAAGCCCGTGAGAGAGACGAACATGCGATGGCGCCGGACCGGGAGGAGTGTAATGCGAAAGAAGGGATTCGTAGATGCTCAAGGAGCTGTTGTCGCCGGATTGCGGGGCTTGTGCGATGCTGTGGAAGGGAGTGAGCGAGCGTGGGAATGAAAGAAATGGTTGCAGGCAAAAGGAGCGGACGCCGAACAAAAAACCATTGCGGATACCAAGTGCAGCCCGGAGGTGTGGGAAAGAACAGGCTCTGTTCCTCATGAGGAGGAAGCCAGAAGCGACGACATTTGCCCGTCGTGTTTGGCTGTGTGGTTGCGGCGAAGAATTACACATTCCCTTGAAAGAATGACAGTCTCCACCATGCCCATGTGCAGTGACCCTGACGCGGTCCAGGGCTGGCAAGCCCCATGCAGCCAGGGCCAAGCGAATTTCACGTTCAACTACCCAACAGCGCTGATGACCCGCATTTCATCCACACCTTCAGGCCTTGCGGCATCGGACCCCATCCAGAATGCTTCCCTAACTGCAGCACATCTCTCATCTGGCTAAAGTATTGGACCGTACATAACCTTCCATTGATATTAGCTGCTTCATTCCCACCGTTTCAACGCTACCTTACCTTTCTGGGGTGCGTCTGGGACACTGCATATCCGTGATGGAACTTCGAAATATTCCCCCGAATCTGATCATCCAAGAAACTGCGAGGGCAGGATCGAGCCTTCAGCGGACAGGTGTTGACTCGGGCGTTTGCATGTTGGGATTCCGTTCTTCGGTCGTCCTTTTGTGTTGGCCATGACAATCTTAGTCTTCTTTGTTCGTAACGACCGACGAACCCATCCGTCCCTGTCAGCTCTTTTTTGACCTCCTTCCAGAAGTTTGTAGCAAGAACCGCCGTCCATAAGGCAGTGAAGTACGGAGTACCCGACATTCCTACCTGAGGCCAATGTAGCCGATCGAACGGAGGTACGAGCCGCGACACTGTCTAAGATATGTAAATTTTGAGATATCTCTTTTAGCTTGCTTGATGAGACAGGTCAGGTGGCTCCGATATGCCCTCCGGGCAGCGCTTTGATGTTGTCAAGTGCACTGAGTAACGTAACCCAAAGCGGAGGTACCACCTATTCAACCTGCAGCTGCAAAAAGGAGCTACGGATTGCTTCCCGAAGCGTGCGCTTTGACAAAGACGTCCGTCGTTCTTGGCATAGGCCGGTTGAACTCCACTCCGTGTGGGGGACATCTCGGTCTGGTATGCGCAACGCTGATGCGGTTGACTTACTTCCGCGAGGTGGCCGACTTTTAGTGTATAGCAGGTGGATGAGCTAATAATCTGAATGTTGTCAGGCCAATTTCTACACAGTAAATGTGTAAAGTGCCTATTTCGATGTTCGTCGGTCCGTGCAATGGCCCTCTGACAAGTCATGATGCCGATCACAGTGATCGGTGTTCTCCAAAATACCAAGAAAGCCAAGTCGGCGGTTCTCTGTTTGGAGCAAGGATCCACATTCAGTTCAATATGGCAAAGTCGATTTGCAGCGGGCCTGAACATCCTAGAATCTCCTTCCGGATCTGATGAATGATGCAGAGCATCGGCTGCGGGATGAGATATCCCCGAGATGTAGGGTAGTTTGGCACCATCGGAATAGGAAGCGCCCCTATCGGTTGATACTCTTGTGATTGCCAACTTTGCAGGTGTGTTCGGCAATATTTGTCATAGGCTTGGTTTTGGAATTGGAAGCGCGAGAGTAAGGAGTACTAGAAAGCTGGTTCGATGTGGCCTTGAAATACTCATGTGCCAGTAGTATGTAGTACTAGTCCCCACGGAGTCTTTTTGCTACTCTGTGAACACGCTCAATTAACAACCTGCACATCCCACCACACTTTTAGAAGATCCATTGGCGACCTCCAGCCCCAATCTTCGATTCTCTGCCACCCGGTCATCGCCCGACTGACTGAGCTGAGAAAGCTGGCCCATCATCGAATTCCATGGCAGACACCACAGAGACCAGGGCCAAGGACCACCAGGCGCCTGCCAACCCCAGCAATATAACCGCCTCGGACGTGCTACCGAGTCCAACACCAAGCGACTTGTCATCAGCCCATCAACTGGTATGTTCGAGACAGGTCCAATATCGCCGATCTTGGCATCAGAAGGCCCAACAATGCAGCGCAGCCCCGACTCGACGGCAGCAGGGCACAGTGATTGTTGAGTCACCCCCCATGTCGTACATACAGCGCGAATCCGGTTACGTCATCTTGTTGTCCAACTTGAACTTTACTTGTGGTACAACCCCCGTTGCGCATGAGATCAGAAAGCTGTGGTCTCCGGACTTCGGGCGGCTGGCCCTGATCGCCTACGCCGGCCCAGTGCGACAGGCTACGCATCTCGGAAGAGCGAGTACACGCTCGACGAGGCACAATCTGTGCAGACCGTGTAATTGTGTGAGAGTGGCACTTTCCACTACACCTTCTATACGCGATGATGGCGATCCATTGCAATTGCAACCCAACTCGATTGCCCCAGCCCGAGTTGATTGCCTCTTGAAACCCTCCGGCGGCTGTCAGACCGAACGTTCCGACATCCCACTGTAGATCCATCAGTTCGGGCGCGTCGCACCCCTTGTGGATCGCTTTCATTAGCTGATTTGCTAACGCATGTATCCAGCTACACCCCACTCCGCATCCTTGTAAAAGTCACATCACATCGCAACATTACAAGTCTCTTAATCCTTACGGGGAGGACGTTGGGGCTTTTATTCGCCGAACCGCCCCTCCTTCCATGTCACAACGTTCGGCTCCCTTCTTGACAGAAAGAAACACTGTCTCCGAAACAGACGTTTCCAACCTCTTTCCATATATAAGATATCAATTGTCTCTCTTTTTCGCACACGAGGTTGTCCTTACAACACCGACACCACGGCTGATCTCGAAGTTTTCGATCAAGACACGGCCGGCGCACCGCAGTCGCAAGCACCATCACTGCGGAAGCTTGCTATGAGCCATTTGATGGGTTCGGCATTGTCGGCACCCACGTCACCCGCGATCAAAGCCAGGGAAGATGATCATCGCTTGGATGGCGGCCATGCGCATGGCCCATTGCCCCCGCCCGGCGCTCCAGCATTGACAAAGGCGCTGAACACTCTGAAAGCCGCTGACTCCGCGACGCCGCATCCCCAAAATGGCCCTCCATACGACTCGCCCTATTCCCGCAGCATATCCTCCACGGCGCCTACATCACCCCGGATGTGAGTTGACTGCCCAGCAATTCTCGGGCCTTTAATTCCCGATTCGTGTGTTTCCATGGTTGATGGGAATACAGGTCCACGTCAACCATTGTTGTGTCACCGTGGCTAACAAATTGTACAGTCCACCTGTTAGACAAAATTCCGGGAGTCAAACACCGAGGGTCCGCCCGCATGCGACCACACTCAACATCCCGGGAATGACCCGTTCGAGGGCGTCTCCCGATGGCCGTATTCCCGACAGAGACGTGGCCGCCAAGTTGGTCATCATCATGGTCGGCCTGCCAGCCAGAGGCAAATCGTACATTACCAAGAAGATACACCGCTACCTGTCGTGGCAGCAGCACAATACCAGAATCTTCAACGTGGGAAACCGCAGGCGCCTTGCTGCTGGCGTGGCTAATCCCGCCGACACTTCTCCGACTTCAGTGGCCAACAGGACCGATGTGCCTAGCCAAGCGGCGACCATTCTGTCAAAAGGCGCAAAAGGCCCCGACATTGTCGTGGAGGAGCCAACCAAGCTAGACCTCAACACTCCGGCGACTACCTCGACGCATTGCCCAAAGATGGACCAGTCGGCCAAGTTCTTCGATCCTAAAAACGAAGCCGCGGCCAAACTCCGCGAGCAGGTCGCTCTAGACACACTTGATGAGCTCCTTACATACCTTCTGCACCAGGGCGGCGCCGTGGGAATCTTGGATGCCACCAACAGCACCATCAAACGACGGCAACTGCTTGTGCAGAGGATCAAAGCGAGGGAGCCAAAGCTGGGCATTCTCTTCATCGAGAGCGTATGCCATGATCAGAATGTTAGTAATGGATCCGATTGCTTTGCTCTTCGGGACGTCAATTAAAGTATTTGCAGCTTCTCGAGGCAAACATGCGCCTAAAACTTTTTGGACCTGATTACAAGGGTCAGGATCCCTACAAGGCCTTGGAAGATTTCAAGCAACGAGTCAAGGCATATGAGAGCGCGTATGAGCCGCTGGGCCAGTGGGAAGAGGACAACGATTTACAGTACATCCAGGTTCGTTATGGCCTCGAACGGAGAACGTGAGTCGCGTACTGACGGCCGCAGATGATTGATGTGGGCAGGAAAATCGTCCAACACCGTCTCAGAGGATTTCTAAGTGGCGGCATCGTCTCGTATCTTACCACATTCAATCTGTCGCCGAGGCAGATCTGGATCACCCGCCACGGCCAGAGTGAGGACAACCGGATACACAAGTTAGGCGGCAATTCGGAACTCACAGAGCGCGGCCATTCCTACGGCCAAGCACTGTATAACTTCATCACTTACAAGCGAAAGGAGTGGCTCATCCACCAAAAAAACAAGATTGCCGAGTCACATTTCCCGCCGAAGCCCGGCGATAATACGCCACCGTACCCGGAGCTGAATCAGGAACTAGACGACAAGAATTTCTGCGTCTGGACGTCGATGCTCAAGCGCAGCATTGAGACGGCGGAATACTTTGAGGCAGATGACGACTACGACGTCAAGGCCTGGGAGATGCTGAACGAGCTGAATGCCGGCGATTTCGAGGGCATGACATATGACGAGATTGCGGCGAAATACCCGGAGGAGTACGCGAAGCGGGCAAAAGACAAGCTTCAGTACATCTATCCCGGCGTGGGAGGAGAAGGCTACCTCCAGGTGATCAGCCGGCTGCGGGACATGGTGCGGGAGATTGAGCGCATCACGGACCACGTGCTCATCATCGGACACCGGTCCGTCTGCAGGGTCTTGATGGCCTATTTCATGGACCTCACGCGAGACGACATTGCGGATCTCGACCTGCCGCTTGGCATGCTGTACGCGATCGAGCCGAAGCCATATGGCATCGAGTTCCACGCCTACCAATACAAGGAGGACATTTCATGGTTTGATGAGCTGCCCAACTACAAGCCGCAGAAGACGGTCGATAGAAACTCGTGAGCAATTGCTGGTCCGACACCGCCGTGTACGATTACGAATGCATTGGGGATGGGATTAGGGTCTGGAGGGGAGGGGTTTAAATATTGGGCGAGTCGGGGTTGGCGTTGTCGGCTACATTGACGGTTAACTATGGGTCAACGCCTTTTCACCATTTTTGTCTTTAGGGCGCATAGAGGGGACAGGGGACGGCGACTCCTAGTGATACCTGGGACGGAAAGGTGACAGATCATACACCGGGACAGGCATGGTTACCAACACAAGGGGATGGCTTTCGGTTTTGCGAAGGCTTTTTACGCGGGATGTTACGGGTTGCATCCTATTCCTCTCGGCTTCGGCGACTGCGCTTCCGGCCCCGTCTGGAGTTGTGGTACGGGATTTGCTTTTTGGTCGCTTCGGTTAGGTCGGTTGAGTTTCCGAAGCTGCCATGGCTGCGCAGTTCTCGAAAACGCAAGCAGTTGCTTCAAGGTGGTCCTGCATGATATTGCCGGTTTTGTGGCGGCTGTCTTTTGAGCAGTATTAGAGGTCCATGTGTTCAGATCCGGATGGTTTCGGTACCTTAGAGGAGTCTAGGCAGGGAATAAGTCACGTTTATTCAACGACATACGTTATACAATGTTTTGCAAATGACAGAAAGCAACAACAGACGTGATGCCCTGGCAATTGCATGCGCAGTTAATGGAAATAGTGGTCCCTGCTGTATCTGCTGAGCAGTCAGCAGATTTCATAGTAGCGTTGGCCGCCTGCAGTGTGCACATATGTCTTGGTAGGATCAGGCCAGGAGGTTGAGGCAGCGGGCCGGCCCGCCTTACGCCTTGCCCGTAAGTGCCCGTAAGGGGCACACAAGAAGAAATGCACAGGTTGGGGAATCTTGTTAATTGGGTTTACGGAGTAGTTATGCCCTATTTTGTTCTTGTCACCACACTCTCTTCAACGAGCGACGGGAAGCAAAAGGTGCGTCTTGTCAAGTAACGCAGAGAACGGGACCATACGGTTACCCAACTGTGAAACAATGCCTCTCAGATACGATCCAGTACATTCCTATGAACCACGGTCTAGCGATCTTGACAGGCCAGTAAGAAAGGTAAAAGAAACAGGAAGGGAAAAGAATCAGGAGGGAAAGGAAGAGAAAAAAAAGAAAGCAAAAACCCCTGGGCTGAACCTGATCCCGTCGCTTTCGTCGCTTTCCCCTAGATGTACACAATGGGAACCACGAAATTAAACTCTCAAGCAACCTCCCAAACAAAGAGAGTAAAAGAGAAATCTCACGAGCCTCCCCCGCCAACGGCCCCAGCGAGGATAGCAGCCTGCTGTGCCCGCCTGCGATCCACCTCCCGCTTCAGCATGACCAGACATGTCGCGACGACCAACACGCCCGCCATCTCGCGGTCCAGCTTCGACACGCCGCCTTCAGCGTTCCCGTCCTCCCCAGCTTGGGGTGGCATACTATTATCTTCCCACAGCCGCAGGTCCATGACAAGCCTGCCGCCGTTGCCGGCGTCGCGGACGCTCGTGCCCGGCGTGCGGGTGCTCGCGCCGCGGATAAAGTGCGCGATCGTCGTGCGAATGGTTTCGTCATAGTCTTTCTTATTGTTTTGATGGAAGAGGGATGTTCGCCGCGATGATGATGATGTGGGCAAGTTTTGGGCGCGCGCGACGCGGGTTACCCGTTCCAAGACCAGCAGGCTGGAGATGATGTCCTGGCCGCCGAGGGCGCGCGAGAGGGCGTGGCGTTCGCGGCGCGAGGCGTACCGCCACTCAAAGGTGCCCAGCCGGGTGCGGAAGGTGACGGCGCGGGTGAACAAGCCGAGGGAGTTGATGTGGAACTCGTCCCACGGCTGGACTTGGTCTGCCTCCTCGGGCGTGGGGGAGTCGTCGACGTCGCCAGGAGTGTGGTGTTTGGACTTGGTTGGGAAGAGGATTGCTTCCAAGACCGATGTTGAGAGACCCGGTGAGTGGGGAGAGTAGAGGCGCACGCGGGGTGGGCGGTTGGGACCGAAGCGGTAGGTTGTTGTTGCGAGAACTGGGAGCAGGTCGTTGTCGGACGGGGTTTGGGTTATGTCGGAGGCGACGAGGTAACAACTCCCCGAGGAACGCTCCGGGCGGATGGACGTGTATTTGGGGGTGGACTGGGAGGCGACCGAGGAGCTGGAATCCTCAGGGTGCAGGGCAAAGACCGGGATCGGCTCCGGACTGAGCGGCAACGGCAGGGAGCACCATGACTTTCCCGCGGTTTCGATCTGGAGGTGGGTTGTGGGGTGGAACGAGGAAGCTGCTTCACTGTAGGAAGGTGGGTCGCTAAATGTAGTGGAAGAAGAGGGCGAAGGGCTGTCGAAGCGGGAGAGCTCGACGTCCTGGGGGTTGTAGCTGTAGCTCGGAGGGATGGACCCCATGGAGGACCGGGACAGGTAGGTCGTCATAGGTTCGTTGGCTGTTGATTTGCTGAACCGCAGGTATGAACGAGGTTATTGACCTGGAGGATCACGATGGAACGCCGGGTTTGGAGCTATATATCTTATTGACCACATACATACATACCGGGCCCGATCATTGACTAATGCACCGCCTCGGACATGGTGTTAATCGAGGTTACGTCCCCTCAATATTCCATCCAATCACTTCACAACGCGATCGATACGGTTGCTGATCTGTGTCTTGGCACTTCTTGAAAAACCCACAAGCCGGTAATGCGAAATACGGCGGTGGGTTTCACGGCAGGGCCCCCATTATTATCCCAGCAGAGCCACATGGCGGGATTCAGCAAGTGGGTCAGTACAGCCACAGGCTTTCCGCGGGGCATCACGGACGATGACACTGATGAATGAGGCTCGTGTGGTTCGTACTGGCGCCAGAAAGGGGGCCACACCCTGAGACCGGTCGCTACGGGGAGCATATGGGTCGAGTTTCAGCCGGACAATCTGGGAGAACAGGGCCAACGTACGAGCAAAACGACGCCTGGTTATGCAGGTCGTTCAGTTTTATTGCATTGGAGTCTAGTGGCATGAGAGTCAAACCGAAAAGAGAGGACAACCAAACAAGCAAACACCCGCGCGAGACAACTCACACTTGCCAAAGCACTAAAAGATAGTCCTGCCAAAGCAGCCCCGGTCCCGCTTCCGTTGCTCCTCCACCCACATGGGCCACTGGTTATATGCGTGGTGCTCTGCGTCCACCTGCGCGTTCAGATATCGGAGCCACCCCAAATGCCCCAAGTTACCTGTGCTCGCGCGCCCAGGCTGCGCCGGCGCCGGCAACTTGGCTGCCGCCTTGAGCTCGGCTTCGCCGATGGTCGCCATGATCTGCTCCAGCGAGATCCAGTGCGTCGCGAGCAGGATGGCCACCTGGTTGCCCGGGTCGACCAGCGACTGAAACTTGTCGTGCGGCAGCATCATCCACCACGTGTAGAAGTCCGTTAGGGCGACGTACGCTAGAGCTCAAGGTCAGCCACTGACGAGATATGAAGAGAGGGAGAGATAAAAGAACACTACCCTTCCACGAACTAACAGAAAGCATCCTCCCAATATCCATAATCAACTCCCAATACCTCCTTTCCACCTCTCGGCCCTCGACGCCCTCCACAAGCGCCCTCAGCCCCTCAATACTCCTGACCGCCTGTTCCGTCCACCCGGCATCAATAAGAGGTAAGCCTTCCATGTGCGGCTGCAGCGCTTCCTTCTGCTTATCCCCCAAATAGTCCCCAAACAAGATGTTAGCCCCTTTGATGTACATCTGGATCGCCACGATCATGACGCCCCGGATAAACGTCAGGTACTCGGCCATGCCGTCCTCGAGGAGCACCGATTGGTAGGTGAGCGCGATGCACGTCGCCATGAGCGCGTTGCCCTCCTCGAACATGACGTCCTTGTCATTGCTGGCCGAACTCGAACAAGAAGACGGGGAGCTGGGCGCCGCGGCGGTGGCGCCCGAGAGGGATTTCTTGATGGCTTTGATGGCCTTGAGCCGGTGCGACAGGGCCGCCTCCCCGACGGACGGGTCCGTCGCCATGAGTTCCGATGCCGAGTAGCCGAGGATGGCGTGCATTAGGTACTCGTACTGAAGTGACGAGAGGGGTTCAGTCTGGAACCCGCATAAGTACAAAGACGCTCCTTCTGACACTCACCTTTTCGGATAGACAGGGGATTTCGTGCGTCCAGAGCTCCTCGGCCCCGATCGGGTGATGCGGGTAGCAGTTGAGGAGGAAATGCTGGAAAAAGCGCATGTCTTGGAGACTGAAGAGGGGGATCTGATGTTGTGGCTGGAACTAGTTTAGTGGTGTGCGCTCCCTCTGTACTATACCGGGAAAGTCGGAAGACATACCTGATGCACAATTCTCGGTAGAGCAGGGTACTCGCATTTGAGTCCCTGCTTGACACAATGTCCGCATGCAGGTCTCGTCTCCTGGCACTAACGACGCGGGTTTCTTCTCAGTTCCTGCATGTCCTACTCTCACGTTTCTCGGCACGCATCCTATCATGTACGGAGTAACTCACCTTGATCCTCCTTCTCTTGCAGTTGAAGCACCCCCTCCGGCTCTTTGTGTGCCCTCGTCTCTCCAGCTTCTGCTTTCCCGCTGCCTGCGCCTCTGAGCTAGCAATTCCGCGGGAAAGAGTAGTCAGCGCCGTCACCGGCGCAACATGTTGCTGTCGCGGCGCGAGGAGCTGCAGAGACGGGTCAGAGACGGTCTCTGACGAGGGCGCCAGTGAGGGCAGAGGAGGCGAGGTCCCCGACTCTGAGCTCTCCCCGGCGAAATAACCCAAGTCATCTTGTTGGTCTTGGAAGTACGCCGAGTACTCGACCTGGCCCACCTCATCGTAGTCCAGGGACGGGATCGGCAATGCTGCTCTAGGTTGGGCGTAGCCCGTAGGGCCAGAGTTTGGTAGCGCTTGCATCCTGGGCTTTGCTGCAACACCGTATGTTGGGAGTTCTGTAAGTAACGGTGAACTTCGTTTCCTTGTGAGGAGTCAGGGAAACGCCAGAGCATTTACGTTTGACCTCCAATTCATCAACAGGGTCAACACCGTCAAGCGCGGTCGATCATCAATTGCTAAGCCTCCCGCGCCGCTGTGTGGAGAGGGCTGTGGCAGTGTTCATCCAGGGAATTCCCTCCTCACCCACTCCGTCAGGCGAATCGAACCCCGGGACCTCGATTCCTGCAGGCCGACCGTCTTGAGGTGAAAGTGATTCTGATGGCGTTGATGAACGGGCGGAATAAATCAGTTGTCTCTCACGACATCGCCAGCGAGCTCAGCAAATCCGCCCTTCCCATATCTGGACAGCGGGGACAGAATTGTCAATAGCGAATCAGGCGGTGTTGCGTCGCCACGCCCTAGAAGAGCTTCGGGTAATATTTCTCTCCGACCAAAGCAACTGAAGGAAGCCAAGCTTTCAGGCTGGCACGGGCAACAACCACATCGCCAGCTGGGTGAAAGCAATTTGTTGACAAGCAACCAAAGCGTCGCATCGAGATCGCCTGTGATTGCTAGCTCAGTGTACTTCAATTATCCCTCGCTTCATGTCTCTCCACATCTACAGTAGACGAGGCTGTCAGGGAAACCGACAGCGAGAGAGAGTGGTGCTGACGGTTCGAAGTAGCTAGCTGGTCATGGAGCGACATGAAGAGAACGGCCGCCCATCCCAACTCCAGATTCTACTCCGTACGGTAATGCAGACCGTGTTGCTCAGAGAGGCGGCAGTTGTGACGTCGATTCCTCCATTCTATACCTCGCTGGCCTTCAAACGAGGTCCCAAAAGGCGTCCCGTGAAACTGACATAAAGTGTCTGTGTCTCTCCCAGGGGAGCAAGGCGACTTTCGGTCCCACTGCTGTACCCGGTAGTCTGTCATGGTTATTAGCAATGAGAGTTGCCTTTCCGTCCAGAAAACGCGTAGACACAAAGCTGCGACGAACAACCACTGGCTGCAACAGACGTTCCCAAATGACCCGAACGCATGCCTGGTGACTACTTTTGATAGGTGACAAAGCCCATGCCACCAAGGGTACATTCAGATTGTTACTGTAGTTTCGTGCACGGCTCGTTGAAATCGGGAGAGAAGGACAACCTCTGTGTATTGGCACGTCTTTATAACCAGACGTACGGTAGGTGAAACCTTTGGCATCGTTCAGACCGAACAGTCATGCTCTATCGACAAGTGTTTTCATGTATCTTGCGCGAGTGACCAAAAGCAGCAACGCAATGACACATGACGGCATCGTCTCCTCATCATTTTGAGAGGTGTTTGAACAGAAGGGCGCCAAGTTGAGACAGTAAGGCTGTGGCTGTCGGTTGCCCCCGTGGCGCTAACTACACGCCGCAACCTGATACCGCTCAGATCCTAAGCAGGCGCGTACTGCGACTCCACCTTCACTGGGTCACAGCGCCGGCCAAAGAGGGGATAACATGGGCGGCAGGTGGCAAAGTCTCGTGGGTTGCCTACACAGAGCTTTTGACCAGCACGTAAATTGCCACTGGGTCAGGGTGAGGGAAGAACCAGCAACTGTTGCAGGCCCATCATCGGGGTGGCATTAAGGTTTTGGAAGCGAAAACGGGCAAGAAGGAAAAGGTTGAGCAAGAAAAGGAGAAGGACGATGAATAGAACAAAGGACGAATGAAATGTAAAACAGCCCTGAAAAAGGCTGAAAGCAAGCAAGCGAAGGTATACCCCGAGACCCGTTTGGATGCTGCTAGAGGTCGTATTGCAAGGCTTGGGGCATCTTGCTCGTTAGGCGACTTCCTCATTGCAAACTTCCATTGCATGCCTACGCAATCCTTTTATTCAACCTCGGGAAAAGAATTTTGTGCTGCTGTGAAAGCTCGTCATCAGAATGTTGTCATCCAAGAACTTTACCTGAAAATTGACTCCAAGATCGACAGCGCTATATTCAGGATGAAACAAAAACAAGCATTCTATCCGGATTCCGACAGGGCCGACGTGTTCGCCGCACCCCGTGGCGACGGATGCAATTTCGCTTGCGAGGCCCGCAATGAGCTGTCAAACGCGGCTTGGATCCACGTTGACCGCAGCCAAGCAGTCCAGATTGCCGTAGGGCAGAGAAATGGGGTTATGATGGGGACGCGGGTGCACTTCAGATGAACAGTGCGGGGTTGGTAGACGCTGTGCGAGAAAGAATTGAGATGAGACGACAAATTGGTTGATCGAACAAGCTCCCGCTCGATAAGTTACACACGACTTGCAGTTTGCGAAGGGGGGCCTCCCGAGGCCATGTTTCAGATGAGGAACATGGCAGCTGACTAGTGAAGGAGGGTAAAGAGAGGATCCACCAGGCACCTCGTCGGAGAAACACCGAGTTCTCCAACAAGGGTAGAAATATGATTGCACATCGAGGACAAATCCTTCTTTCTTCCTCCGAACTGGAATTGTGTGCGGGATAAAAGTGCCCGCGTTCCTGCAGCTGAGTGCCTTGAGGAGCCACCGTACCTGCATACCGGAATTGTTTACGATTGGCGACACGCCCGAAGAGCGGGTAAATGTGGAGTTGGGCGTCGCAAGGGCCCCACTAAGTGTCTGGCCCTCACCCCTCCAAGCAATCAACGCCGCCAACACGGCCCCACTACGTGGCCAGAGCGGCAACTTGCTTCAGCGCCATGGTCGGACGATTTGTTTTAACTCTCGAAACCTGGACGACAGAGTGGTGGCCGGGTGTTGCCAGGTCTCTCACAGGGTTGCGCGCCTTCCGAGCTCCGTCCCATGACACCCTGTCCACTCACCGGGCCATGTATAGCAGAAGAACAACATAGGTACTTGTACCTGTAATCCGAAGCTGGCAACCCAATCTAATGCTCCGCCGGAACGCTGCAGCACAAATTTGCATGAATACTTTAGGGATGTTACTTAACATTTGAATCTGTGGGAGGTATTTCTGAACAGGTGTGCGAGGTGTAAAAGTTCCGACACTGCGGGTCCCAGGCACAGAATCGTTGATTGACCCTGGGTTATGTTCGCCCCATGTTGGTCGAGAACCCCTCTGTCAAAAATACCCCTGTCGATATCCCTCGTCGTCCCTTCCAAGTCCCTTGCAAGAACCCGAGCATCCCGGCTCTTTCCAGCCGTTTTATAACCCACTCCCTCGGTGCCTGCTCGATCCCGGTTTCTCTCCCACCTCACCCACGGTCCTGGGCTTTTGCATTCCTTTCCACAGCATTTGTTTTTCTCTTTTCGCCTCGACTGGTTGCCAGCATCAACCGTCGTTCAACTACCGATCTTTGGCGCCTCTGGTTACGGCTGCGGTCACTGTCCCACTTCAAACTCGCATCACTCCTACTGCGTCTTTGACAGACAGCGACACAACCACGGCGACGCCCACTCGGTTCCGCAAACTCGACTTCATTCACCCACTGTGGCCTGGAGCAAGCAGCACGTGTTCGACGATACGTCCTATCATTCCTTTCACGACTTGTCGTGCTGGCATCCTTTCACATTGTTTCGCTCCTTTCCAACCCTCACAGTCTAGCGAAACACATCTCACCTAGAGAAAACGACCGGACGTCGACTCAAGTCATCCTTCATTCACAGGGGCCTAAGGATTGCATCGATCCCCCGCCAACATCAACCAGATCAGCCAATTCCCACGACAACACCGGTACAGTAGACTCTCAATACCCTAACAAGATGTTCTCCAAGGCCCTTGTCGCACTGGCCGCTGCCAGCATTGTCGGTCAGGCCGCCGCTAGCCCTCACAAGCATGGTCTCCAGCATGCGCACCAGAAGAGGGCCCTTGTTACCGAGATGGTGACTGTCACGGATTGGGTCACGGTCACTGTCACCGGCGACGACACCAACACCAAGTCTAAGGTGTTTTACACCCATTCTCGCAAAGTCAAGACCACATCCAGCTCCGAGAGCAGCACGACATCAACTTCTGCGTCTCCGGAGTCTTCTACCGTCTCCGCCGCCGTCGAGGTCTCTGCCAGTTCTGCACCCGAACAGAGCAACCCGCCGGCCGTCGAGGACGTGCCTTCGTCTACCAGCATTAGCACCACGCCTGAGGTTGTCAACACCCCGGCTCCTACTTCAGAGGCACCTGCTCCGGAGGCGCCTGCTCCCTCGTCAACTGTTGAGGCAGTTCCTACCTCGGCTGCTGTTGATACGGGCAACGGAAACACCGGCGACGACACCGGCAGCGGTAACGGCGGAACCACTACTGGCACCGCCAAGCGTGGCCTCGCATACAACAACCCGGCGTTGCTGCAGTCCTTCCTCAACTCTGGTACCAAGGTCTCATGGGCCTACAACTGGGGGCAATACGACGACTCTGGCACCGACCTTGAGTTCTGCCCCATGCTGTGGGGTCTCAAGCTCAACTTCGCCGAAACTTGGCCCGCCAACGCTCAAAAGGCCATTGATGGTGGATCTCGGTGCTTGCTCAGCTTCAACGAGCCCGACCTTCCTGAGCAGGCCAACCTGTCGCCGTCGGTTGCTGCGGCGAAGCATATTGAGCTCATGAACCCCTTCTCGGGCAAGGCTCTCATCGGCTCTCCCGCCATCACCAACAGCGGGGCCGATGGCCAGGGCATTTCGTACTTGAAGCAGTTTTTCGATGCCTGTGATGGAAAGTGCGCCGTGGATTTTGTTAACATCCATATCTACGGTGTCGACACCAACACGTTCCTCTCTCACCTGCGCAATGTCCACAGCGCCTTCAACAAACCAGTCTGGATCACTGAATTCGCCTTTGGGGGCACCGACGACCAGATCAACGCGCAGCTCGAGACGGTCATCGACCAGATCGAGAACAACGCGACGTATTCCTTTGTTGAGCGGTACTCGTACTTCATGGTCTCGGACGGCTTCCTGGTCAAGGGCAACTCGCTCAGCACCTACGGCAACACCTTTGCTTATGGCGCTTGAGCGAAGCGCTATAGGTGATTTTCATTGATAGCAACATCTTTCCGCGGGAGTCACATATCATACCAACAACCGAGAAGGATTTTTTCCAGCCTCTGGTTATTTCGCACACTGGACGGATTTGAAGAGCCATGATCTTCTGCTATCCGCTTCATTTTCGTTCTGCTTCTCTTGTACATATTTGGTGACACTTATACCCTTCTGTTCACTCGCAGGCTTGCCCGACGAGGCAGCCATGACTTTCTAACTTTCTTCCTGTACGATTCTCTGAACGGGTTATCGAGGGCACATCAGGTTTGGCAACGGCGCTGGCAACACTGAGAGCGGGGATCGGCGGTCCGGAACGTGGCACACGATCATGTTAGATTGGGGTCAGGGTTAGACTCACGAGACCATGAAACGGCAGTCAAAACGGTATCCCCGCTTTGTTGTGCTGCTGCATGTTTATTTTGGTGCATGTTTGCTTGGCCTGCTGTTTCCATGAATCCCGTCTTATGTTCGTCCTCCTCCACGACTGGAGAGAACCTGGGGTTTGTTCAATTGCCCATCCCATTCCCGCTTCATGACGCATGATCGGGTTCCGTCTCAGCATCTCCCCGCTCGTACGGCGGATATTATTCCACAGTCTTCGGCGTGATTGCTCTGCTTCTGCGGGGTACTGGCCGAGGAGTTCCAGTTGCTCAACCTTGGAACCGACAACAAACCCCAGGTCCTCCATGCAGCCTACCTCAATCCCATCTAACACACCGCCCCAGGCCCCATAAGCCGCACTACCTCAGCTCATACTGATCTCAGTCCCCAATCAACCCCTTGAACCGCTCCCAACACCACTCCCAACCCTCCTCCCCTTCCGCCTCCGACCTCCTCCACTCCTTCACCCTGCCCCAGGCATCCAAATCCTCCTTCATATGGCCCCTGTCCCCCGTCCCATTCAACACCACCACCCCTGCCTCCACAAGCAGCACATACCACGCCGCGGCCTTCGAAATCCCGGCCTTTTCCGCCAGTTCCTGCACGAACCCGCCCTCGCGCTGCCACGTCGCGACGTTCCCCGTCAGGGTCCAGAACCCCTGGTATTTCACATCCGCACCCTGCTGGGAGGAGCACCAAGCGCGCACGTCGCGATCCCAGTTGCGTTCTGCGGCGCGGAACCGGTTCTGCACGATTGTGGGGGGTGCAGCCGGGTGGGAAGAGGACAGGGCATGGAGGACGGGTAGGGTGACGTTGGAGATGCCGAGGCGGAAGATCTTGCCTCGGCGGGACGGGTCCGGGGAGTCGGGGAGGTAGGACTGGAGGGCGGACCAGGCTTCGAGGGTCTGGGGAATGGAGGGGAAGGGGGAGTGCATGACGAGGGCGTCGAGGTAGGGGGGGGAGTGGTCTGGCGTGGAGAGGTTGGTGAGGGAAGAGGTGATGGAGGAGTCTGGTTCCGGCATGTTAGCTACTGAGGGTCTACGGGTCCAGGACATATTTTGGGTGGATAGGTAAGCTTTTTCGAGGGCGATGACGGGTCCGCAGGGAGCTGAAAGAGGTTATTCAAGGGCGGGTTTTTACGTACGTATCTGCGTCGGGATTGGGTCGGACATGGAATAAGGAGAAGTGGGGTCAAGGGGCGTGAATTTCGTTTGGATCTGTTATCGTTTAGTATTCGGTCAGGACGGATGAAAGATGTATCTGAATGAGAAGACATACAAAAAGGTCTCTCCGCGAGACGAGGCCCTCGCGGATGGCGCGGCGGATGCCCTCGCCTGCGAGGGCCTCATCGTAATGCTTCTTCATAGCGGCCGTGTCAATTCCGCGGAAGCCGGCCTTGATGGCCTCGTAGACGAGGTCGGCGGTACGCTCCTTCTTCCAGGCGGTGCCGTACATCATGGGCGGCATTGCCGCGGTGGGCTGATGGGTTGCCATTCTGGCTCGAGTTGATCCATTCAGGCTGTGATGAAGGGAGTTAGTCACGAACTGGTGTTGGGTACAAGGCAAGACGGGGATGGGTAGTCCGGGAGAAAGCCATCCCCGCCGTATGAAATGCATTGCTCTGTTGAAGGTTGGAGGTGGAGCGATGAGGGGTTAGGTAACTGTTAGCTCAAAGGAGTTTGAGGTTGTTGAACTCTACTTCAAAGCCTAATAAAAGCCGCGTTTTTTGACTAATGAAAAATCTCTCAGGCATCCTGTCTCATCAACATTATCTTCTCAGAGAAGCGAGCTCATTGTACATGTGTGAACTGACAAATGATATCGAGTCGAGCTACACAGGAACTGTTCACGCTTTAAATGACGTCTTCTCTCTCAGCAACGCCAATCTGTCCCCGGGGAAGCTCGTCCCGGGTTCTCGGAGCCAAGGCCGGGCAACCAACAATGCACTTCGTTCTCTGATTCGCTGTGTGGTGCTACAGTGGCCCCATACCAAGCTGTTTTAGCGTGAAATAAGCTGGAGATTCAAGGGTGACTCCCCGTCATTTTGGTCAGCCATGTTCCGGCAAATTACCCGCAACGCCGGCGCTGCCCCGCCATGAAACCCAATAGAGGGGCAATTGTCGGGGACAAGATGCGATTGCTGTCGGTCCTTTTTAGAGGCCTGACAGAAGGTTAAAATCTCCTGCGCTCCCTCGGTCGTTCCTGGTTCTGTCCCTCACCCAAACAGCCCGATAGCGAGAGATAAACATCAGCCACTTGCAAAACAACAGCCATGGCGTCGTCAACTCCGTACACGGTGAGGTGGGGTATCATGGCAACGGGGTGGATCGCCGAAGGTGAGGATGCTCCAACTCCTCTGTCGCTTTCTCGCTGGCCCATGCTTACTTAGGCCTGTACAACAAGTCTTCACCAAGGACCTCCTCGCCGACCCGGCGATTCGCAATGTTCACGACGTGCGCCACGAGGTCGTTGCCGTATCCTCGTCCAGCTCCAAGGACAGGGCCGCCGAGTTCATCCAGAAGGTCAAGGCGCCGAGTTCCGCCAAAGCCTACGGCTCTTACCACGAGCTGGTGGCCGACCCCGACGTCGACATCATCTATGTCGCCACGCCCCACAGCCACCACTTCCAGAACGCCATGCTGGCCCTCGAGGCCGGCAAGAATGTGCTCTGCGAGAAGGCCCTGACGGTGACGGCGTCCCAAGCGCGCAAGCTGGTCGAGATGGCTCGCGAAAAAGGCGTCTTCTTCATGGAGGCCGTGTGGACACGCTACTTCCCCTTGAGCATTCAGGTCAGGAAGCTGATCGCGGACGGAGCGATTGGCAATGTCTACCGTACCATTGGTGAGGCCACACACACCCTTTTCTCGCAACGTCGTAGACATTGCTAACTCCTGCGCTCCAACAGCCGACCTGTCGCTTGGCAATGATATGCCCGACGGCAAGGTGAAATTCGACGACTCGCACCGCATGGTCAACCCCGCCCTGGCCGGCGGCGCCCTCTTGGATCTGGGTATCTACTCCCTGACCTGGGTGTTCCAGACGCTGTACCATGTTCAGCCCGAGGAGGAGAAGGAGGCACCTACCGTCGTGGCGGCCGTGAACAAGTACCACACCGGCGCCGACGAGGCGACTACCGTCATTGTGCAGTTCCCCAAGCACAGAAGCCAGGGCATCGCCATGACGTCGCTGCGCGTGGCCAGCGACGTGGACGGGCAAAGCGGCGCCGCCATCCGCATCCAGGGTTCCGCGGGCGAGATCCAGGTCATGCACCCCGCGTACTGCCCGCTGCAGTACAAGGTCATTAAGAAGGGGGGCGGTGCCGAGGTGGTCGACTGCCCGATCCCCAAGGACGAGAGCGGCTGGGGCCAAGGCATGTTCTGGGAGGCCGACGAGTGCGCGCGCTGCCTGCGGGATGGGCAAAAGGAGAGCAAGGGCCTGCCGTGGAGCGAGAGCGTCGTCATCATGGAGGTGATGGAGGAGGCGCTGCGGCAGGGCGGCGTCGTGTACCCCGAGGTCATCACCAATGATGTGTACGACGCGCAGAACCCGCTCAACACTGGCAAGCGGTAAGGCTCGGATGGGTAGGCTGCTGAGTTCGTGGGTTGACGGGACGGGTTGGGCTCCGGCAAGGCTGAAGCATCAGAGCCAGGTTTTTGTTGTCTTCGAATCTGGCAACGGATGGGTAGGCAGTCAATCAGCCAGAGATGTGACGTGCCCCGATGTTTCAGAAGGGCAGACAATGGCATTGGGCTCGGAGAAATGTGATCCAATGCGTGAGCAGCCAACCAGATGCTTCTGTGCCTGTGTGCCCACCCATTTTGGTTCACCCCCCGCCGTCGCCGGATTAAGACGCTCGTACAGAGTTGGGTTAGGAAGTGCAGAGTGACACGATCAGTACCTGGTAGGTCGGTCGACTGGTGTCGGGCATCCAGGCACAATCGGACTGGAAGTGTGCCATCATGCATAATCACTGCCAAGGCACCAGGTTCAGACGGCCCAGATCCCCGGATCTCCGACTCGGTCGCGGCAGAAAACCAGCAAAGTACCACATCATGGTGTCGCGAGTCCTTTCGAGATAGGAGGTTTGACACTTGCAGTGGATGGTTGCTTCTGTCGACGAACTTGTCATCTGCAAGATCGCAGAGGAATAAACAAGGGTGCCGAGAGGCAGGTTGACTGAGGTTTCGGACATTTATTGTACCATATCATTTTTATGCACATGGACGTAGAGTAGTTTCAGGACTCAGGTCGACTTGGGTACCTTAGTCACTGTCGTACGGAGTAATTTCCGCTCCTTCCTTGGTGAGTTGAGAACCCCACCACCATGCACCACTACGCTGGCACATCAACATCGCTGCCCTTGTTTTCCATCAACCGACTTTCTCCATATCCCGACTCCAACCACCACAGATCAATCAAGGGTCACCGGCTCCGACCTCCAAATCGCCTTTCGGGTTCAAGTTTGACAACTAAGCCTTGCCTCGGCATCCTTTCGCGCGTTTGCTTGCCCGAACTGCCCGAGTTGGACCGACTCACCGAGTAAGCAACGTCTGTACACGTGCATTTCATTGTTTCCTTTTGTTTCCGTTCGCCTGATCCTGTCTTTTGCTTTCCCTGCCTAATCCCTCATTTGCGGCCCCCAGGCAGATGTACCCGAACCGATACGTCTGTTTCGGAGTCGTGCTTCTACCCCTCCAGTTGGCAGCATCATGTCGCAGCATCTTCCGCTTTCCGCGCCCGTCGCCGATGGTGCAAGTTCATCTGTCTCATGCCTCGCTGGCCCTTGTCTCTGCATGCGCTCGACTCCCACACGCATACACCCACATGGTCTTGGTACTATGCATTCATACAAGTCGTGGGAGTCCTTGGTTCCTGTTCTTCTCGACCGCCACATACCGCGCCTTTGCTTTTCTCAGACCTTTCATGCGCTGACGTGGGAACAGGCGGTCAAGATAAATCACTACCAACAGGGAGCACACCATTAAACCAGAAAATCCTGTCCTCTCGGCCAAACTCGACAAGTGTGACCCAGTTTTGGGTGGAAATCTGCAGGCCCGATCAGACGATCAGGACCTTCCAAGGGACGTGGGGTGAACCTGGTCACCCTGTTGAGCGACGCGCCAGATTGGGCAGCAGCAGGAACAGGACATCACCGTGGCCGTTTCCTGAATTAGCAGCTGAGCCCCGTCAATCTTGTACCTTCGGATGGCCATATCTTCGACTGCGCCATCGGCCCTGCCATCCTCGTCGGCGGCTGATGCGGTTGCCAAACTAACAGCCGCCGGTGCCGAGACAGAGACAGAGCCAGCAGCGGCTGAGGCCGAGGCCGAAGCCTACGAGCGCACTCATGTTCATTGCGTCTACGAGGCCATTGCACCACACTTCTCAGCCACCCGCTACAAACCCTGGCCTGCCGTGGGGTCGTTTCTCCGCGCCCAGCCACCCGGGGCTGTCGGGTTTGACGTGGGATGCGGCAACGGCAAGTATCTGGGCGTAAACCCAGAGATTTTGATGGTGGGCTCTGACAGGAGCGCCTCGCTCGTCGCACTTGCCAGGAGTCGCTGCAAGGAACTCCAGAATCGGCAGGCGGGTGCGGCTGCAGCAGGAACAGGAGGGGAAGCCCGTGGAGCAGCGGTGGCCACTGACGTACTCGTGGCCGATGGGCTTTCGCTGCCCTTCCGCGAGCATTCCGCCGACTTCGTCATCTGCGTGGCCGTCATCCACCACATGTCGACGCGGGCAAGGCGGCAAGACGCGATTCGGCAGCTGCTGCGATGTGTCAAGCTTGGAGAGGCTGGCCGGACCGGGGGCCAGGCCCTGGTTTATGTTTGGGCCTTGGAGCAAGGCACCAGCCGACGCGGGTGGGACGAGGGCGGCGAGCAGGATCTCTTGGTGCCGTGGGTCTTGAAGTCACAGCAGAAGCAGCAGAAGCCGCCAAAGGGCGTCAAAGGAGAAGGCACCGGTGAAGCGAGCGCCGCTGATAAGAGCGGTGAGGCACCGCCTACACCAGCTACTGCGGCCGCTCCCGAACCAGGAGTAGCGCCGAGCCACACCGACCCCGTTTTCCAGCGCTACTATCACCTCTACCGCAAAGGTGAGCTCGAACAGGACGTGCTGGCAGCAGGGGGTGTTGTCGTCTCCAGCGGCTATGAGAGAGACAACTGGTGGGTCGTGGCTGCCAATGGGCTCGTGGCCCACGAGCGACGATGAAGTCCAATTTGAAGAAACATGCCCTTTCATGAATTACGGTTGTTTCCAACTGGCGGGAAATCCGCTCTCCCCTGACCAGTCTGTCATCATCTCGCCAGTGCGAACGCTCTCCAAGCTTGCCTCTGCTTGTTATATTGCTTTCTGCTTGCCATCCACACCCCCTATTCGATGTCCTGTTCGGATGGACACCTGATCTGGGCGCCGATTGGCCTTCGTCCGTGCTCTATGCGAGCGAACCGATCATTCCTCATTGTCCATCCTTCGTCCCATATGAGTCTTGTCTCGTATTTCTAGGCCAATAAACGAAAAGTAAGACATGTCTCTGGCGGGCCGTCCCCTTTAAAACCAGCCGTTCCTAAACAGACCAATCCCCAGTAAACGCCGCCGCCGCCCCCCCTTTTTTCACTTTCCGTGCCTGATGACGTAATGTCGTCTAACTCCTTTCTTTTCTCTTCACCTCTGAAATTTTTCGACAGACGCCTTGTAACATGAGACCTGACGTGACTGTAAAGTTATGTTGAGGACTGGAAAAAGGACGTAGAAGCAGAACGATTGCCACCGCCCACATGATGGTGTTCATCTTGCCTTTTCCGCCCTGGCAGTGCGTGATATGGCCCAGGATCCAAGAAGGGAAACAGGGGAGTGATCGGCATACAAAATACAGGCGTTCCTCCACGTGGCTCATCATGTCGTCCTCGGCGGTAGATAGTAATGACAAAAAGGAGTAGAAGATACAGAAGGAGATGAAGTGAAATGTTGTCGTACGAAAACCAGGTCCATCCATACAGGTCCGCCCCAAACCTGTCCGCCTACACCGTCAATACATGCCTTTGCCCCGTTCCAACGGTAGAAAAACTGAATTGCAAGTCCCTTGATAACGAAAGTAGACGAAGATGAAGTGAACTATTAAAAGAAGGAAACAAGCAACACAGCAAGGCAATCGATTACACCACTGAAAGACGTACTTCCAGTTGCTTGCTTGCTTTTTTCTTCCACAGGCGAAAAGCAAAGCCGAACCAGATCAGACCAGACCGGAGTAAAACCCTCACGGCCCATGCCTCGTCCCCCTCCTGGCAGCAGACGACGACACACCCATCCCAACCCCTACCCTCACCCCGAACGGCGGTGTCGAGGCAGCAGGAGGCGGAGGCGGATACACTCCTCCAGCACCACCACCCTCAGAACCAGTATCCTCAGCAGCACTGCCGCCATCACTGCTTCGCGGATACAAGTGCCTCCGCCGATTCGTCTCACGTGGCCCGCCACTCGCGACATCGGGCGGACTCGCACGCCGCTTTCCTGCTGCGCCGCCGGCCGGTTCGCGCAGCGGCGGGTAGGCCGAGGAGAGCGCAGGGAGCAGGGCCCCGGATCCCGACCCGGAGCCGGAGCCACAGGCACTTCCGCTTGCGCTCGTACTAATGCCCGGTACCGGGCTCCCGTGGCCGGTGGCGCCGCTGTTGCGGATCGGGCTGGTCGTGCTCTGCTGGTGGTGGTGGTGGTGGTGGTGATGATGCTGCTGTTGCTGGGATGGAGGCGGATGGAGCGGCGCTGGTCCGCCGAGGGTGTACGCCGGGGTGGTGTACGGGCTGACGCCTGTGGTCAGCTCCGCCACGCTGGGGAGCAGGCTGCTACCTCCGCGGGCGGCGACTCCGCCTGCTGATCCAGCCCCCTGGATCACGGATGAAGAAGGCGGCGTGGGCTGGATCGGTGCGAGGCCATAGCTGTAGTCGTAGTCTGGCTGGTGTTGTTGTTGTTGTTGGAGTTGGAGCTGGTCGACGAGCGGCGGGCCGAAGGGCGGGCGTGGGGGCAGGCTTTCGCGGCGGGAGGGGAGGGCCCGGCCAGTGGTTGGCGTTGGAGGGGGCATTAAAGGTGGGATAATGTGCGGCGGTGGTGGTGGAGGGCCCAGGGTGTATCGCGGCGAGGGGAGGCTGGCGGCAAAGTCGCGGGGGAGGCTGCCCTGGGACTGCGAGTGCGCGTGGCCGCGCGTCGGAGAAATGCGTTGCGGGCCTTGGGGTTCGTTCGATGTTATGTTCAGCGAGAACGGAACCACTCCCGCACGCCGCGCCATGTCGATCTCACCTAGCTGCCAGTGCATCGCCTCGGCGGCCCGCCAGGGGACTTGCATCTCTTCGGCCACTCTGGCCCACATCTCGGGTTTGAATCTAAAACAAAGGGGGCCGTTAATGTCGCCGAAGAAGCCATGTTGAAAGCCAGCAAATCCTCACCTTTCGTAAAGCCTTGCGAGTTTGTTCTTGCGCTCTTCGTCCCACTCGCTGCGTCTTTCGAGATAATTCTGGTAGTGTAGACGGCAGCTTATGGAGCTCCGGCCCGGGAGGCGTTTCGAGATGTCGTCCCATTTCATGCCGCTGCCCCGGAGCTCGATGATCAGGGCATCTTCCTCGGGCGACCACTTGCTTTGCTTTTTCGCTGGCGATTCGGAGGTGTGCGCTGGCATGCTGCGCTTCCCACCACCGCTCCCAGGACGCAAGGCCGCCCTTGAGCTCGGTGCTGGGCCGGACACACTGAACGATCTGCTACCTCCGGGCCCACCAGCAGCACCGAGACCAAGACGGGGAGACAGGGGCCCAGCTGCCACGGCGAACGGAGGCGGCGGCGGCTGGGGGGGGCCGCTTGGCGGCGCCGTCACCGCTGTGACTGCTGGGGCCGTACTGGATGGTAGCTGCTGGGCGGAGGATACGGAGGACTCATTTGAGTCGGAGCCTTTGAGGAGAGAGGCGATATCCACGATGGGCGGTGTCTTCGCCGAGCTTTGCCTCGGACGGCAGCCTGCTCATGTGTGCGCAACACTGTGCACGTGTTGGCAGCAAGAGGTTTGGCTCCTTTACCAAGGAGGATTCAGGATGCAACCGGTCTTGTGCTCAATCCGCACCGAAGGGCTCTAGACTCCGTGGCTGCGTCTCGTTGTCGTCTGGAAGGTGAACAAAGTCGTTCGTCGAGGAACTCGACTGTAGATTGTATATAGCACTAACCGGTAGCGTGTCAGTAGAAACGAAGCATTGACGTGGATTCGAGTTGGAATATAGGTAGGCAGGGGACTGTACAGATAGGAAACAAGGCCGCGATGGGATGAACTTGGCTCGAGGTACCAGAAGTCAGGTACAGCTAGACGTGTGGCGACCGTCAACAATAAAAGGTAGGCGCCGCCCGTCGAGTCGCGAGAGGGTCTCTTCCAGATGAATCCAGATGGAGAGGCTGAAGACGAAGCTGTTCTCAAGAAATCTCGGCCAATATATCCGGAGTGCTCATCACCATGATTGGTCTTCGCAGGGGGAACGCCCAACCAATTAGTGGGACAGGACAAGCATAAGAAGAAGATGGTCGAGAAAAGGAGTGCTGGCGGATGGACACGCCAGGTCAGACAAAGTTGACGGAGAGCTGCTGCTGCCTGAGAGGAGAATCACTTCTCCTCTCCATATTCACCGTCTCCTCAGGCTGGAGAAGGGGAGCGCAATGAACAGGGAAGAAGCTGGGAGCAGAAGGGGATCTGTTGATGACAGCGTGCCTGTGAAGCTGGTGAGAGAAGAGGCAGAAAGAAGCCAGGGTTTAGGGAAACCTGGAGGCTTGACACGACAGGGCGGGAGAAGCGCTTTAAGCATGAAGACAGATATTAGAACGGGAAGTTACAGAAGCTGCTGCGGGCCATATTGAAGAATGGGCAAAGAACCTGATGAGTGCGCTGTGGAGGACGTGAAGGATGGGGGCGAACCTAGTAGACTGGGGGGTATGAAACAAAACGAAGCTGTGCGGGAGCGCTCCTGGGCTATCGTGCGAGACGACCAGGTTCCCGACCTTGGCATGGGCCTTTGGCGGGTACCTAATGACTGGCAGCATGACCAGGGGTAGAGGCGTACAATGCATTAGCCTCGATGCCTGCCAAACGCTTCTTGACTTGCCTGGTAGCACCAGATATCCCCGAAGGCCGGTGGCCCCCAGAAAAGGACCATCGCCATGTCTCGGGAAGACCCAGGGTGGCTTCGGCTGTCGTTTGGAGTGCCAACATGGCAAGTTCAAGAGCCGGCATCAGCATCGGGCTTTCCTGATCGTTGGTGGTCGTCACAAGTTTGGGAGAACCAAGGCGACAGCTTGACTCGCCGACAAGAGTCCTACCGTTCAAGCTCGACCAACAGCAATCAAGCACCCCAGTCCACTGTGGCGATGCAGCCATCAAAGAAGGCCGGAGCAGTCTTCCATACGGTTTGGTCTCCCGAGGTAATTACTGCCGTCTGATCTTGGGTACAAGGGTTCCGAGGGGCTCCAAGGAGCTGATGCCAGGAAACGGTGCTAGAGAGCGGAACTTGAGTTGAAGGGCGGCATGGCATGGCAGATTCCGGCCGAAATCGAACATATGGTGGCCACGATGTCGTGCAGGTATCCTTAGGCTTGACTGTAAGAGTAAGTGGCTATGGATCCAGAAACTCTCTAGCTGCGTCAATCGGATATGGGCGCGGGATGGGTCGTTTTGGACAGCAATGAGAAGGCTGGGGGAGACGGCTGCCGCCCCTGAATGGTCGGGTTGAAATCCGTCAAGATTTCAGTCGTGGTTGGGCTTGACCGGCCCATCATGATCCCTTTCCCCACGAGTAACATGCAAATACCGGCAGTCTGTCGCCCGCCTTGTGATTCGGGAGTGGTCGGTACATGCCTCAGAGGGAACTGGTGCATAAAACTTGGCAAACTGTCGGCCAAGTCGACGCTTACAATCATCAGCTAGTCCGACCATGTCTCTCTTCCTGGCGCAGGTAGGCAGCGAGCTAGCCACAGCCCGTGTGGAGACGACGAAGCTGACCCCGAAGAGTGAGCGGGCCACGACAAAATGCAGAGAAAGTCCCCACGAGATCGAAACGGCCACTCGCAACGGTGCCCGGGCCTTGGTCGGAACCAAGCAAGGCATGCCTTTGGTGCGGGACCGGGTTCGCGAACTGTGAAAGGGGCCAACTGCTGGTCCATGCCTCGATTTGAAATCCTCCCCTGTTGCCAGTATTTGCCGCTTGACGGTTCCACCCCCTGAGCGTTTGGTGGCATACATAGTCTTGTCCAGGCTCGGACGTGGGGGAGGGCGGACTGCGGCAATTGGCGTTTGCTCCAAGATAGCGGATCAGACTGACGAACAATGCATACGGTGAAGGTAGTCGATCGAGCATGACGGTAGGATTGTGGAGAGGAGTCGAGTATGAAAGGAGCGGGGACGCGCGAGGTTCGCTTCGATCCGATCCCACCCAGAAACAAGCGGCTTCTGGCTCACACCCTTGGGTCTTGGGTCGCGCAGGGTTTGTTGGAGATCTAAGACCCTTGCGATCGTGCCGAGATCTATAACTTTAGAAGCCACTTACCCGATTTGTCGAACAACCTGGGAACACTCGTCATGAGCTGTCATCCTCGGCTCAATTCCAAATTTCCCGTCCGCAGATACGACAGTAACTTGTGTCTGTTTCTTCCCTACGAATACGGGGGGTCAATGTCACTACGGCGAGGTTTGGTTTCCCTGGCTAACCCCATCGCCTGTTTGACGTGGGACAACCCTAAAATCGGGGACACACCGGAGAGGAAGGCGGGGACTAAACCGGAGTTGAGCGCCGTGCAGTGGTGGATCCTGACATTATTGTACGAAGTACTTACTTATGGAGTATGGCTTGATCGAGTCTGTGCGTCCTCGGGACTTGCCTCTGACAGCCCACATCACGCGTTTTGAGTCGGATGCTCTCTTTGTCTGATCAAACACTGAGCAACAACGTATTATTATCGTTCATTAAATTATCAGAAGAACTCCTATTTCTGCCAAGGACGGTCAGGCTTCGCTCCGGGGAGAGGTTGAGGCGGCGAACTGGCGGTCAGCTTGCATCGATCTCTTCCCCGCATGATCATGGTTGCTGTGTGCAGAGCAATGCAATGAGGCGATTAGAATCACTTTCCGTTTTGCGTCCCTGGCCTCCAATACCAGTGGGGGTCTTCTCTGGCTTGAGTCTGTCCACAACCAATCGGCTTGTCTTGATCCATGTGTCGGTCATTGGAACAATCTGCACCTGATTCCCCTTGACAGTGTCCAAGTCGACGCTGGCGAACAGAGCTCAACCATGCTGCCCTACGAGACCACATATGTGGTGAGAGGACCGTTCAGGGGCTCAGGGGAACCGATGCCAGAACAGCATAACGCTGGCTGCGTGCTTGGTATACGTTTCCGACCTCTCGGATTCGCGGAACCCAAGACCAACACATAGCCTCATCCGGCTGCTGGCCGACGAGAAGCCGGGCGCGGGATCAAACCACCAGGTTTCTCTTGAAATCCGGAAACTGTCCAAGTCAAGTGAGAAATGCTGCACGTGCATGTATGTTGACGTGTTGACGCTTGCCGCCAGGTGCCATTTCAGCCTATGAGAACACGCTTGAACACCGCTGGTTGCTGTGGGCTAGTTCGGATTCGACTTGCTTCTTGAGGTCATTCATCGGGAGATGCAGGCGAGCCAGCAATCTTCAAAATCGGGGGGACATAGGCAAGCGCTTGAAACCCACGTGCGAGGGCACACGACCGTGTGACGTTGGTGTGGGTAAGGTACTATTGCATAGAGGCACGCCCTGGAGGTTGAGACTCCGGTATGATGTCTTCCAACGGGCGTCGAGAGACTCGTGACGCAGGCGGTAAGAGATTGTCCAACAACCCAATGTGGCGGTGAGCGGCATTGGAGAAAACCTTTGGTAAGAAAAGAAATGTACATCGTCTGTCGTCCGACATCCCTCTCGAGCCCATGCCCATGTCGCATCTGACAGGAAGGGGGAGACTGAGCGACAGCGATCGAACGGAGGGAAAAAAGCGGAGGGAAAAAAGCAGAGATGCGGCTTCCCTTCGCTGCGACGCTGCCGCAGGGGCTGGCGTGATGTTGCGTCAGGGCTGGAATGCCATGGATGCACCCCCGAGCGGTCAACTGCAGAGAGTGTTGACTCAAGTTGAGCTCAATGCTGCAAAAGGAAACGGGAGATGCGGGCGTGAGTGGATGGGACAAGACAATGTCATTTTGGGCGAGGACGTGTTCTCGGGTAGGGACTTCGCAGCCGCAGCATCGTGGTGGGCATTGGCGACTTGTGACACGGGTCGATGACCCAGTCGTCCGCGGATGGGGAGGGTGGGTGAGTTGTCAGGCTCCGAAGTCACCCATTGTTCAGCCGTTTGCACCGGCAGGAGCAAGGCGAGCATGGACGGGTCGTGCCGACTGCCCTGGTACCCAGCCTCGTCGGCTTCGGGTATCGACAGTCGAGGGCGGGAGGGGGCGGACGAGCCGATCACCGTGTACGCGCATCTGGCCAATAGCTCTCTGGAAACGCCGTTTGCGCTTCAGGTTTGCTGTGAAATCTCGTGTGTGACGGCATCGATGCTGCGATGCTTCCATGTCTCGACCCGGCTGTCGCAAGTGGTAACAAACGAACAAATGTCCAATGAGGATGGTTCCTGGCGAGCGTTGCAAACGGGTGAGACCCAATCGAAGCTTTCACTTTCGGCAGAACATTCGATGGACTCGTGCCGGCTTCCGCTTCCGACACCATCCTGTGTTGGCACCGGAAGACGGCAGGCAGGTGTCATTTGCTCCGATTGGCATTGATGTGAGAGTGCGTTTGTGCCAGGGTCTCAATTCCACATGGAATTGGACCCTTGAACCGCTCAGCAGGCACCAAGAGAGGCGTCTGTGGCTAGTGATGTGGCGCATGAGGGGTGGCCCTCCTCGAGAGCTCCACCCTGCACTGAGCAATCCACTTTCGTTGGGCATTGTGTCTCTCTTGAGTTCCCTGGTGAAACGAGGTTGGACTCAATTCGGCTCTGTTGGCAGTTACAGTTCAACTGGGCATCACGGGTACGGCCAAATTGTGTTTTTGTCTCGTTTTGCATTGCGACTGCTTGAAAGGCACTTTCACTGACAGCACAACCGAGCAAGCAATCCTTGTCGCTTTTTCAAGCTCCGCTCCCTCTTCACTTCACGGTGCCATTTCATTGCTACTGCATCCACCCAAAGCTCACTAGGTACGATGGTGGACGTGCCTCTCTACGTCGTCTCGGACTACGCATCTTCCGAGAGACGGATTACCCCGTCGTGGTCCATCTCCCAGCTCAAAGCCAAGCTGGAGTCTATCACAGGCATCCCTCCGTCCTGCCAGCGAATCTTCCTCAAGACATCATCCAACGAGAAGATTGCGATAGAGGCTCCAAACGAGGATGCCGTTTACCTGCAGCAATTTCCCCTTACGCCTTATGCTGACTTGGTGGTAAGTGGCCCCCTTTACCAGGAGCCGTGCGCGAGGTGTCCGCTAAACACGGCACCAGGTTGTTGACACACGACCTGTCTCGGCAAGGCCCAACCTCTCGAGTACTGCTGGGGTTGAGAAATTCGTCCTCCCGGAGGAAGAGTATGAGAAGAAGACAGATTCGGTTCTCGCCTGGAAGAAGGCCCAGAAACTCGGCCGATTCGACCCCAACGCCCCAAGCCACGAGCAGGCAAAGATCGCTGCCATCGCTCAAGAGATCGAAGCCCGGGGGATTGCCGTCGGGAAGCGATGCAGGGTAGGGGAAGACGACACCAGGCGTGGCGAGATCAAGTATGTAGGTGATGTTCCCGAGATCCCTGGGCTCGGCGCCTGGGTCGGCGTCCAGCTGGACGAGCCAGTCGGCAAGAACGACGGAGGCATTGGCGGCACCCGGTACTGGGGCGAAGAATCACAAATCAAGCGTGGCATATTCGTCCGACCAGAGCGCGTCGAGGTCGGCGACTTCCCCGTCCTGGACTATCTTGAGGACATGGAGGAGATTTGAGAGGCCGGGCCCGAGCCAACACCAATTTCTTCCTGATTTAGCGATACGGTCATCCAGCCTTTCAACCATCCACATGCAGAGAAGTCGGGTTCACGCGCCTTGGAGAGTGATATATCCGCAGGTATCCAACGAACAAGGCGGGCAGAGCTCCGGGCTTGGTAGCACTATGCAATTCAGCCGCATCGCAAGTGCCAGCTTTGATGCAAGGATCTCCAGTGTGCTGTAACACACTTGTGTGATGTACACCGCTGACCTGCAGTACCTACGCAACGGCTGACAGGTACCATGTGGGGTAAAGCTAAGGTTGTACCCCAGACGACCTGTGCTTTTGTCCTTTACAGATCAAGATAATTACCACCGACAATCACAGGAACTCGAGTCTCTTTGTCGCTGTGAACATGACTTTGGCTGCTTTGGCGATTTGACATTGCCAGTAACTACGCTCTGCTCGCCCCGGGCTCCTATCAGCAATGCTTCGCAGGGGTTGGCATCTGAGAGGCATTGGTCTGAGACGGCGGCGGTCGATCACCATTCTCGGCAGCCGCTTTCCGAGAAACATTCCGAGCCAGCCGGACTTTTTACGGCGTCAAACCGAGTGTTCTGGCAGGGATTTCCGTTTGACAGAGCACCCGAGCAAAACGGGTTCCTGGTCTTGAATGCCATGATGCCCTAGTCAACGACAACACGTTGGCTAATCCTAGCAATGCGACGATGCCTCACCAGAAAATACCTTCAGCCGTGAAGGAACACCAACACAAGGTGACAGTCGATTTGAGGTACCTTAAGCCCTGCACATGGGCACTGTTCGTCACAATCGTCCCAAACGGGATCTCGCAATGGTAGATGTAGGCACCTCGTGGGCTCCGACAGTGCTTGAACTGAACAGCTCACAATAGTCACCTACGTTCCCGCCATTTCCAGGCAACCAAGAAAATGGGACAGCAAGGCAAGGTAGCTACTACGAAACATCGACCGAAGTTCAGGTACTGCTATTTATTTCATCTATCGTGCAATCAGCTGGAGCCATTTGGCGCGGGGCATGCCGTTGCTTTAAGCAGCACCAGGACACTAAAACAGTTCCAAAACTCCGCTCACCGATCCACTAACGTAACATAACCGCTTACCCCAGATCCTATTCTCCATCTTCCCTAGCTCAAGACTGCATCACATACCATTTGAATCTACAGCTCCCCAAAACCATTGCAATCATGACCTGCAGCTCACGCCGCCGCATGGGACGGCAGTAAAGACTCTCCGTCGGCGAAGATGCCGTGGCTCTCAACGCACGTACCCAAGGAACCTAGTATCGGTTCCTCGCATCCCTTCGTCTTGATCCGGAATACTCGGATACCTTTGTTCGCCGTCTTCATTTCGGATGCTGTATCGTACCCCGCAAGCAGCTGGCCTCACCTCACGCCTTCCAGGCATCCGGGATCGCCTGCGACAACTGGCCAGCCAAGCTTCTTTGTTCTGGGCAAGTTGTGCCCAGCCTCTTAGCATACACCTTACCAGACGATCAGAACCGAGGAAGCCAAGGACAAGCGCCACGGAGCACCTCATGCATGGAACCATGTCGGGCTGGTCAACTCTGGACGTGACGCCCAGAGTCTAGGTTCCAAACGACGTTTGCCTCGGACGCCACATCAGTATCCTCCTCAACCTTTACTCCAACCGCCCGGCCGATTCCCCGCTGCCTCCGAATCGCCGCGCGAGCCCTGCCAAACCATACCGTTCTCAGCCGGTCTGCAACGACGTCGACCGTCGCCGGCGCTGGAAAAGATGGCATCGTCGTGGTGTATCTTCTTCCTCTCCTTCCTCTCAGTCCTGCAGCGAGTCTGCGCTGAGGATGTGAGGATATCATCAAAACCCGAGCCCTCGGTGTGGGAGGTAGCCTCACTCATGCACCTCCAACTCACTGCTCCCGAGTCGGAGGCGCTGCAGCTAACCTACAGCGTCTACCCGCTTACTGAGCACGCAGGTCTGAACCGGACCGACCGAAGCGTGAGATTCCGAGCCCCTTAAGGTGGAGCTCCTGCTGAGATGGGTACCGTCGCTAACATATCACAGTCCATCTGGATTCGCGGGAGCTTGATTGCTGCCGGCGTCCCTGCGAATGCCGAGCGCCTATCTGACACGGAAACTATAGCCTTTCTCAGCTGTGACGGCGAAAACGCGACGCAAGAGGTTAATCAGCTCATTGGGGCCAGCCCCAAGGCGATTTTGCTGTACAGCGTGGACGGGAACGCTTGTAGCCTTGAGGGCGACGACTTGAATTACGGCTCGATTTACACCATGGGAGACTCAGCAGAGGCACGAGATACCATGAACAACACGATTCGCGCTGGAGGAGTCTTGCGGGCCACTATTACGGGCAACTCGAACATGACTAGCACACTGCCAGGGACTCGGGAACAGAGCGGCAGCAACTCGGCGGTTGCCATGAGCATCCTTTACAGCATCACCGGTCTGATCACGCTGCTGTTTTTGGTCATCATTGGCACGGGAGCCATCAGAGCACACCGCTACCCCGAGAGGTACGGGCCGCGGTCCGGATATGGTGGGCGCCCTTCGCAAAGCAGAGCAAGGGGGTTGGCGCGCGCAGTGTTGGAGACGCTGCCGATCGTGAAATTCGGGGACCCGAGCCCCGCAAAACCCGATCCATCTCTCGAACTCGAATCTCAGCCATCAGCGACGGGGCCCGATCCGACAATGGGGACCAGGCTATCCGCGATTCCTGAAGAACCCCGGACTCCGCAAGTGCACCGGAGCGATGCCCCGCCCATGTCGGGTGCTGTACCCGGGGAGGAGCTCACAGCGACAGGCGCTCAAGCTGAACTGTCCGGGGCGTGGAGCGAGGATAGAGTCAGGGCGAGGACGCACGGCCGACCGTCAGAAGAACACCTCGGCTGCTCGATCTGCACTGAGGATTTTACTGTCGGCGAGGACGTCCGCGTTCTACCCTGCGACCATAAGTTTCACCCCCCCTGCATCGACCCCTGGCTAATCAACGTCTCGGGAACCTGCCCATTGTGGTAAGCCCTCTTCATCATCCCCTGCGCCCGGGAACTCTACTAAACCTCACGCGCCAAAGCCGCCTCGACCTCCGCCCGCAAAGCCGCCTAACGCGCGACGGCAGCGTAGACCCAGACGACCCCTTCCTCGTTGCCCCGCCCCTAGTAGCAGCCGAGAACTGGGCCGACCACGAGAATAATAACAACAACAGCAACCCTACCATCAGCACCGTAACCAGCACACAGCAGCACTACAGGCGGTCCTCGCTGTTTCTTGACCTCCACCGCCTGCGCCACGCTTCAATTGAAGAGCGCATCGAGATACTCAGGCGGCATCGCGCGCGCCAGCAGCAGCAGCAGCAGCAGCAGCGCGAGTCAGCAGCAGTAGCCGGCGGTGGTGAGACCGAGGAACAGCGCGGCCGCAGGGCGAGACTTGCAGATCGGCTCAGGGAGCGGCTTCGGATTCGGACTAGGACGCTTAGTCCTCCCAGGGCGGAAGGGGTGGAGCAGATGGGGACGCAGGCGAGTACTCTTGCTCGAGTATAGTCCGGTATACCTCCTACCGTCATCCTTACGCCTCTTTATTTCTTTTCTGGTTTGCTTAAATGATGGGTTTCCGGAGTTTCCCAGTTTGAGATACCCCCCCGCTTACTGTACCCCTTATCATACCTACCACCCCACACCTGTCTGGATGATGGGTATACCGTGGTGGGTTGTGGATGGATGAGCGAAGGCGATATGCTCCCCGCTGATGTTTGATGTTTACTTATCGGTTTGCTCGACTGCTAGTAACGAAACCCCGTGAATGGGGCGGAGTGCGTTGGGTTGCGGGTTCTGATTGGCACTGTCCGGATTCTCCTCCTTTATTTTCTCTACCATTTGTTTTGGGTCCGGCGGGACCTTGGGACTTGCTTCGGGACGGCCATAGCATCGCATGGCGTTGTGTTCGCGTTGTTCATGTTGCGTGGTCTTGTTTCCTCCTGTACTTGGACAGGCGGACTCTGTAGACTTTGGATGGGTGGGACTGTGGACAGCATTGGGAAGATGGTCAGGGGGTTCAGGTACAAAAGCTGCACAACGGTGATGTTGACTCGGGCCGTGTGCTGGGCAGATGGATCACATATCAGGGAGGCGCGTACATGTGGTATACAGTGTTCATGTCCTTGATGCCAGTTTGAAGGACTGGAAGTATAACAGTGGCGAAATGGAGCCCCAAATTCGACAGATTACGGTCGTGTCCCTGACGTGGGTTGTATTACGGTTCACAGAAGTGTTGCTCATAGTATCGGCTTTCCGGCTCGACACAATGACAAGGTTAGTATGCTGATCTTCTGTGTATTGTTGCTTGCTGCTTACCAACTTGAGTGCCTCGGCAGTTCAAAAATGGTCAACCTGAGGGTTTTCGAACTCATTCACTCCGCGCTGGCCACTCTCGGGTATGTAGATCTTGCACATTGGGGATGAAACTCGCTATGAAACCGAATGTGCAAGGGGCACCTGTTTCTTAGCATGACGAATAACCCGAATTTCGGGCTCTATGACTGATCGACACCCCCCCGGACGGCACGGCAGAGTGAGGAGTTCAACCTGGAATTAGACGTTGCTGAACCGGTTGGGTAAGATTCAAACCAAGGCAAACTCACATCATCAGCCGGGCCGGAAACCTGGCGGAGCGGGGAGGTAGGGTTGGGGTTGATTACTGTGTGTTTTAGCTCAGCGCCGAAAACAGTGTTAAAGTAGACTGGGTTTTCAGTCTGGCGCGAGAAGAGGGATGTGAATAGGAATCTGGATGGGAATGGGCATGGGCGGGGGACTCAGTGGATGCGGACTTCACCTGCGCTTATGTGAGACGCGCGTGGTGAGCAACATGGTAATGGGATGGATACCGACTGGTAGAGCTTGGGTTCGGGTCGCATGTAAGGCGGCGTGCTGGATAGACCTAATAAATGGGGTTTGGGTAGAGTAGGTCTGTGTTCCATGAGATGGCTCAAAATGAATTCGAAAGAAACCAGTGTAAATATCACTCTTGTGACTCCAGGGTCTTGTCATTCTCAAAAACAATCTTCTTGCTAACCTAGATGAGAGGGAGTTCTCATCACTGAGTCAAGTCTGCTTGTCGAGGGTGAGCTCGGAATGCCATCCAGCAGGAAGCATGTGAGTTCTGGTGGTGTGGAGAACCAAGAAAGCCTGGTGGCTCGTGACTATCTTGGCCATGCGATGTTCGATATGAAGGAATCTATCATATCTTCTCTGTTTATTGCCTACCTCTTGACTCCCTGGATCTTAAACTGCTTCAAAAGATACTGTCATTTGAGGCCAAAGCCCATAGCAGCCGCCTCAAGGAGCGCGACCACCGATTGGAAGAAAGCACATGCCAAAAATGCATATCGCAGCAAGAACGCCACAGCAGCAACGAGAAGCCGAGTGCTACGCCATGACGATGCATTCCCCAACCCATCACCCTTGTACCATCATCATCCCCCATCTGCCTTTCCGAGGGTCAACCTTCAAATCCTTCCCAACGCTAATATTGCCCCTCCACCTTCATCTTCCCCCTCAGTCCCCCACCCTCATCCTGGCACAAGCAAGTTAGCCACATGCGTCTCTTTAAGGAGGTCATTCTTACGGAAATGATGTGAAAACCTGCAAAGCGAACATACCTCAGCCTTCCTCTTCCCCAGCACGCCAACCCCCGCCACAGTACTCCCCGACGTCTGCTGCAGCGACCCGTACGCCTCGCGATGACAGCTCGCATGGAACACCCTCCCCCCGACCTGCACCGCGTCCGTCCACACCCACTCCTGCGCCTCGTCGAGCCAGGCCATCTCGAACTTCTCCTGACAGACCGGGCAGGCGCTGTTGAGAGCGGACGAGTCCTCCGGCACGGGCAGGTACGGCGTCTTTGCTGCTGCCGCTGCTGCTGCTGCTGCTGCTTTCCCGCCGGCACTGTTCTTGCCGTTGAGGGCGGTTCCAGCGGTAATAGTGGAGCCGGTAGCCGAGGCAGAAGTGGCGGCGGTGGGATCGAGAGACAAAGGAGAAGAGGCGTCGGGAGAAGCGGAGGTGGCGGCGGTGGTGGCGTAATCTGTGTCAACAGCTTCGCGGGTGCGAATCCAATCCTGTATGGCCACAAACAGAAAGCATGTATGGTTAGTCTGATCTCGGTAGAAGGGGTAGAAGGGCGGTTAGTAGGTCAACTTACGAGCTCGTCGACAAACCAGCTCCGGTGTTGCCCGCGCCTCTCGGCCTCGGTCATGCGCTGGTGGACGCGGAAGTGCCAGTCCATGTGTGCCGTCTTCTTGCGGCGGCTCTCGTCATCTGTCTTGAAACGCCGGCCGCACTGCGAGCAGGGCGGGCCGAGCTCTTCGTGGAGCTTGGCGATCAAGTGTGGGCGGAAGCTGAGTAGGGGTTGTGGTGAGTTTATGTCTTTGGAAATATGCGCGACGGCTGTGGACTCACATCTTGAGAGAAGCAGGATTGAGCTGGAGACTCCGATCGGCTCCCACGCCAGCGAGCGACTGGAATGCGCCCAAGGTTGCCGGCAGAGGGGCAGCCGAAGGAGGAGTTCCCGTCGATCCGGACTTGAGAAGGCCAGACTGCCTCAGCATAGCTAGTAACGCAGACGGGTCCGACGGAGGAGGCGCCGCAGAGGCCGGCCTGGCGGGCTCAACAGGTCTCTGCGGAGGTGAACGCAAGGCTGCTGCGATGGCTGCTGTCGCCGCCGGTCCAAGTGCTGGCACCGCAGGAGCAGCAGCAGGAGGAGGCTGCGGCGCAGGTGTAGCCGTCGGCTGAGGTGTGGCAGACTTGCGCGCAGCCCCGGAGAGCAGTGTCGCCAGCGCCCCCTGTCCAAAGATCGAGTCAATCGACACGCCTCCGCCTGGTGCCGGGAGAGGAGGAGGAGCCGCTGCAGCAGAGGAAGGCCGCGCCAGGGCTGCCACGACCGCCGCGGCGGCTGCCGATGGCACGGGCGTCGGCTGTTGAGACACAACCGGAGGTGTTGGAGTGTTCATGTATGGAACTCCGGGAAAGGCGGCGCTGGGCGCAGCGACACCCGCGCCCGCAGCCGGGACTGCGGGCTGGGGGCGAATGTTTACGGCAAGTGCAGCTACTCGATCTCTTATGGCCATCAACTGGTCCTGAGGCATGTCTTGGCTCTGGATGAACATTTGCAAGTCCAGCAATGCCTTCAGTCTTGTCTGTTTACTAGTATCCAGAGGATCTTGTGCAAATTCCGCCTTTTCCGCAACGATCAGTTGCTGGATATCATCTTTCAACTTGTCTATGCTTATTCCTGGTTGGGAAGCGCCATAGACTTGGCCCGCCGGCTGCTGGGATGGCGGATAAAGCCCAGCCACCGGAGCAGGCTGCGGTGTTGCACGATGATGAATCGGAGTTGATCCCTAGTTGGTTCTGTTAGCAACAGAATAAGCGTAACATGTGGGGTGGCAAGAGTGCTTACGATGACTGGATGCGTCGGATACGGCTGCTGAGCCGCATCCGGTCGGTACCCATTGGTACCGGAATAAGGGAGTTGCTGTGGGGGAGGTTGGTATGCCCTGGCCGTCGGCGGTGTGGGAGTCTCTCGGCTGGGGACGGGTTGCCGGCCACGCATGAGCTGTTGTTGCCCCTGATAGCTAGATTGCTGGGCGGCAAAGGCGGCGTTCCGAGCGGCCATCAGAGCATTCTCAATCGGGCGGACCTGCTCTAGCGGGAAGACCGGCTTCGTCGAGATCGAGCCTGGTACTGGTTCTTTCCATGTCTTGAGCATCTCGTCCATTTTCCGACGTGTCGCATTATCGACCTTTGTGTAGGCGCCCATGAAGATGGAGTACAGCTTTGGGCCGAAGTACAGCACATAGGGCGTCGGGACATTCTTGACGATGGAATCAAGGACGTAGAGCGCTGGCAGTGTCCTTGAGGGCGGCACCTGGCAAGTGTTAGTTCCTTGGTTTATCGGTCGCGTGATGTCTAACAGAAACACAGGTGGCCCAATCCACGAGTTCTATCTAGTCAGAACTTACCTTCTTGATGTGGTTCGCCAGAGTCTCAGCGATGGCGAAGCCGTGGTTTGCATTCTCTCGCGCGATGTTGGTGAGTGTGGCAATCTCGATACGCGAGTTGACCGTCAGGTCCTCCAAGGCCTGGCGGTAGTCTTCGGCCACGTCAGCCGCGTTGTCTGCCATGGTTTTGTCGGGCGATTGGGTGTGATAACGATCCCGTGATCAAATAGCAAGCAGATGGGCGTCAATCAAGCGATCGCCGAAGACTGCGCTGCCGTGAGTGAATGAAGCGTGCTGAAGAATCTCCTCTAACGATTCCAGTCACAAGCAGGGGCAGGGCGAATCTCAGAGGCAATTCCCTATTCAGGAGACGAGAACAATAGGCAGAAAAGAACTATTATCCCTCTCTGCGAATGCAACCCGCGCAAATCGCGTCCCACTGCAAGATAATCCTCCGCTGAGAACCCGCCTGTGGTTTTGCCGGGAGGATGCCCAATTCACCAAGCGCACACCATCCACAGCAGACTCTGTTCTATAGTGTGGGTTATGTGAAGAGCGAAGCCGGTGGTTCAAGGGCGTAAAAGTCGCGGATGCGGATGCGAGGCTTCTTGGTTGGACCAGCGAATGGAAAAGGGAGTTTGTGGTTGAAGGGATTTGTGGCCTGCTCTGAAGACGGCGCGATTTAAAGGTACGGCAGTCACACGCATCGATCCGAAGATACCGCACGCAAATGTTGGAGATGAGGGCTGGAAGGAAAATGCGCGTGTCGATTGCAGGTTGGCAGCATGAGGATGCGGACGCAGCTCAGGCAGTGTGCTTGACGTTTGGATCGGAGGTTTGATCGGGTGACTGGCGGCAGGACCGGGCGCGCCAGGCACCACAAAGAACCAGCAGCCTGAGTCGCTCAGTTTCAGGCGCACGGACCACACTTTCAACCTCGGGTGCAGGTCAGTAAAAGCCAGGTTCAGCATGCCTGTTATTTCCAATTTTCACCTCCAGGCGACACCATCGTTTGTCAGCCAAGGCTGAAGTCAGGGCTATGTCATTGTAACCTGGAGGGGTATCGACTCTTGATTTATTATTTTACTGTTGACAAAATTGTGGTTGACTTTGATATGCGTTGTACGGGGTTGCTAAGCAGCCAACATCTGTCAACCCGCCTAACCCGGGGACCTGTTAGTGCTATTTCACACACACCTGCAAGCCCTTGATGTTGACTTTGGTGCTCTGCCATTGCTTAATCTGGTTATTTTCATATCCGGATCTGAGCATAAATTCACGATATTAAATTTCCCTGTCACCTAGCCCATGTCCATTTGAAAACAAAAAGAAGCAGCGGGTATACTTGAAAGCAGCCCAGACTCCAAAACACCCATCCATCTGCCTTCACAGATCCGTTTATCAAGCTAAATCCCTTTAACCTACTAATTATTGACTTTTCGTGTCTATGACGAGAGACAGGAAGTGCCCCAGGAAGAAAGTGTTTTCCTGTCGCCATCACCCTTCAAGCAGCCCCTTAGAACCGATCCATGTGCGCTGCGCTGTAGTGACTTCCCCCGGTCATGGCGGGATGCAGCGCCGTCGGCGGCCGCTGGAGGTCCGGGATGATGGGGCTGGCGCGGTCCCCGTGGCTGTGGCTGCTGTAGCCGCGCTCGACGTCGTCCATGTCCTGCGGGATTGGCTTGCTGATCTGTATGCGCGACTTGCGGAAGTTCATGGGGTTGAGCATGCGCGTCATGCGCCGGACCGCCGCCGACGGCCCCACCGCCTCCTCCACCTTGGACCAGGTATGAGCCGGCCAATTGTCGCGATGCTCCGGGGAATAGTCCGACTTGAGGCTCCGCTCCTGTTCCATGTCCATGCTCTTCTTGGTGGCCTTGCTCACCGCGAGGCTGCCGTAGTGACGGATTTGGCGTACCGTGACGACCATGCCGGTTTCCGTTTCGGTGCGGAAGATGATGGAGGCGATGATGTTGAAGAAGCCGAATGTGACCGAGAGGATGCTAGCAGCGACGATGGCGCGCCACCACTCGAGTCCGATCGTCTCGACGACATACGCCGGTTTCCAGAGGTCTCCCAGAATCTGGAATCCAATAAAGATCATGCCCACGCCGAGCCACGCGAGTGAGTGGTTTGGGCCCAGAACCGGCCAGGTACCCTCAAACCACCGCATTAGCCACCGCCGCGGCAAGGGCAACTCCGAGACGAAGAGGATAGTGGCAAAGAGAAAGACGAAGATGTGAGTCGCCATGTCGAAAAAGTAAAAGTGGTTCGTCCTGCCGGACAGAATTGGCATGACCATGCTGGCCATCATCACGGCGGCCAGGCCGATCAGGTTGAGAGCCCGGATAACATTGAGAAGGACGTGGCCAACGCCCAGGAGCTTGGAGTTTTGTCCTAGAATGAACATGCTTGGTGGCTTTCTGACTTGCTTGGTTTTTTTGACTGCTTTCTTGTTAGCCTTTGTCCAAGATCTAGCCCCCGCTCCGATTGTGCCCCTTTGAACCCCCGCTTGAGGGTCCGGGGGTCTTTGCTGCGGTGATTGCGGTAATGGTCGCAGTAATATTTCTCCAAGTAGTGATGGTAATGTTTGTTGGGGTAGTTGTGGTAATGGTTGGGGTGGCCCTGGACTCGCTTGATGGAATGGCTGCTCGTCCACATCCAACGCCCCCGACATGGTGTATCCATGCGTTGAGCTCTCCACAGCAGCGCCCGGCAGCGGCTGGGCTGGCGCCTTGTGGCGCAAGGCAGTCGACGGCCCGGCCTGGGCGAAAGATGCCACGATCTTTGCCTTACGACGGAAAGTCGTCACAGGGCAGACGCGTCTCTTGAGGGGTGTAGATTGCACAGGGGAGATCGGTCGCTCAGGGAGAGCCGATTCCTCAGTCTGACTCACTGAATCGACAAAGTCCTGCGCGTCGGTGTATATGAAGTCGCGGGAATCTGCCGATACCATCGAGTCACGCGCCGCGCCTTTCGGCACGGCAGAATGCTGAGAACGTACTGTCGACTGCCAAATCATCTCGATAGAAGAGGACGCCATGATGGGAGACGGTCTTCGCGAGTTGCATGGGCTGCGATATGAGGGGCAGGGGGAAGGCTGGTCCTGAAAACTGTGCTTTGGCTGCCAAGGTCGGAAGGGGGAGAGGGCCCACGCATACGTACTTACAGAGAGTGTGTGATCCGAATTAGTAGACTGCCTGCAGTTTTTGAATGTTGGGTGACGCTCGTGATAATCTGCTGGCAGATCCACAGACAGCTGGATGACGAAATGATATGTTGGAAAGAGAGAAAAGAACAAGAGTTGGTCAAGAAATACGAGTGCGACGGCCCAGGCCGTGCTGCTGAGGAGCGGATAAATGGGAAAAGAACGGACAATAGATCAATAGGAAATAGTTTTCATTGTTGGGAGACCCAACAATAGCGGCCCGACAAAGGTGATGGCGAGAAAGGATCGGGCTCGAAGTGCTGTGGTGGCGAGCGGCCCTTATAACAATCCAACAATAGGAACAGCTGCCACTGTCATGACAGTTGACGTCCAATAAAGAAAAGAAACAAGTGACAAGGAGCAACGGGAGCAGGGAATAATGGGCAACGAGGTGGTCCGCCGGTGGCCCCATGACGTTTCGCATTCTCGCAAATGGTGTTTCTTTCGTTTCTGGCCAATGAAGCCATAGGCGCTGTTATGGCTCTAAGGAAGAGAGCACCAAGGCTTGCCAGCCCGTTTCATGAAAGAGATACGGCAGGTAGAACTGGGTCTCGAGAACAGGGGCTCACGCGTCTACTGTGGGAGTGAGCAAGAGCTTGTCGGTCTCGGCTCATGGCATCGGCGGATGCTGCCTCCAGGCATGGGGCAGCAAGATCCGTGGTCGAGGCCGGCATGCGACGATCTGTGGCCGCAAGGTCCCACGCGGAGCCGGTGGGTTGTCGACTGGCCAGCGCATAACGCGACTTGTCAATCCACGACATCCAATGGTTCAGACGGCGCTGCTTGAGGCGAGAACAGTTGCTGTTCGGAGACTGATGCCAGGGGCTTGAGTTGGACGGAGCATCGCATCTTCAAATCCGGGCGTGTTGAATGCATTGATTGGCTCAGAGCGAGCCAAGGCCGTTTCAGACCTTTAGCCTTTGGCACCACCGACCTGATATCGCATATGCTGAATTTAGATCATCTTGACATTGTGGGTGCCTGAGGGATCAGAGAAGGAGGCATAGAGGGAAAGACTGTCAGTGAGTGCTGCGCGGATAAATTTGTACGCGTGCACAGCTTGAAGTTCTTCGTGAGGTTGTGAGGACGTTGAACCCTTTCAGGTTTCTACAGGTTCCTGTTTCTTCGTGCCCAAGGTACTCAAAGCACAGACCATTTTGAGAACTGCTTTCGCAAAAGAACCTTAAACGCACAGGGTTAGGGGTGACGGCCGAGGTCGAGATCGCCTGACCAAACCGAATACGAATACCCATCCATGCCCTCTACACAGTAGACTTATTTTCGGATGGAATTACCCTGATTCAAATGAGACCCTTGACAGCCAGGAGACGGTCGACGCCCGGGTGCCAACACAAACGCGGAAAGGCGCAGATCCGCGCGTCTAAGACACGAGGCAGTAGAGCCTTGATTGGATGGGATTTTGCACCTGGTAAGATTCGCTTGGCGCTCTGTTCTGGGCGCTTCCACGGCGGGGACCCGCACAGCCTCATCTGAGGCTACCGATTTGGGGAGAGGGAGCCTCTCCATCCACTTTTTGCCATCAAACTCACATCCACCATTAGGCCCTTACCCTTCTAGCGAACGGCAGGGGAACGAGGCACGCACCGCGCGCAACTGCAAAGCGAGGTTTCCTTCTTGCCCCCATCTCCAACGGTCTCTAGCGCTTTACTACCAACTGCACTTCAACCGGCAAAATGGCTCGCGGAAACCAGCGCGACAAGGCTCGTGAGGCCAACCAGAAGAAGCAGGCCGCCATGGTACGATACACCCCTCTCTCAGATTCCCCGGCACACTCAAAGACGCGCGAGTCGCATCCCAAAACCGAATCTAACTAGTCGTCGCTACACACAGAAAAAGGGTCACAATATGAGCGGCAGCGAGCTGGCGAAAGCGAAGGAGATAGCCGCGCAAAAGATGCGCGAGAAACAGGCAGCCGGTATGCATCGACCCGCGACCCAGAGCTGAAATATCCCAGTTTTTGGTTTTGCGGCACCCCGTCCCGATCGATCGGAACGCCCATACTAACCGCCGTCGCTAGCGGACGCAAGGAAGGCAGCTGAAGCCGCCGCGAGCAGCGCCGGCAGAAAATGAAGAACGAAAAAGCCGACTACCGAACGACCGAAACGACAATTTTTACCATAACCTACACGCACCCATGACCTAGAGCGGACGCATTCCTGAATCTATGGAGTTTGGTCCGGCGTCAAAAGACAGGGGGAGGAATATCCATTCATGCATACTTTATCATCTTTGGAGACCGGGACCAGGCGCAAAAGTCAAGGGGCGTTTCGCTGGCTTTTGCCGATAGTAGGCGTAGTGTGTTGGCAAGTTTGGCTTGCCCTCCTTCTTCCTTTTGTTCAGGTAGCGCAGCGATCTGGGTAGGGGTAGCTTGCTCTTTTCTTCTGTTTACCCCTTGACAGAAAGTGATACCGTAGTTGTTGGCCTTCCGGTTGTCGAGAGTCTTCCCTAGACACGACTAACGCACCTGAACGGCTTCCTCCATGCCAAGGTCTAGGACATCAGGGCCCGAGGGCCATGAAATTAGGAGCACTACAGGCGCCAAACGTCACGTCTTACGATGCAGCCACGTAGATACAGACACTCATATCTTAGCAGAGACATATTTATCTTGGTCACCGAAGATACAACTCATACAGGGAAAAAGATCATTATTCCACCTCAACGTTATGAATTAAGATTTGAGCATCCAGACAATACGAGCCAGTCATATACCTCCCTGCCCCAACAAAAGCCCAGGTTGGGTAGCAGGAGAGAGCCACGGTGAACAGAAGAGAAACAAACAGAAAAAAAGACATCTACAGGGTATGGTATCTCCACCTTCCCATCCTATCACGGCCCCTTCAAAACCGCGCACACGAACCAGAAATAACCCTCTCCACGCACACACGCGCTCTGAACAATGCTTCAAGCAGCGTACCTCTTACGAGCGGCGGGCGGAGCCTGGACCATGGCCATGGGGACGGCGCCTGTGCCATTTCAAAATCATCAGCAACAGTCCTCAACCAAAAAGGGGACGGAGAAAGAGGAAGAAAAGGCATGCTCACCACCCCACCCACCAAAGCTATCCCTCCCCTGCACCGCCTGATTGGGGAACCCGCCGAAACTGCACTGCACGGCGCACACGCACGACCCATCGGCCGCGATAGTGCCCGTGCCGGTCGCGACGCCCGTGTTGGCCGCGCCAGCCGCCGCATCTGTGGCCGTCGTGGCGACTCCCGGCAGGGGCGCGAGCGTACCCGACGCAGAGGCGGAAGAAGCAGAGGCGCCGGCGCTGGCGCTGGCATTGGGGTCGGCGGCAGGCGGGTTGCCCGTGATGGCGGAGCCGGCGCCGTTGCCGTTCTGCTGGATCGCGAGGGCCTGGAACTGCGCGTGCGTCTTTTCGGCGGTCGGGTTGATGGAGAAGACCATGCCCCGGCCGCAGTGGTTGCCTTGGCGGCAGTAAAACCCTGGGGGAAACGGGAACTGGTTAGTGGTGGGCTTCGGAGGGGTAAAAGGGGCCAAGAGAGGTTAGGGGGAAACGACGGTGAGCGTACAAAGAGGAGTGTCGACCATCACCTGCATGGCGACCTGCGGCGGTGGGTTGACGGTGTTGTTGGGGTTGGCCTGGTATCCCGAGTCCATGCCGCCGTCGAGGGCGACGCAGGGGGTGTCGAAGGCGGACTGGGTAGCTGTGTGGTTCTGGCTGAGGACGGTGAAGATGACGGTGTCGCCGACGGCCGCGCTCAGCTGGGGCGGGCTGAAAGCGAGGCCCTGCGGGCCACCGACCGTGACGCTGTGGGTTGCGCCGCCGGCGACGACGGTGGTACCGGGGGCAGGGGCGGCGAGCGTCGTTGTGCCGGCGTCGCCGGTCACGACGGCCGGGGGCGCGGTGGCGGCGCCGCCGTGGGCAACGGTTTGGGTGACGGTGACGGTCGATGCGGCCCCGAGGACGGTGGTTGCCGCGCCGCCGCCGATGTTGACCCAGAGGAAGTTGATGGATGTGCCACTGCCCTTGTTGAGACCGATCAGGCGGGCGAGCTCGGCAAGTTGCGCCTCGGACGCCTCGATTTTGCTGACGCCGCCGACCTGCAAATGACCATCTCGCGGGTAGATATTGTTAACCGCCTTTCCCAGCGCCAGGGGCGACATGCCCAATGACATTGCCGTTGAGAACTTCATTGTGCCGTCTTTTGATCTCCTTTGCTTCGTCTCTCTTTCCTCGCAAGCTCTTGTTACTTTCGCAGACCGGAAAGGTAATATGAGAGGAAGAAGGTGGAATAATCTGGATGCCTTGAAAGCGAGTCCCTGCTCGTGTAGAAGCGAAAGAAAAGAATGGATCAACCAAATGAGCGAATACACACACAGAGAGAAGGCAACGGTGGAAGAGGGAGATGGTGAAGAAGAGAAGCAGAAACAAGACTTCTTGAGAAGAAGGGTGGCCACCTCGAGAGGGCCCGGCAGGGCTTAAATCGCAGCATGATGATCTTAGAACACGGCATCCCAAGCGCTGGGTTCGAGAAGATCCCGGCCAGCTAGGGGAGAGGGGGCGTAATGTTCTGAGCTGGCTCGAAACAGTCGGATAGGCATCACCGTGGTAGCGGCTCCCTGCCATGCCTTGCTAAGTGTTTGAGGCGTCTGCGCAGAACGGGCTGGCATCGACAGGCAACCCGATCGATGCTTGCTGTCTGCTGAGAGGGCTGTGGCTGGCCCAAACCGGAAGGGGTGGGAGCAGGAGGCGTGCTGTGACATAGCCGTCTCAGACTTGTGTTTGGCATTTCGCCAAGCCTTGGTGTGCACGGACGAGGAAGGAGACGGCGGCAAGGAACAACCCCGGACACTTGGTCCAGAACGCGACTCGTCGATACCAAGGCGAGCACGGTTCTCAGATTCTGGGCTTTGAGAGAAGTGATGGCGGAAGTTCCAACCTAGATGATGGTATCTTCGAGCGGTCAGATAGTGTTCGCAAATCAATGTTATCCCAAGGGTTGCCCGGCGGGCGGTATTGTCATCTGCAGAATACGCGGGCGAGTCTACGAACCACATCCGACGCGCTTACACCAGACAGCTGCTGGCGGCAACGACAGCGCCGAGGAGAACGGCAGACGCCCTGGCATGTTGAATACCCAAGGCGGCAGAGCGGCGGCCGGCGATTCAACGACTCGCTAAATAAATTGTTTGAGCCGGCTGGCTTCCTGGGATGATGGAAGTGCGGGCTTTTCGCTAACTTGACAACGCCATCCGTCTGAAGTCGAGATGGTGCCGACTGCAGTGATGCGTGTGAGTATGCATTTGTTACTCCTTAGACACTCCAGGAAGGGAACGCCTGAGTGTTCCGTAGTATCTGTAATCTACCTTCCTCGAATATGGTATCCGTACTGACAAGTTGAAGTCGAGATAACCTAACATCGGGCATGGTTCAATCCCATAAAGTGCTGGTTCTTGGCGCAACTCGTTTAGCCCGGTTTCCCTTGGCATTCAGAAAAGCAAGCCATTCGTTCTCCTAGCAGCGCAACTGGACCGTTGAACGTTAGGAAGCCAACGCGGCAAGAAGGAGCATCGCTGCGCTTGTACATGAAACAAAGCGATTGCCCGCAAGCTACCTTACCTTACGGAAGTACTGTACATTAAGGCTAGATCGTGCACTGGGATGCTTGGCATATTCAAAACGGCCATTGGGAGTCTAGGACCTGGGATTCATGACTGCGGGAAGTGGCTCGGATGACGGAATCAGCGTCCCGTGGAATGAGAGTGCGTCTCTCCCACGTGCACTAATGCCGAATGGCAAGAGAGAATGACTAGGCACCTTATATGTATCCGTGAAGTGGCTGCGTGGTTGATACATGCCGTGGCTACGCTCACAGACACTGGCAAGAGCCGTGGTGGAAACGCGGGGTTCTGGAACGCGAGTCGTCGCAGATTTTGCGGTTGACGGCGATCAGGGTTTTGTGACGAGAGCTGGAGACCCTAGAACAGGATTTCCCCCATAATTACACCGATCCTACGCAGTTATCCGTATTGACACCTGGGGTCCTTCCAGGACCGCTGGATTCCTTTTTTGTTCACCTCTGTTCTTTGAAGAGTCAATGCGCTGATGATGGGCTTTGTTCGTTCAATTTGGCCAGGAGGATAATCCTTTCATATACGGGTTGAAAGCCCGACATACCCAGATGATTTCTCAAGTACCGATGGCAAGCCTTACTAACATGGACTTCCCATGTGTTATCAAGGGTCCCTCTGAGCTTCCTTTGCTTGTTGCAGTCCTTGTTGTTTTCCCTCGTAGAGACCCGTGTAGTAACCTGTAAGGGTTAGATGATGGCAAGATTGAGCGCAGAGCAGGGCAAGCTGACCTGCATAATACCACGACATCAGGAGCTTCTTGAGCTCCTCGTCGTGAACTATACCCACCCATGTGTTAGCCCTGCCGGGGCAATTCGACCTCTGACATCCCAAGACTTACCAGTCCCCAACAGCGTCTGTGGTCCCATTCCGGAAGCCTGCCCGGCCAGCACCTCGTTTGTCTGCATCGGTTCATCCGTCAGCAACGAGAAACGAGTAAGGGAGAGAGGCCTTGGAAGCCGTTTCACGCCAAGCTCTGGCGATCTCCAAATTCTCGTCCCTGCAGGTCAGCAGTCAGGCCATCATACCTTGTCCGCCAAACCGGAGCCTTGGACATCCGAGATTGCCGGGTGCGATGTTTCGTTGCTCTCGTCCATGGGTATCGTCTCATCTACCTCCGCTTCCTCTGCTGCTGCTTCCACCTCCGCGCTTGTTTCAGGCTTGGCATTGGACCGAGTTCTACCGTGGCATTAGAAAGAGCAACATGGCCCCAGACTCTTCTCCCCTTCCTCTTGGTATTGTCTCCCGAGCGTTTGGGGAAGTGCTGGCTTACATCGCTTCTGGCTCGTGTAGGATGCCGTCGACTGTCCCTCCTTTGGCATGGACGCTGTGATACCTCTGCAGCTGGGGTTAGCCTCGAGTCTCTGATGCCGGCGTGCCGCTGCAATGGATTCGAAACACCGACCTTGTACTCTTCCAATGCCTGGTTCCAGGATTCCACCAGCGCCGAGTCGTCCCATATCTCTTCGTGGGATGCCGCTGCGTCGGGGTTCATTTTAATGGAGCTGGTGCAGTGTGTTGCCAGAGTGAAGAATTTTGGAAGGCTCAGATGCTTGATGCCAACCTGATTTCATCCCACCCCTCCCAAATCCATCGGTCTTCCACAAACCTTCGGTTTTTATCCTAGGTAGTTCCATTCTTCTCAGATTTCTTATTTCTTTTGTATCTTCACAATTTGTCCAGGCAAAGAACCGTCATGACCGTATCTTCCGCTCTCTTCATTCCAAGGCCACCCCAATTAAAGCCCTACGCTGTACCGTACATTAGGCGGAACAATTCGCTTCCCCTTTACCCGGTGCTGGGTGTGATGAGAGAGAGTGTACAAACACGGCCCGGGCTCGGTTTTCCCTCCGAGGGCGGGCGGGATCGGAGCAAGCCCGCCATCGGCCTTGGCGAGCACCCCGCCGATTCCCGGTTCCGGGCGCCCGCCCGCATTCCCCCGCCATCAGCTGCACATCCGCATTGCCCTGGAGGAGGCGGTCCGTGATCAAAAGATCGGCCTCTACCCAGACGCAATGCTGTGCGTTCTGGTCTTGTCGAACAGTCTCTCCTAGACACGCGGATCCGGCCCCTCACAACCTATGGGTCTCTCAGAGCCTTTGCTTTGCTTCTTATTAGCGTCCGTTTCCACCTGCGCCGAGAAGTTCCATTTGAGCGCCTAAAAGTGGGAAATATGGGGTTTGAATAGAAGCCAGGTGGGACCATGGCACTTTACCATTCTGCCCCTCATCCCGCCCGATCCCAACAGCTTTTGGTGGGCTCAGAACTTCTGGTCTGTCCTTTCCAGAATCTGATACTCGAGATACTTGATTTTCCTCGTCTCTACCGTTGCTGTGTGCAAGGTGATCTCATCTAACGACAGCAAGCGGGTCAGTTGCCCAAAGTTTTGCAAGGATTGTGTCCGACTATTACCGAATCTCTTCTCGGAAGTCGAAGAGGGGCAATGTAAGGAGTGGTCTCCCCATGTCCAACTCGTCTGAAGCACTAACCGATCTTATTATATGTCAGGGCTTCCCAGGTTGGTGCAACATCGTACCTTTCAGCATACCGCTACCTCCAACTGCCATAGCTCACTCACCAATTCACAACAGGACCATTACATCGGCATCGATGTCGGGACTGGCTCCGCCCGAGCCTGCATCATTGACTCAACGGGTGAGATCAAAGGTCTCGCAACGGAGGACATCAAACTCTGGCAGCCAAGTCATGACTATGGCGGTTCACACTATGCAAGCTTCCCCCACGGGCGCCCCCTTCACCACCCGGTTTCCGATGTCGTTAGCCAAACTAACCTTTCAACCGCAGGAGCAATCCACAACCGACATCTGGCGCGCCGTCGCCGCCTGCGTGCGCCGGACCCTCGCCGACTCGCACGCGGACCCGGCCTCAATCAGGGGGATCGGTTTCGACGCGACCTGCTCGCTGGCCGTCTTCACGCACGAGACGGACGAGCCGGTGCCCGTGACGTGGCCGGACTTTGCCAACGACGGCAACGACCGCAACGTGATCCTCTGGCTGGACCACCGCGCCCTGGCCGAGACCGAGAAGATCAACGCCACGGGCCACCGCTTGCTGCGCTACCTCGGCGGCAAGATGAACGTCGAGATGGAGATGCCCAAGGTCCTCTGGCTCAAGAATCACATGCCGCCCGACCTGTTTGCGCGCTGCAAGTTCTACGACCTGGCCGATGCGCTGACGCACCTCGCGACGGGTGGCGAAACCCGCAGCTTCTGCAGTGCCATCTGTAAGCAAGGCTATGTGCCGGTGGGTGTGGATGGGAGCGTCAAGGGGTGGCAGGAGGACTTTTACCGAGCGATTGGGCTTGAGGAGTTGGCGGATGATGGGTTTCGGAAGGTTGGTGGGGTGAATGGGGTGGTGAGCGCTTCCTTCCCACCGTCCTTCTTCGTATCAAGCTGGGCGGTTGGCTGACTATGTGTTGAAGAATGGCCAGTTCCTGAGTGCTGGCGAGCTTGTCGGAGGCTTGTGCGAGAAGGCAGCCAAGGACTTTGGCCTGCCGCCCGGTATCCCCATCGGAAGTGGTGTTATTGATGCGTACGCCGGCTGGATTGGCACAGTCGGAGCGAAGGTGAAGCTGGATCCGGATTGCATAGACGACTTGGCAGCGCCGAACGATGTCTCGCAGGCCTTCACCAGACTGGCGGCAGTTGCTGGGACATCGACTTGCCATCTGGCCATGTCGAGAAATCCCGTCTTCGTGCCCGGGGTGTGGGGTCCCTACCGGGACGTGCTGATTCCAGGCTTCTGGATGGCTGAAGGAGGGCAATCAGCCACGGGCGAACTAATGAAGCACATGCTCGAAACGCATGCAGCGTACGCCGAGGCAGCGAAAGAGGCCGAGTTAGCAGGCAAGAACATCTACGACTACCTCAACGACCGCCTCCGGCACCTGGCGGAAACCAACAAGGCGCCATCTATCTCGTACCTCGCCCGGCATCTCTTCTTTTACGGCGACCTCTGGGGCAACCGGTCGCCAATTGCGGACCCCAACATGCGCGGCGCCATCATCGGCATGGGCAGCGACAAGAGCAAGAACAGCATGGCGCTGCTGTATTACTCAACCATGGAGTTCATCGCGCTGCAGACACGCCAGATTGTCGAGACCATGAATAACTCAGGCCACAGCATCCGCAACATCTTCATGTCCGGAAGCCAGTGCCAAAACGAGATCCTCATGGAACTGATTGCCACGGCATGCGGCATGCCGGTGCTGATACCGAGGTATGTCAACGCTGCAGTTGTGCACGGGGCGGCGATGCTGGGGGCCAAGGCGGCGAGCGCGGACAAGGACGGCAAGACGCAGTCGCTGTGGGATATAATGGACCGGATGAGCAAGCCGGGCAAGGTGGTGTGGTCCAAGGGGGATTCAGCCGAGAAGAAGCTGCTGGATGCCAAGTACGAGGTTTTCCTGGACCAGTGCCGGACCCAGCAGGAGTATAGGAGAAAGGTTGATGAGGCGCTCAAGGGCTCGTCGTTTGTTACCAAGCGGGGTCAGTGAAACTGGTCTGTCAAGCACTTGGTTTTAGAAGTAAACGGCAATGGACATGTAGATGCTGATAATGGAGACAAATAATCATTAAATCCTTTCTGTACTTCGTATTTGTACCGTCAACTGCTCGGCTTTGACAGTAGACGCTGGCTTGGATGGCGTTGAGCTGTGCTGGGGGTTTGGCTCAGGGAAGAGAAATTGGCTGGCTAACCAAAACGTCCAGAATGAAAGGAGTTAAGATGGAAGGTAGCGTTAGGTTGTAGGTGGCCCAAGCTTCCCACTAGCGCTAACTTGCGTGAATGCACCAGGACCTTGCTGGTCGCCCCACCTCAGTTGTCCCTTCAGGCGCGTTCAAGCATTTTCAAGCTGCGACTTTAACAAGCAGAAACAAACCAAACCAGTGGGATTTTGCTCGAGCTTCCCTTCTACACAACCCGCGTCATTTTCACGCGTTGCTTCTCTGGTGACTGACAAGAACGCCCAGAAAGGCCGATTTGGACGCGGAAGTCAACATCAAACATGTTCATGGGAAAGGGGACGCCCGGGACGGCGACGTCGACGGGAAGCCTGGGCGCATCAACATTGTTTGGGGGGTCCACGGGAACCGCCCCCCCCGGGGCAGCAACAGGCGCCGGCAACAGCATTTTTGGCTCGACGACGACAGGATCCTCCCTCTTTGGTGGCAAGCCAGCGACCGGTGCAACCACGACGCCGACCCAGGCCCAACCGTCAACAGCCTTCGGCTCCTCGCTCTTTGGCACCTCGACCACAACCCCGAAAACATCCCTCTTTGGAGGCGCCCCGGCGGGAACAACTAGTAGCCAGGCCGCGGCCGGCAACAGTCTTTTCGGCGCCACTCTGGGATTGGGCACCTCGACGGCTACGACGCAGCCAGCTTCTGGAACAAGCCTCTTCCCCTCGGCCGCTCCGGCCGGCGGTCTCAACCTCGGCCTCGGCAACAACACCACCACAAATCCCGCTGCCTCGACGAGCCAACAGCCGCAACAAGCAGCGGCGTCAGCGACCGGCGCTCTCTTCGACAGTCTCCTGGCAAAGAATAAGAAACAAGCTGAGGGCGAGACTGCGCTCGGCGACCTGCCATCTCTGCAGTTGGGTCTTAGCGACCTGCGCCAGCGCCTCAAGAAGCTTGGGCCGTCACAGGATAAGCCTCTCGAGCATGGAAAGGCACACTACTTCCTCGCCGCATCGGGCGTTGACCCCGGCGCAGCGGTGCGAGACCTGGGCGCGTTCGGGCTTCAAGCGCGAGAGCGTGGCGCCCCTGGCCAGGGAGTCGGGTTTGGCGGCGGCATCGGCGAGGTGGATGTCGAGACCTACCTTTCGAACTTGCAGACCAAGACGACGCTGAGCATGATTGCCGACGGGTTGGAACGGTCAGTGCGGGATTTCGACGCCTTCCTCGAGGAGAACGTCACAATGGAGTGGGAGGCGCAGCGCAAGAGAATCTATCAGCACTTTGGCATCAAGCCAAGGGAGGAGACGGCCGGGGCGACCACACAATCTGCTGCTCGCGCATCGACCCCGTCCAAGGAGGGCCAGGGCACATTTGGTCGGTCTAGACGCAAGGTGAGCCAGGCTCCCGCTGGGGAGCGGCCGTCGCAGCGAGCGAGCGTGCTGGGTCGGTCGGCCATGCAGCGCTCTGTTATTGGAACACCGACCCGGATCGGATCACATGCCCCTGGATTTACCGATGTGGAAGCTCGCAAAGATCAGGCTGGGTTGAATGGCGTTGGGTCCATGGACGATCGGTTCTTGCGAGAGAAGCAAGGCAAGTTGGCCGAGAAGATTCACGAATTCAACAACGCCCGCCAGCGAGGACTTCCCGTTTACATCTGCCGCGACTTGGCCGAGTTGGAGTCAAAGTCGGGAGACCGCCACGGACCGCATATCGTGGAAGCTTACCGCGCCATGATGGAGATTGTCGGCGAGTTCCCCGAAGCGGAAGAGACCCCTCGAGAACGGCAGTTCGCCAAGATGTACCTGGATCCGAACCCCCAGTCCCAGAACGCAGTGGCTATGCGGAAACAGATCCTTAACGGGGCCAACGCGTTCTTGGAAAAGCAGTTCTGGATTGAAGTTAACTCGCTCATCGCCAAGTACCCTCAAGACGCCAACTTGGGTGGTCGTCCTGACGTGGTCAGCAAGATCAAGGCCTACATCCGACTTCGCATCGCCCGGAAGACGCTGGTCCCGGACAACGTCGACCTCCAGCAAGCGAACGGCGAGTATATTTGGGCGATCGTCTTCTACCTTCTGCGGGCGGGCTTTGTCAACGAAGCGGCGCAGTACGTCAACAACAACCAGAATCACTTCCGCAGCATCGACCGGACCTTCTCGGGATACATCAACAGTTATGCGTCGAGCGAGGAGCGCCGGCTCAAGCGACAGATGCAGGACCGGTGTACGAGCGAATATAATCAGCGGATCCGCAATGCCCCGGAAGGCTCCATCGATCCCTTCCGCATGGCGTGCTACAAGATCATCGGCCGATGCGATCTCAGCAACCGGAGCCTGGAAGGGCTGCAAACGGATGTCAACGACTGGATTTGGCTGCAGTTCAATCTGGCCCGGGAGACAGACCGGTTTTTGGAGCTAGCTGGCGAGTCGTACGGCCTCAGCGAGCTCCAGACAAGCATCCGCGAAATTGGTCTCAAGCACTTTCCGAAGGCGCCAGCCGAGGATACTAATGGTAGCTTCGGCATGTTCTTCTACCTGCAGGTGTTGTCAGGCATGTTCGAGCAGGCCATTGCTTACCTGTATCCCTTCTCCTACGTCGACGCCGTTCACTTCGCCATTGCGCTCACTTACTACGGGCTCCTGCGCCCGGCAGACGCACAGTCGACTGCTAACGAGCTCCTCTCGCACAACACGCGGAGCCAGCCGCAAATTAACTTTGGCCGCATGCTCGGCTACTACACGCGCGATTTCCGAGCTGCCAATGCCGCCGCCGCCGTGGACTATCTCGTGCTCATCTGCCTCAACGCAGACGAAGCCGGTGGCCCGCAGCAGGCGGCGCTTTGCCACGAGGCTCTGCGCGAGCTGGTGCTCGAGTCGCGCGAGTTCAGCCGGTTGATTGGCGACATCAGGCCCGACGGGCGGCGCATCAAGGGAGTCATTGAGGAGCGCGGCTCGCTGATTGCGCTGGGCCAAGAAACTGACTTCATTCGCGCCATCACGCTGCAGGCGGCCAGCTTTGCCGACGACAACGGGCGGACGACTGACGCGGTGCTGCTGTACCATTTAGCCGAGGACTATGACACGGTGGTCTCGATTGTTAGCCGGGCGTTGAGCGAGGCCATCTCGCTCGAGATTGGCGAGGACCCCATGCGGTTGGTGCCGGTGAAGCCGCGCGTCGAGGGCGGCGGTGCCGAGCCCGATGCGCAGCCGGGCAGCAGTCTGAGCCTGGCGGCGATTGACGACCCCGTCGAGCTGGCCAAGACCATGATGAGCATGTACGAGAGGGACCACATGTTCTGGCAGAAGATCCGTGAGCCGAACCGCGTGGCATGTAACGTGCTGCTGCAGATGAGCGACATCAAGAGCTTGGTGGAGCAGGGCAAGTGGCCGCAGTGCTTGGATGTGAGTGGTAGCCCCCCTACAAATGGCCCCGAGTCTTTATTGTGTTTGATACTGACGATTGCCCAGAAAATTCGCGCTCTGGATATCCTGCCGCTCAGCGCCGGCGGCGACCCGAGCGTGATCCGCAGCTACGCGGCCCGCTTCTCGTCTCTGTCGCAACCCGTTGCGATCAACGTACCAAACCTGATCATGTGGACCATCATCTGCTGCACCAAACAGCGCGAGCGCCTCATGACAGGCCAGTTCAGCGGCAACCAGTCGACGGCGCGCCAGATGGTGGACGAGCTCAAGCAGATGAGCGTGGACTTGACGGCGTACACCAGCCAGTTGCGATACCGTCTGCCGCCGCATCTGCACGAGGCTTTGGCCAGGGCTTCGGCGGACTAAGGAACCGGGATGTAAGGGGTTGCTGGACAGGAGGTGGATTTGGTGTTGGGCAAGAAAATGATGTATGGATCTCCCTCTTATTGTTTAGATTAATGGCCACACAACATGTGTGCGTCCTCTACCTTTCTCCTCTACTGAATTGTCAAGGTTACCTGTGCCGCGTTTAAACCAGCACTTGTCACCTTCAGAATCACTCTACCCATGGGCCCCGGCTTCGCTCATACAATGGCGAGAGCCAGTCCGCTGAATGCCCCGTGTTCCTTTGACACAACGACGTCATGTCGGCAGGTTGCCATTATCTGTCGCTGCGATCTCACCGGGTCGTTCCACTGAGATAGCTTGGAGATTCCATGGCTTCGCTAAGGCCGACACGCTCGAATCATGTCTTAAGCGGTTCTCATCTACTCAGGCTGTGGATGATGCACAAGTCGAGGGCAATACTGACGCTGCATCAAAGGTGAGCTAGCAGGAAGATATCGGTCAGCAGTCCCAGCACCTTGAGCCCGAAACCAAAGGTAGGCTTCAAGTCGATGATGGTGGCCTCCATGCCTGGCAACAAGACAAGGGCTCGTAGAGGGGGACCAAACCACTGAATCTGCAACCCAACTCGGCCGACCAAGTTTGGAGAGGCCGGGCAACTGCGTGCTCGGTGCAGCTTCAGCTGATGTACGTTGACTGACCGACCTGTTAAAAGGGCTAGTCGAGAGGACGATTTTTACATACATTTTTTGGGCTTCACTAACAAACGGGGTGGACCGATACTTGCACGCATCCCGCCTGTGAACGATTGTGCTGCTCATTCCAGAGTCATTGAACTTTGAGAGGACGGCAGGTCGAACTCCTTCCACGGAGACTTCGATCATACCTGGAAGAAGGTTCCGCATCTTGTGTTTCTCTCCTTCTTTCTAAATCAAAAGCCACAAGTTAATGGTACCTTATGTAAGTAAGACACACGCTATGCAAACAGTTATAAGGTATGGGCTTAGGTATCAATTCTACCAAGAAATTCGAGCTACGGTCATGTGTGTTGATGTTTGCCAGGCAGGCGAGCAGCCTGCCAAGACGGTCTCCGTGCCGCTGCCTAGCTCCTGACTCGCTTCAGATGCCCCTTCCTCAAATGCGTGAATCGTGATCGTTCCCCACCAACGAACACTTTGGTCGGGCGGTCAAACACACGAAGAGACCCAGAACAAGGGGTCGACGGGTCAGCACAGCAGCGGCCCAACGGTTCTGGTTGGACGTGCCTTGCAGGATTACGGATACATATGAAGTATCCATTCGATTTATTTGTTTACTTTGCTCAATTCGTTTTATGCATATCCGTATGGCGTCTTCTTCCTTTCCCGTCCACTTAGCCGCGTCCCGCACGAACTCCAGCGACGCACAAGACAGCCAACAACCGAGATCCCATTCCGACCCCAACGTCGTTTCCGTCCTCAGCCCTCCACCGGGGCCGGGTCGGAAGCGTAGCTATGGCGGCGGGTCGCAATCTGACCCCGGCGGTGCTGCTGACCGAGATGCCCGGCCGTCCGAATCAGATGCGCACCACCAGTTCAGGGCAGAGGCTGGCTCCAGATTGCCCAGTCTCGACACGCCCGAGAGCACAGATGCTGCTGACTCGTCTAAAAAGCGCAAGACAGCCAAGGGGTCGCGTGGTGTAGCGAATCTGACTCCGGAGCAGCTAGAAAGGAAACGGGCCAACGGTGAGTGGGCCCCAATCCCGAACCGAACCCGGACTCGGCACTCGGACCGGGGCCTCGGCTATCCCGAGCTGACACCATGAAGACCGCGAGGCCCAGCGTGCCATCCGAGAACGCCAGCGGCTGCGCACTGAGCAGTATGAACGCCAGATCGCCGAGCTCAAGTCCACCCGGCCCTACCAGGAGCTGCAGAACGCCCTGCGCCAGAAGGAGGCGGTTGAGGCCGAGCTCGCTGACCTGAAGAGGTGCATGGCCGCCATCGTGTCCATGATCCAACCTGTTCTCGGCAGGTCCGCCGGTCTTGGTATGTCTGGCGACGATGCTCCTGTACCGCCGGGCCGGCTAGCCCAGGGGCTGACAGGAGCTCCAGCCGACCAGTCCTGCCAGTCTTCCTTCCACGGCCATCCCCTCACACAACCGCTCACAGCATCAAGCACCCACAACTCCGCGTCGACGCCGACAAGCGCCACCTCGCCGGCATCCGTGGGGACCCACGGCCGGTGGCAGAGCAGCCTCTCGCCTGTTGCCCCTCCTGCTAGCGTCGACGGGCAACACCCGCAGCCGTCGCCAGAAATGGCTTTGCTCCACCAACAGCGCTGTGACCTTGCCCACGGCTTGGACCTAGGCTCCGACAAGCTGGGGCTGCATTTCCTGATTGAGCCAAATCTGAAGATTGCCAGGATGCAGAGCGGCGTCAACGGCGCTCAAGACTCGCCCAAGTACCGCCACGTGCCCATGAAGCACGACTGGACTGCCAGCATGTCCATGATGCCCGGCATGCAGGGAGCGGCTCAACCACAACAGCCAACGCAATCCCCCATATACAGCCAACCACCCGTTCCCGGGAGCGGCGTCCCACCACTCGGTCCGTTAAAAAGCCAGGTCCCCTCGCCATCCAGCAGGTCACCTTCCCTCCACAGCCTCGTCCCGAGTAACTGCCCACCAACCTGCCCCCTCGACTCCATCCTCCTCGACTTCCTAGCCGAGCGCCGCCAGCGCGCCGCCGAAGGCCTCTCGCAGTCCGAAATTATCGGCCCTCGCTATCCGTCCGTCTCCTCTCTCCTCAACCCGGCCGTATCCGCGTATTCACACCCCCTCTCCAAAGTCTTCACCGACATCCTGGCCCGCTTCCCTGACCTCTCCAGCCTCCCTGAGCGCGTCGCCGTCCTCTACCTCATGTTCCTCCTCATGCGCTGGCAGGTCGCCCCGACCGAGGAAAACTACCTGCGGTTGCCGGCCTGGTTCCGCCCCGTGCGAAACCAGATAGAAAAGGAACATCCGGCCTGGCTTGACCACCTCCCGTTCCCAAAAATGCGTGAGAAGCTCGTGGCCGAGTACGAGCCCGGCGAGTTCCCCTTTGACAACTTTTTCATTCCCTTCACCACGACGCTGAGCCTCAACTGGCCGTATGAGGACGCCTACGTGCTCCTGGCGAGCCCAACGGGCGAGGAGCTGATGATCAACCCCGTCTTTGAGCAGCATTTGGCCGAGCTGAAAAATTGGACCTTGGGACCGGCGTTTGAGACGGCGTTTCCCCAGTTGACGGGCTGTTATAATTTGAAAATAAGGAGTTGAGGAGGGTATATATACACATACTCGATTGAGAGACCAATGTCCCAAAAGTCAGTTTAGATCTCCCCAGCTTTGGTTCACAGATGTTTTGGGACATACATCTTGGAAACAGACTTTAATATCCCCACCCATGGTCTAGATAGAGACTCTAGGCGTAGCAACACAGCTGTCCATTTCACCCATCAACCCACTTGATTCCGAGCCCCTTTTCTGAATTACGCCCAAAAAGAGTACTTTTTCACACAGGTCCCCTCCCCGACGAACAAGCCCGGGTGCCGATCCCCCGGCAGCGTCGCCCACATCATGCTGCGGACAACCGCCCCGGCCTTGATCGAGTCGACTGCGCCGCCGGGAATCCGTGTCCCGTCCAGCAGCGAGTACAGCCCCACCGTCTCGTCGTCGTGCGCCGCCGCCACGATACCCCGGCTGCCGTACCCCGGCTCCGCCAGCACGTCCAGTCCCGTGTGGATGTGTGCTGCGTTGCGGTACGCGGGGAATTCCACGATCGGCCGGGTGGCGTTGCTCCGCCATGGGTGGTGGGCACCCTCTTGTTTGGTTTGTTGGTAGGTTCGTGATAGGGATGGTGGTGGTGGTGGTGGTGATGCTTGTCGTAGGAAGCGGATATCGTAGATGGCCATGGCGTTGCGCGGGCCCGCGGCGAGAATCTCGTGCGGCCCGACGGATCTGAGGCGGGCCACGCTGCTGATGTGGGTGAAGGTGGTGGATCGGGCGGTCCATTCGCGGACGGGCACCCGCAGGTCTAGGAGGCAGATGTGGCTTGATCGGGTGCCGGCGAGGATCACTTCGGTCGGGTTGTGGTGGGCGAAGTCGACCGAGAGGATGTCGCCTTGCCAGGGGAGTTGGGATGGGCCGGGACGGCCTTGTTTTCGGCGCTGGTTGGGGTGGGAGCGCGGTGGAGGGGATGGGGTGAGCCAGTCTAGCTTGTCGTCTTGGAGTCTGATGATTCCTTGGTCGGTGCCGGCTATGCAGGTCAGTCGTGAGCCTTGCGGGGCTGGTTCGAGCGCGTGGATGGTGCTGGCGGTGCTGGCTCCGAGTGACGAGTCAAACTGCATGTAAGAAGAGCCTTCGCTCAACAGGACACCGGGTTAGCAGTGGTTACAAGTACAGAGTCGGCAGGTCAGACTGGATTCAGAGCCGGTTCAGGAGACATACTGCGGTTCACCAGGAACGCTGGGCTTGGATTATTCGTATCTGACGGCTGTGGAGCATAGCGCTTGATGCCGATGCTTCCGCCGTGCTCCCATGCCAGAAGGAGACTGCAGGAAGTGTCATGGAATTTGAGGGCGGTTACATCCGGAGCCAGAAACCACGTGGCTGGTTCGTAACCCAAGTCGATCCTACGCGCTGTCAGCCGCAGCAGCAGCTAGTGACGGCCCAGCAACAGCCCAGTAGGAGGAGGCGAGACTCACTTGTCGTCTACGTCCCGCGGGACCCACGATCCAGCCACGCAGTCTCCAACGCCGCATGCGAATAGGACGCCCGGCCCAGCCTGCTCGCCGCTGCCCCCTACCCATAAACCTGTAATCATGCCATCATCCACCCACGGCCAGGGGGTCACGGACCCCTTCCCCTTCAACCCGCCAGTCCATGCCCGGACGACCTCTTCTCCCGCCGCAGGCATGGCACCGGCACCCGTTTCCCCGGTCTCCCTCGCCAATAGCCCCCCAAGGGACGGCACACCCCTCACCCGCGCCCTCTTGACCCTCCGCGCGGCGCGCTCCTCCCTCTCTTGTCTCTTCTTCTCCTCCTTCAGCTGCACTGCCCTCCGCTTCACATTCTGCGCCGACCAGGCCGCCTCGGCGGGAGCCGTCCGGCTATCCTCGATGCGGAAGTACTTGCGCTTGGCGCTGTCTGCGGGAATTAGTTGTTAGGTAGCTGGTCAAAGTCAAAAGGAAGGAGAATCTGAATCAAAATTGGGGGGGGCATAGAGATGAATAATCGAAACTGACTGACCGAAGTAAAAGCCCGGTATTTCTCTATTCATGGTCTTCATTCAGGGAGCAGACGACGGTGAGTAGAGACGAATGTAGTATAGCAAAAGCAGATGAAGATAAAGTGTGAAGGTTGACCGTTTGTGAACTGCTCAAGCACAGACGATCAGTGATCAGTCAGTGATCAGTGAATACCTGGTGTGTCGTTACCTGAACGGAGCTGGGCGTGTCAGATGCAGACACCTGGCGCTCGGACGTGACTTCCAAGTTGACCTGGCGGTCGGATAGAACCTAAAGTCCGAGATGTCTCTTGATGATGTCACAGGGAATGGGAAGAAAAGGATCTGAAAGTTGCTTGAAACGACAACAGTCGATGCAGAAGACCTGAAGCAACACGGTGGAAAGTCAGTGCTTTGGTTGGGTTCAAGTAGATCATCTGGTTACATAATACTACAGTAACAAAGAATCACGCGTGGGGCCGTTGCCAGAGCCGTCCTTCTGATGGAGCCGAATTGAATCACTGCACAGGCAGCAATAACCATTTTCGAGCTACCCATGCTGCCAACAATCACATTCATATGCAAGTCATTGAGTTATTTTTACTGTTTATTAGATTGCCTAAAGGAAAATCGGGGTGTATCTAGGCCCCAAGTCCACAGTCCTTAGCCTGTCAGAAAATGAAAAATATCCGCGGCTGTCCATGCCTATCTATCCCCAACGGCCGGGTATTGCTGCCATCTAGGGCAGACCTAACGCGCCCGATCGCCGAGCTGCTTACTGCGACTTCTCGTGCTGGGTCGAGACGCGCTGGAGGGACACGACGAAGTCCTCCAGAGAGCGCTGCTTCTGGCTGCCCTTGGGCGATTTGCCGTGCATGAGGTTGTCGAAGCCGACGCTGTCCTGCAGAATGTAGTAGAGACCACCCATGACGCAGAAAACGCCGAAGGAGAAGATCCAGACACGGACGACAGCGACGATCGACGTCTGCTCGTTGCCCTCGAACCAGCCGAAGATGGTGAAGAGAGTGGCGACGATGTCGACAACCAGCACGGCACCAGCCAGCTGCCACGAGGGGAGCGACGACCAGAAGGGACCATTGGCACTAGAGTCGCACGTATTAGTATAATCTGTATTGAGAATATAGTTACGAGAGAAGGCAAACATACCGAGTGATGAAGATGAGCCAATTTTCAGTGAGCGAAATCTCGAGGAAGACGACCTCATCCATGTTACCGAAGTTTTGGACGATACCGCCGTCCGGCCCGTGCGCGTACATAGTCGTGACAGTAATCCAGGTACCGATGGCAAGGACGATACCAAGCAAGACCGACATACCCCAAAGCTTGGGCAGGTTCCACTTGACGGGCGTCTTGCTGTACGGGGCGTTGTCGTAGGCAATGGCGAGGGTGGCGACATCGGCGAAAATGGCGATGAAGACGACGAGATTGATGTTCAGGCTGCGGTTCAGGATGGCAATCCAGAGACCCAGGTATATCTCGAGGTGGATCGACAGAGCGATACGGTAGACGACGTAGGCGTACATGCGGTGGAAAATCTGGCGCGAAGTCTTGAGGGCATCGATGATGGCACCAAGACCAGGGGCAAGGAAGACGATATCAGCGGCAGAGCGAGCGGCGTCTGAGGCACCCTCGACGGCAATACCGGTATCGGCCTTCTTGAGCGAGGGCGCATCGTTGACACCGTCACCAGTCATGGCAACGAGGTAGCCACGCTGCTGCAAGATCTCGACGACGTTGTACTTGTGCTGGGGGAACACCTCGGCGAAACCATCGGCAGCCTCGACGAAGTCGTACACCTCAGAGCCGGGCATGTCACCGCCGCCACCGAGACCAAGACGTTCAGCGTTGTAGACGTTGGTGCCGAGACCGAGCTGGCGCGAAGTCTCCCTGGCGATACCGACGGCATCACCAGTAAGCATCTTAATAGATAGACCGAGGGATTTGGCCTCGTTGATGGTGCGGGCCGTGTCGTGACGCGGGGGGTCGGAGCAGGGCATGATGCCGAGAATCTCCCATGAGCCCTCACCACGCTTGCGGGCAACACCGAGCGAGCGGAAACCACGAGTGGCGAATTCGGCAACCTTGTTCTTGTAGGCCTGGTCAACTTCCTCGGGAATAGGGTGGTCCTCCTCGACAGTCTTGAGAACGAAGAGAGGGGCACCCTTGACACAGACAATGCGCTCGCCCTGGGGGGACTCGACAACGGCGGTGACTTTCTTGGATACGGGGTCGAAGGGGTGGAACTCGAGGACCTTGTACTTGCTGAGGACACCCTTGGCGCGGGGGTAGTACTTCAGGCTCTTAAGGAAAGCCTTGTCGATGGCATCCATACCCTTCTTCTTGCGCGAGGCTGCCAGGCAGGCGGTAAGCATAAGGTCCTCGGGGTCGACACCAGCGACGGTGTAGGGCTCAGACAGAGAGAGCTTGTTCTTGGTCAGGGTACCGGTCTTGTCAGAGCAGAGAATCTCGACACCAGCCAAAGACTCGATGGCCGAAAGCTTTTGGACGATGGCCTTCTTCTTCGCAAGATAAGCGGCACCGACAGCCATGGTGGTGGTGACGACGGCGGGGAGACCGACGGGCACACCGACGATGGTGATGGCCAGAGTGAACTCGAGGATTGTGACAATTCCGTTCGAGCGGTAGAACGAGGCAACCCAAACAACGAGATTGGTCAGGATGACGAGAACCAGGAGGATGGTGCCAATGCCGTTGAGAACCTCGGTGAAGTGACCAGTGCCAGCGCTAGCGGCGTTGACAAGAGCAGCGGCGCGACCCACGAAGGTGTTGTCACCAGTGGCGGTGACGACCAGGAAGGCCTCACCACGCTTGACAGCCGAAGAGGCGTAGCACTGGTCGCCCTTGTGCTTGTCCACAGCGAGCGACTCGCCAGTGATGGCAGACTGATCAACCTGGAGGAAAGCATCTTCGGTGACGATGCGGCCATCAGCGGGGATGATGGTGCCCTCTTCAACCTGCAGAATATCACCGGGAACGACCTCGGGAGCCTCAACCTCCTTCAGAGTACCGTCACGGAGAACAACAGCCTTCAGAGCGAGAGTCCTGCAACCAGTCAATCATTCACATTTCAATTGAGCTGTATGGAGAAATGTTGGCGTACTTCTTGAGCTCGTCGACGATAGAGCCAGCTTGGTATTCCTGGACGAAACCGACGACGGCGTTGAGCAGCAACAGACCGCAAATGACACCGAAATCGACCCAGTCCTCGAGACCAGCGGCCACTGTAAACCCAGAGCGTTAGCCACAATATTCATTCCAAGCGCACTTGTTCGAGCCGCGACAAAATGAGCGGCCCTGCACCGTGGGCCTCAGCCGCAATTAGGGAGAGGCGGTTGCCTCGCCGCAATGTAGGCCCATGGCGCTTGGCAAGCAGCATGACACGACGGTTCGGAAGGAATACATACAGACAGCAGCAGCCTGTCAATTGTCAATGGTCAGCATAACGTTCCATGCGGGAAGTGGGGATATGTTTCGTTTCAAACGCAGTGCCGGATCACCGCGTTTTGAGAATTTGACGCACCTCCATGACAAACTGGATGGGCCCGACAAAGAAACCCAGAAACTTGAGGATGAGGTTCTCCTTCTCTTCCTTCATCTGATTGAGACCATACTTGCGGCGGCGCTGGAGAACCTCCTCGGATGTGAGACCGTGGCGAGTGTCGGTCTGGAGCATGTCCTCTGGGATAACACGGCCGCCACCCGGCTGGATCTCCTCTTCCTCCTCGAACTAGAAATTCAATTGTCAGCATCAGCTGTGATAGGGAGTAATGTCGAAAATGTGCGATGACACATGTACAATTGGCGACGCATTGCGCAGCAGTGCAAGACCGAACGGCGCCGACGCGCCAGCAGTTCGCGGGGCGAAAGCTGCCAATTCGCATGCAGCCCAATTGATGCCGATGACAGGCGCGACACCACGCACATCGAAGGAGGATTGCGCAGGTAGAGATTAGGGAAACTTACGGCACCATGGCCATCGTTACTCTCGAGATCATCGATGAGGGCGTCAATGTCCTCATCCTCCTCTTCCTCCTCAACGCGCTGCTTGGCGGGCACGTCATGGGCCGCCTTCTCGTCGAAGTTCCCGCTCTCAATGTTAGTCGATAGCGCCGGAGCGCCAGGAGTCGAGTGTTCGGCCATTGGTGCGGTTCGTTGCACAGATAAGCTCTGCGCGGGGCTCAACGGCAGTCGGCGATGGCGAGTCGTGCGCTCAGAATCAGGCGCTTGAAGTATTGAAGATAAGTGAAGAATCGGTGTTATGGTTCGGAGAACGCGGCCAAGCGCGAATTAAGATAAGTCGGTGCTTGTGGGGTGCAGTGGGTGCAGGTGCCTGCGAGCAATTTTTCTTGGTCGATTACTGAGTGGGTCAGGTGCAATTCAATCACACAACACCGTATCGGGTGGGAGAGAGAGGGCGAGGGAAAGGACTGAGCGGAGAGGGCGGACTCGAGGGGAGAAAGCGAGACCTCAGGTCACGTCGAAGGGAGTTTTAAAAGGACCTTCGTGCGTAAAGAGGAAAGGAAAAGAAAAAGACCTCTAGGGGGTGGAAAAGGTGGGTGACGGAGATATATCAACGTTTTTGCGTGACACGCCTCAGCTGCAGATGGAAACCTTACATTGTTCGGCCCATGCCCCGAATGCTCCAACTGGCAGAACCGTGGGGCACCTTATCCTTGCTTCCAGAAACGCTAGGGTTTTATCGTCCACTAACACGCCCAAATAATTGAATTGTACGGATCCGTACGCCAGGACTGAAATCACTCGTGTTCTGTGCTTTCAAGCGACCTTCTTTTCCATATTACGTTAGTACCCTGTGAGGGTGGCCACGGAGAAGCAGGTGGATCTCCATTATCTTGGAAGCAAGGGCAGCCGGTCGCTGGTGTTGCTGATGCGAGTCGCGCAGCTCCAGCCGACAGTGTGCGCTAGTTACCGCACAGTCCGCTACTGTCAGCATAAGCCGCGGGATTTCCACAGTCGGTGCTTGATCGGGCTTTTTTCGCTCTCAATTCGTACTGTGTGCATCCGGAACACCATGACGAGAAAGTACCCCGGCACGCCAGGAGTGAGTGGACCGTGCAAGCGCAAGTCGCAATTCTAGCAAAGTGACCTGGACCGTGCAAGCCGAGCAAGTACTCGAGCCCCACCCTGTGCCTGAATCTGACCGCAAGGGTCTTGGAAAGCGATACCTCGTGATTGCTCCCGCGTAAAGTATATTCCTCCCGCGTAAGTATCGCCCGAGCAACCAGCCTGCGGGATTTTCTGGCGGCGCCTCCGTTGTTCCTGTCGACGCCTGTCCGGTTGCGCCTTCAACCCGCCCATTCGCCCAGGCTGGTTACCGACCTTGGAACATTACGCAGGCGCTTTCGACACTGGACGATGTTGCGGTGTGTGAGGTTGAGTGTGTCCTGGCGTGTTTGATCGCGCAGTTGCTTTGCAAAGCGGTTGAGCTGCGCGAATTGGCCTCGATTGATTCATATCAGTCCAATTGGCACTTCACTGTCACGGAATGGCACCCATCACCATGAGATTTCAGCCTGGCCGACATCGAGCTCTCGTTTGCCCGTTTTGGCGAGGCGTGAAACCTACCAGGCATAGAACGGACAAGCTTTTGGGCGTTTGGCTGTTCGTCATGCAAATCCCAGGTCAGCACACCAAGTAGTTCCATCTCTCTGACCGAGCCAGTGAGAGAATGTTTCATTGCAGCAAGCAATGCCGCTCAACTACGGATAGAGTTTTGGCTGCTGAAGGTCATCATTGCCTAGAATCAATAAAGAAACCCGAGGGACCAAGCCTTCCCTTGACACGGTATTGTACCGCCAGGACGTAGTAAGTTTCGTACCAAACGTTGAATAGGGACGGGAGCGGAGACTCGTCTCGGCAGCGTGTGCCTTGCTCGCTCTCGCCCTTCGTCCTTCGCGGGCGTCCCCGGTTCACGGCTGGTACAGATATCGCTTGAGAGCCAGAGTTAAGGGTCCTCGGCGAGTTTGACCGTGTGGAGCCGGAGGCTCACTCACCCACGGGAGGATGGAGCGGCGAGCCATTTATTTGTCGCTCAATTAGGCACAGAGAATGTATGCGGGTATACCCGAGAAATGGATGCTTAGCCTTGCCAACAAAAGCCAGCTCAGCGCCATGTTTCCCGTCAGCAACCAACCGCAAACAATAGATGGAAAAGCGTGAGTTATACGAACAGCAAATTCGCGCAATTGGCCTGCCTCTCGGCACCTCGTTGTCGGTCTACTCTGGTCCGTCTTTGGTTCATTTCTGAGATGGTGGCGTGATGCGAAGTCAGCAGTCACGATCGGCCGAAGCGGAAGTGCCGAGCGTGGCCATCTTTCCAATACGTCATTCTGCTTTCCCAAAACCAGCAGCCCGAACTGCACCACTACCACACACCTCTCCGTTCGTTGGGAGGAATGGAAGGAAACACCCATCGTGAAACAAGCCGGCTCTCCCGGTGTCATATTCAAACTCTTTTCAGGATTTTGCACCATCATCGCGCTCCTTTGTCTTCGGGAAGACGGCATCCCTGATTTGACAACGAGCGATAGCCTGCCCTCCGTTTCAGCCCCCAGGGCTGCCCAGCCATGCCCCTCCACACCGCAGATGCCCAGATCACTTGACTCGGTTAAAGTTGATCGCGATCGGTGCCGTCCGGCTGTGGCTGCATCCCCGAGTCGTGGCACTGGGCCAAGCAAAACGACAAGGCCGAACGAAAACCGTCTTATATTGCGACAAACCCGCCGAGACTCTAACAAGTAACGAGCCCCTCAGTGAGATACACGACCGGTACTGGTGGCTTGGGGATGTTGCGCGAGCTTCGTCCGCCGTGGAATGCCGATTTGGGGAATTGAAGTTCACCAAGCCCTCTGGCGCCGTCTTGGGTGCGACAACGCCCAGACTTATAGATTTGACTGGCGCGCAGCAAGGCCGCTTGGCACCTTGGATAAGATTGTGATGCGAGCACGACGCGGGCGGCCGGAGTCTGATTGTGAAATGTAACTGGCACGACTCGATCATGCCGTCTCGATCTTGATCACAGCAGTCGCGCACGCGACCAGTTGTGTTCAGACAGGCGGCAGGCCCCTAGGTGCTTCCCCGGTGCCGATACTGAAAGAATGCTTCGCTCTCCAGTGTCTACGGCGATCAAGATGCACCCAAATCTGAGTAAATCGCCAGATCCCGTGTCGTAAGGCGATTATGTCGCATCTCATTCCAAGGCGACAAAATATCCCGCAAATAGCGGTCTACGGAGAGCTTTAGAATCCCTTGCCCGTCTTTTAGCCAACTGAATCCCGTCAATTATCTTCTGGGACCAATAGAAATGCGCAGCTGTTTGCGGCGGCTCTCCTTTTTGCCGCCATTAAAAGCAAGTCCATGTCCTTACAGAATGCTGTTGATTATATGGACGTGAATGCCTTCACATGTAGAATACACAAAGGTTTCGATTTACGCTGGGCATTGACTCGACAAGGATCTATGCTAATGTTATCTGCATCTCAATTCTCTCTGATCCGTACGACCATCCGGTGATGGACGGCAAGCATCGGACGTCAGCTCCCGAAGCGCCGAGTTGCCGGCGGTCGTCAGGTTTCAAACAGATGACAATGTTGTCGCCGAGAGCGCCCCGCCAATCCCGGTGCAGCGTGGGGGCGGGTTCGCCGCTCCTCGCCCGACCGTTGACAATTTCGTCTCGCGGGTGGCGATTGCCGGTAACCCCGAGGTGGCGGAAGCGCACACCTCATCTGGAACCACGTCAAAGTCGGCTGCGACAGCATGGAGAGCATCCCGGCACACCGTATACGTGGGCTTTGGGTAGGCACGACCATCGCCGGCCTCATTGACGAAGGCTTGATGATGGCGACGGCGTGGTTGGCTGATACGTAGCACGGACCAAGGCCAAGATTGCCCTGCCGAGCCTGCTTCAAAGTGCAAAATTGATTTTGAGATCCACCCCGGATGATGCGCGGAGCCAAGTCTGCAGCAAGAACGAAATCACTCCCCACGTGCGGTGGATCCACGACTGCCAAGTTCGAGATGGTGTTCCACGGCCATTTGCTCGGCTGCTCTGCCGCAAAAAGAGGAGTTTCATCAATTTCACAATTTCCCACTCGAAATCTGACCAAGAGCCTCCAGGGCCCGCTTTGCGGGCATCTTCGGATATTGCAAACGTGTCCATCAATCCAGGAGTTACGTGCGTACTGTGTAGGTACGCTAATACAACATCAACAGGAGAAAAAGGTTCCTAGACGGGTGTGATCCGTCACCGCCCTTGTCGGCCGTCACCTTGACAAGAAAACGCCAATTCCCTCACATCACATCGCCAAGATCGGTCCAGAACTTCAAGGCCGGTCTTCCCCGCATTTCTCCATCGGTTCATCAGTCCAGTGCGAGAGCAAACGAAACAGAAAAAAGCCGGGCGAAAGGAGGAAGTGGCCCTTGGTGCTCGCCCGCAGCCCTTGGCGTTGGCGTGGGGTGCATCACCGAAGGCCCAACTTGTGCTAGCCTGGCGAGCGATGGGCGACGACAAAATTGGAACCGACCAAGCTTAAAACGAGCCAGTGGTTGGTGAGCAAAAGCCTTCATAGAACGGGAATCCAATGGTCGATGGAGCCTCCTGCTGCAGGGAGCATCTGTGGAGTGGATCATGAGTTGGGGGTTTGTTTTTGTTTGGTTCCCTTCGACTCCCTCGTCGTCCAGGACTCCTCAAGGCTGCCCAAAGGAGAAAGCTGTCGGGTGACAAGGCCGATGCTGATTCGCTGATCGGTTTCACTTGTGCATCGCCCGTTCGTATGCAGGTACGCGCTCCGTCCGTCTCCTCCCGTTCCCCATCCGCCCACAAGGTCCATTGTGATCTTACGCTGCAGCCTGCGCGACGATATGGAGAGCTAAAGTTGGAGGCTCCACTAGTATTGCGTTTTGTCCCACTCGTCTTCGAGGTCATACTGTAAGTGAGGCATTCCGCTGGGCAAACGACGACCTTTTGGCTGCGGGCCTCGCGACCATCATCTGCCGAGTCATCATTATGAACGCAACAGTTCAGCTGTGCTCGTGACGGTGGATGTCAGTCTCACTCTGCTCATGGCATGCGCACCCTGACTTTTGAGTCCATTGCAGCGCTCTGCTCGGACAACGGCATCGAGGGGATCGACCTTGGCTGGAATACCTGTATTCACCTGGGCAACCTGCTAGTACAGCTTGGCCATGTTGCTCGTCATACCGCGGATGAAACAAACAGCACACTGAGCTTCATGCTCTGCACCCCAATTAGAGGTTTGATGGGAACTCATGAGAGAACTTGGGAGGCAAGGAGCTTACATCTGCGCCTCGCGGTTCTGTGCGCATGAAGCTGTTTTTCCACGTCTCTACCACCGTACCTATCACCTGAACAATCTCCGAGATGCCATACTCTGCAGGAGCCGTATATATTCCCATCCCGGTGAACAGTCTGTGGCTTGTCTGAGGCGGACAAAGATGCCGTACTGTCCACTACGATGCCCGTCCCCCGCAGTGTTGGGATCTCCCAAGCTCTGTCTGGCAGATGCAGGTTGCTCGCAGAAGACCCCCGGGCTTGAACACAGGGTTCAGGTTGTCTCAAACTATAACCTAACTTCGCTTATCGTCCGACAACGGCTTATTATTATCAGCTATTACCGTATCCTTTTTATCCCAACTGACAACGGGACGTAGTGTACTCAAGCCTGCCTAATAACCTGCCAGGATGGATGGGCCCGGCCCGGACAACATACCAATGCGACCAGGCCAGCCCAAGCCAGCCTGGAAAAGCTCCAGATTTGCACGCATAATGCAGTGAAAAGACATGGCAGCCAACGGCCCGATTAAAGAGTGTTTCCGGCTCCGAAGCAGATAATGAACGTACTATTGGGAGAGGGAAGCGTTCTTTTTCCTTCCCTAGTATCGGAGCTATCGCGTGCCGGCTCCTATGCTGTTCCGCCGGTCGTTACTCGTCATTCAACGATGCAGGTAAGGCAACCACAATAAAGCAGTCGGCTGGAGTTGAATTTTGGGGGACGCTATGATCTTGGCCGGTCGCCGTGACCTAGATGTAAGTACGAACCTCCTTCATCAATCGGTAAGGTACCTAAGGTATGCTACAATTATTATACACTGATTCCGATAGGCTTCACAAGCGTGGAGAAGGACAGGGACTTCGTAAATCCGTTATCTGCAGTGCGTCGTTGCCTCAGCAATCGCTTGTCATCATTTTTTGTCAATTCTGAGGGGGAAATGCTCCAATCGTGGAGTCGTTTCCATCTGCGTGCATCACTCATCTCCTTTTTGTGGATTCCATGTCTTTTTGCTAGAAACAAGCGTGGTGAGATACGCACCCTCCAAATCCTCGGCTCTCGGCCTCGCTGCTCCGCTTCGCTTTTGTCGGTTTCGGGGTCTGAAACCGACAATATTTCCTCCTGAGTCTTCCCTACCTAGTTCACGATGTTTTGTGTTATCTCCGGGATTGCGTGACCTGAGGTTATTGCTTCTCGTGGGAGTCGCCTCATCCCTTCAAGGGAGTTGCTTGGTGAGATGGAATTATCCGGATGGAGTAAAATGATATCTGGCTATTGCCTGGCCTGGACAGCTGAAGGCAGGGCTGCACAACCTTTATTCACGCCGGCTATTTGTCTAAAAAGTTTTGTTGTGTAATGAAGCCCCTATTTCGTGTTCCATGCATGTTCCATGCGGGTTCTAGGGGTTCTATGCATAAGAATCGCAACGGGCCATAACCCTGACGGGACTTCTCTCACATGTAGGAGAGACATCAGACGAAGGTGTGAGGCGAGCAACCACCTCAGCCAGCAGTTCTGTCCCAGGAACGAGTCAACACGGCCCAAGGTGCCAAAGAAAAAAAAGATCAGCGACTGCCATGATCCAGTATCACTCCGTCTTAAGTATCATAACACAAAGCGAACAGCGGTGTGAAGAAGAGAAGAGCACTCCTCTAGCAAGCTGGACTCGTTCATCGTCATCTCACTATCTGCCAGCCGCTTCTAAGGTGAGATACCTGTTCCCGCTCCCGACTCCTAAGTGGCAATAAACAGTTTTTTAGAAAAGGATCTCACTCACCCTCTTTTTTCGAAACATAAAGCCATCCCCCGACAGTTTCATACCTGACTCGTGGGGTAGAAGGGTTCTGACCGAAATCCAAGAGTGTCTTGGAATTACCTGTCCCAGTAACCTCATCTTGTACTGCACGAGTCAACAGAGGAGGGTGGGTAAGGATACACGACAGCCTTGAGCTTGACCCTATCTAATGGCCAGCTCGTCAGTGTAAGCTAATGGGAGACGGCCAGGTATTGAGACTCTAGGGTGATCGAATCAAGCAAGAGAATCACGAGCATGGTATACACGGCAGCTTAATACGTGCCCGACGTCGGGTACGGTTGATGTTCCAGTAATTAGCGTGATCCCTCGCTCATAGTCGCACCCTCTGACGGCAACCAAGCTGCCGCGTCCCGTGATCTCCTCTGAAACTAACACTTCTTCCCGTCAGTCCTCATCACATCATGAGACAGGCTGGGAACAGTACACAACCACCCATCCATGTCCAACATCCGAACAGCCTCAGACAAGGAGGTGAAGAGGCCCAAAAGTGAAGCAGCTCCTAGACAGGAAAGTCACTGGTCTCTCTTGTCACGTCCTATGTACACATACATGCACCGATCTTCGAGTTATGTATCCGTCAGGCCTATACCGGCAGTAGGTAAACAATAACGTACACTTACACATGGTGGTCGCAGTATTCTAGCCGAGCCCTTGCTTCAATAGAGTTAATCCTGACACGGGGTTCAATAGGGCGAGAGGGACATCCTCTATACGGTATGAACCCAAGATACCATACGTCTACCTGTATGTGCCGAGTTATTCTAGGCACACACCAACAGCGGCAACCGTGGACGAGACAGCGGAAAGGACCATGAAAGACAAACATCTTGTTCAAACTCCTATATAGGTCTTGTCTCGACAATTGGGCCTGGGGAAGCACATTCCTTCTCAACCATCCAAACCCCCTTCAGCGGTCTCGCCCCGACCATAGGCTACCCCGGAGTGCCCCTAGAGACACATCACCGCTCAATAACCATCCAAGCATACCCAACTCTCTCCCTAGGACACAGTTTCCGTGGGCAACACATCCACTACCTGTGCATGTACCCTTGTGTCCTTACCCCTTAGCTCATCCACATCAGCTACCAATGCGGCTTAACACTCTGCCAGCCAACAGCTTGCTCTTTGTTGCCTACAGTGCGCATCCATACGCTTTGAACTTTCGGAAAGCGTCCCATCCATTGCACAGCCCATGATGAATAATGTACGGACCGCATCCCACCCCTATCCGGCCACTTAGTTGTAGTCGAAAGATGAAGCCAGATAACGAACATCATCCGCATGGAGACAACAGCATGTCACTTACATTAAGGGCAGTTTGTTGTATCAACATCCTATTAGTAGTGAGAAGCAGTCCCCTACCCAGCCTCGGGGACACTGCTCGTGCTGACGATGCTGGTTATGGGAGCCTTGTCATCCTCGTGCCACGCAAAACACTCATTCTTTGTCTCAGCTTCTGGTTACCGCAAATGGATGCCAGTAAAAAATCAGAAACACTCGATGTTATAGGGCCATGACCCATAGCGTTCCAGCCCTCCCTGTCTTACTTGCCAGCTACATATTTGTGGCTGCCTAGACTCCATCCGTCCTACTATTATATACATTTGTATTTCTCTATATCCCACATCACTAGTTTGCTCTATTCCTATATCGCAATACTCAGTCCCGAACCAGACCTACAAACCAGATATGTCAAGGTCCGTTGGTCAGCAGAGAGCGATGAGTATACTAAGTAACATCGTTGTGGACTATTACCATAACAAAAACCTGCTAAACTGACATAGAAGCGACGGTGCGTCTCCAGTGGACGATACACTGACAAGCTCAGCACAGTCAGGTTTGCTACCGGCCATCCCAGGTTGCTTACATCCATGATAACAATCAAATCTCACTTCACCCAGCCTATAACCCCCATGCGAAGAAGCGCAAAACCAATGCATGATCATTATGCGAGCTAGTAGCTTTGAACGAGACCATGGACACCACGGACTCAAGCAACAGGGGTTCACGTAAAAGGCACACAGCCGTTGGGAGAAAAGTAATCAGTCTATAATCGCCCATGCCAAATAATACCGTCCCTCGCACTGACTCGTGTATAAAAGGGGAAGCCTTTCGTTGAGCCTGCTATCCCGCCCGCTGTAGAGTAAAGTCTACCGGAGAATAAAAGCGTTGCGGAAAAGATATCATATCCGATCAGAAAGCCGACCTCCTATCCCTTCCAGAACCGTACTCGCGCCAGAAACGCCGCCGCTTAATGCTTTGCAGTAACCGTCTCGCCGGTCAGCTTCTCAACATACGTCTTTGCCCTGTGGAGTAGTCAGCACCGATTGTTATCCGAGAGTTATCATGAAGCGACGAGATAGACGCACATATCACCCATGGCGACCATGCACACCGTCTGCCAGACACCGAGACCAATACGGGGCGTGACGCCGCGGTACAGACCCTTAAGGCCGTTGGTTTGGTAGATATACTTGAAGGTGTTGCCGACCGTCATCTTCTTGGGCCGGTTAGGGTCGTCCTTCTTGCTTTGCATCTCGACGCGGATAACCTCGATCGGCTGGTTCCAGGCCGAGAGACCACCACCGAGGGCTGAGGCGAGAATCTTCTCAGCGGCGCTCAGTTTCTCGCCGTGCTCCTTGTGGGTGACCTTGCGGATGCCCTGCTCGGCGAGCCGGCTCAGGCCGAAGCGCGAGCCCCAGTTGGTCATCTGGCGGATGGCGACGGCGTTGACGCCCTTGTTGATGCCGCGGATGCCCTCGCGACGGTAGATGTCCATGAAGGTGGCCCAGGTTCCCGGGGGCTTCGCACCCGAGGCCGCCACCTTGTGTTTGGTGATCTCGACCGTCTTCATGCAGGTGCAGAAGCCCATGGTCGCGTACGCCTGAGCAACACCACCCGTCACGCCGCCGATGATGCCGCCGCCAAACTCGCTGGCGCCCGCAGCGCGGGCGTAGTACTCGGCCTCAGAGGCGACAAAGAGCAGCACAGCACCCTTAGTCGACGCTTCGATCCAGGCCCAGGGAATCAGGCCCTGGTAGACTATTGGGTTGAGGGAAGATTAGCGGTCACTACACCGGCACAGTTGTGAGGGCATGTGAAGACGGAGCTACGGAAACCTACAGCCGAGAACACCACCGCGGTTCCAGATGCGGCCCAGCGCTGTCGTGAAGCCGTCCCCGCGGTGAGCGGCCATGGTGGTCTTGATGACCTCGAGGGGCTGACCGAGGGTGGTGACCTCAAACATGTTGAGCCCGGCGCCCAACAGCAGGTTGGAGAACTTGATGGGCTTCTTCTCCAGCTTGGGCGGCTGGGAAGCCGGGGCGGGGGCGACAGCGGCGGACATGACTTGGGCGAATGTTGCGACAATGGGGCCCTGACCAAGGGAAGAGGGTGCTTCTTCGCAGGTGAGCGGGAATGAGAACGTGAGGGTGGGCGGTGCAATAAACGCGGAGCTAGACGGACGAGCGTTTGTCTGTTGGACGAGTCTTGCCCGAGATGCGAGGATCAGATGGCTCGGGGGCTACGGACGGAGGACGCGCGTGTCTCAAAATAGCCGTAAGCTGGTGAGACGGGCTACGGGTGTGGTCGTGTCTTGTCGTACGAGACGGTTCCTTGTAGCGGTTGAGGAGTCGGCTGAAGAAGGAACTCTAAATTCGCACGTGTTACCGACGGGACTCCAAAGAGGAGCCGCTGCGGACGAGCTTGTTCTATCTACCCGCGGCAATCTGGCAAATGCGACAACGCAGGGTCCACACTTACACTGGGAGATGCTGCGCAATGCGGAACGCGTGCAATCGATGTTGATTTGGACAGCAGATGTTGACGACGGTTGCAAATGAGATGGGGGACTCTCGGGAATCGCGTAGGATACACTGTCGAGCGCTGGCAACCTACAAAAAAAAGGCTGATCTTTTGCACGGGCGGTTCTTGCCCTTTCAAAAGGCCCCTGTGCAACTGTGCAGGGGCAGCAGCAGCAGCAGCCAGCCTCAACAGACGCGCCAATTGGCTGCTTGGCCCCCTGCACCTCTCAACGCCCTTCCTCGGCAGCTCAACGCAATCCGCTTGGGGTTTGGACGATCCTCGCAGCGGGCCGGGGGTTTGGGGTAACATTTTGAAGTTCCAGTACGGATGTACAGTAGCTTGGACTCCAATACTCGAGTTGCGGACATTCAAGTCCGCTGCACCGCATTATGCTTAAATGTTCCAATTCATTCAGCGATTGATCAACCAGAGAAGAGGCGGGAGTGGTTCCGGTGATTCGACAGGCTCACCTCAGGTCGTGTCGGATACGGCTTGCCCAGCCACCATTTCTCTCACCTGCGCAATGCTCGCAAGAAAAGAGTCCGAAGTCGCAGCCCAGCCGCAAATGGAACCTCCACTCAGCTCTGCATCTGCAGAGCCTGCATCTTCTGGCCTTGCCACACACATCGCCGTTGCCATCGCAAAGTATGCCAAAGACCTTTTTATTGCCCGAGGGCCCGGAGTACGGAATCTGTATCGTACAATCACAATGCATCCGCCCAGTCTACCTCCGTGCCCGGGCAGCAGAAACCGCTCGACGTCCCATCCATTCTATACATGAAATAACCGTAAAACGAACCCTGCGCGCCGTGCCCAGCAACCTAACCCGATGTGCGCCACGCGCGTATATTACAGCCTCTTACAGCTTCTGGGCGATTTCGATCCACTTCTCGGTCGAGAAACTCTTGGGCCTGTACAGATTGGTGTCAGTAAAACCGTTCCGTTCAGCGTTGTGTTGTTTAGTATGCGGGACTGCTTACCGCTCAATCGGGGCGCCGACCGCACGGTCAATGATGATCTGAGGCAGCACACCAATGGCACGCGAGACACCGAAGAGGACGGTGTAGTAGTTGGCCTCAGTCAGGCCATAGTACTGGAGAAGAACACCGGAGTGGGCATCGACGTTGGGGTAGGGGTTCTTGGTCTTGCCGTGCTCGGTGAGGACCTTGGGGGCGATTTTATAGACCTGGCTGACGAGCTTGAACATGGGGTCCTCGGGCATCTTCTCTGCAAAGGGGGTCAGCAAAAGTGTTCGGCAGGAGATCATGTACACCGTTGACACCTACCCTGGGCGAACTTGCGCTGAGCCATGTAGCGGGGGTCGGTCTTGCGTAGGACAGCGTGGCCGTAGCCAGGGACGACACGGCCGGCGTTGAGGGTGTCCCAGAGGTATTTGGTGATGGCCTCGTCGCTCAGGTCGTCACCAATGACCTTCTTCATCTCGGTGAGCCAGTTGAGCACCTCCTGGTTGGCCAGACCGTGCAGAGGGCCAGCGAGACCGTTGAGACCAGCAGCCAGAGACAGAAAGGGCGAGCTGAGGGCGCTGCCGACCAAGTGGGTGGTGTGGGCGCTGACGTTGCCGCCCTCGTGGTCGGTGTGAATGGTCAGGTAAAGACGCATGAGCTCAACAAAGTCGGCATTATTGCCGAAGCCGAGCTGGTTGGCGAAGTTGTAGGCGTAGTCCTTGTCCTTCTCGGCAGGGACGACCTTGCCGCCCTTGAAGACGTTCTGGTAGATGCGAGCAGCAATGGTGGGGAGCTTGGCGATGAGGTCCATTGAGTCCTCAAAGGTATAGCCCCAGTAGTCCCTCTTGTGAACACCCTTGGCATAGGCACGGGCGAAGGATGAGGTCCGCTCAAGAGCGGTGACGGCCATGGAGAACTGCGCCATGGGGTGGAGGTCCGAGGGGCAGGCGTCAATGATATCCTCAACGAACTTGGGGATCTCGGCGCGAGCGGCCCAGTCGGCAGAGAGTTCGCGGACCTGCTGCTCCGTGGGGACCTCGCCGGTCAGGAGAAGCCAGAAGAGACCTTCGGGCAGAGGCTCCTTGCCGCCGGGGGCCTTAGGCAGCAGCTCCTGGCACTCGGGAATCGTCTTGCCACGGAAGCGAATGCCCTCCTCAGCGTCGAGAACAGAGCCTTCCCACACCAGGCACTTGATGCCACGAGCACCGCCATATACTTGGTCGAGGGTGACCTTATCGACGACCTTGGATCCGTGCTCCCTGGTTTAGTGACGTCGCGTAAGCGAGCAGTTCGATCGGCGTAATCTAGTTCCTCAACGAGAGTATAACGTACTTCCTCAACGCCTTGATCTGCTCAATCTTCTCGGGCAGAAGCTCGGCGAAGCGCTCCTTCAGGGTCTGCAGCCAAATTGCGCGGTCAATGGATGATGTCAGGCTGCAGCGGGAGAGAGGAATTGTATTGTACCTGGCTCTTGGAGGAGTAGCACCTGGCGGCCGTGAAGGCAGCGTTCCTGTAGACGAGCGAGGGTGCCCTCAACGAGGTTCTGAGGGTGGAAGTAGCTAGACGCATAGCGGGAGCCATGATTGGTATCTGCTGTGTGGATTGGAAGTTTGGGAGGAGATGAGGAAGGACAACGGGAAGGGAGAGAAAAGTTTGGGCGATCAAAGAACGGCCAAGCTCGAAAAAAAAAACCGCAGCAGGGGTATTGGCGGCGCCCCGGACACATGGGAACGGCACCTGCGCTGCAGCAGCCGGCCAACCGGGGCTTCGGACAAACGGTCCTCCCCAAAGCATGCAAGACACTGTCCCTTATTGCTTGCTAGGTAAGTATCCGTACGCAATCGGAACCCCCAAACCTTAGGTCTTAGACACTGCGCATTTGATCTGTCTGTTCTGACGGGATCTATCTGTCTAGACGACGCTGTACTGAGCCTTGGTCCAAGGATTCAAGCCGCTTATTACGACGTATACCGCACGCAGTATTGAGATGCTACCTAGTCTTGCAATATTCGATAGCTTTCCGTAGCTTTACTAACGTTGTACTTAAGTTATCCCCAGAGCACCCATGTTTCTCGGGTGCTGGGCTAAGTTAGTTGTAGGCATTGACGTCACGGTGCTTGTGCCGAACTGGTCCGAGGAAGAAGGTGAAAAGAATAAGCTCGTAATGCAGGCAACCAGCGATCTGTACTGATGGCTCATATAATGCGGCACCGAGTACCATATGCGATGACGAGGACGGAGACCCAGTTCGTGTCCGCTTTCTGTAGCTGTCCCCTGCGTCGCGAAGATGCGAAAATTGTTTGGGCTTGTTTGCTCATCGCGGTTTTGATGTGAGCATGCAGCAATGAGAATGCACTAACCAGCTGGCAAGATTTCCTCGGCCAGCTGTCCTCGTCAGACCCTGATTACCTAATGCTTGCTCAGGGAAGTGGGCCATTATTAGGAAGAACTTGCTCGGCTGAGGCGCCTTGCGCCCCGCTCCATCTCCATCTCGCACGCGAACAAAAAATCAAGCCTACTCTACAATTCCCATCGATTTTATCAGGACACGCTATCCCCGAGCCCTCCTCCCCATCAATTCTAAATCCCAGGATCCCCAGTACACACAGGCTCTCTTGCGGTGAAACGCTCGCTTTTGCCGAGTAGCAGGTCTTAGGTTTGGCAGAGTCTGTTGATTCCGTCGCGGTTCCGACAAGCGCTGCGATTTTGGCGCCAATCCGTTCCAGCGCCTCCTTCGCACTCCCTCCATCACTGCGACTGAAGACGAAAAGAGAGGCATCCGCCCGGCTGATATCTCCATCGTCTACTCGCGCTCATCTCGTCTCGTAATCTTGCTTAGACGAAGCTCGGAGCTGCTCTCTCGAGATACCTTACTGGAGATTTGTGTGTCTGGAGCATGGCATAGACCCTTCTGCCTGACAGTTTGTCACGTCTCGTATCGCGAAAGACAGGAATTGACGGCCTCTGAATCGGCCATCACCTGCCTACATTCACCATGGCATCGTCCGCCGTAGCGGAGCTGGAGGCTAGCCTGCAGGCTATGCTGTCGCTGAAGCCTCCCGGAGTGTCGGGCTCTCGGATCACGAATATCACGGCGCTATGTGTTGCCAGCGTTCAGGTAAGCAACGGCACGCCCAGTTGGACGGCCTGTCTGGCTGAATGCTGATACTGGCTCGCGCCCTTCTCAACAGTACGAGTCCGTCCTCATCCAGAAGCTCTTCACCCACTTCAAGAAAGCCCCGGGAACACACAAACTGGGAGTACTCTACGTCGTAGACTCTGTAACGAGGAAATGGTTGGACCAGGCCAAAGCCCAAGGACAGACCCCGAGCCTCTCGGCGCCAGACGGGACATTCGCTGCAGGCGTGCATAGAGTAACAGAACTGATTCCCATCTTGATGAACGACATCATCGCCACGGCACCAGAAGACCAAAAGGTACGCAGAGAACATTGTGTTGAAATGCCACCTGATTCCTATGGATATACCCGCAGCATGTGGGGCGAGCCTGCGGACGACGACGCGCTGGCTTGCCAACGGCGGCCAGATGTTGTATTGCCACATACATCAAGCAAGGCAATGGAAGCCAAAGCTTCGCCAGGCAGCCTCGCTCTCGTCGTTTCTGCGTACTCCGTACTTTTTTCCTTGATGACGAATAGACACTCACCAGGATGCTTGCTCGTAGGAGAAGATAAAGAAGCTGGTCGATATCTGGGAGAAGGGCCAGACATTCCCTGCTTCCATGGTCAACTCGTTCAAGGAGAAGTTGAATGGTCCGCGACCCACAAGTAGGTTCATCCTGACATTGCCCTCACCGCAGACTGCCCGGCGCCTGCCTCAACGCGTCAAACTGGTCTAACCGTATCATTCTTGTCGGCAGATGAGTCGACAACACCGCCTGGCAGCCCTCCTCCCAACCTCTTAACCTCGCTGGGTCCCGCTAGCAAGCCATCATCAGCAACACCGGCAGACACCGCAATCCCCAGTATCTTGGACAAGCTTGCGAGTATTGCCCGGCAGAATGCGTCGTCTGCGCAGATAAATCCGAGCCTGGCAGCCCCTGCTCCGGCATCTGCTCCGGCCACTGCACCCATGTTCAGTGCAACATCTGGTGGTCTGCCCAGCAGTGGCGCACTGCATCCTGCTCCGGTGCCCACGCAAGGACAGCCAAGCATGCCCTTCATGCCTACGTCTCAGCCTGCTCAGCCTGTAAATGTACCAGGACTGCCCTTTGCGTTCCCTCTGCCGGTGCCGCCGCCTGCACAGGCACCGCTCCCGGCGGCTCCGCTTGTTCCCGGTGCCGTCCCGCCACCGCCAAATGGCGCAAGTAATCCGGCTGCTGCGACGGTTCAGCTCGTTGCAGCCCTGGCGGCTCAGGGCATTCCCATTGACAAAATTGCGAGCGTAGTCCAGATGATGGGTCAAACCGGCGGCATCCCCCCGGCTGTTCCGCCGCCTATGCCCCAGCCCACTCAGACCGGGTACGCAGCTGCTCCTCCACTAGGCGGTGCTGGCCCTGGTCCTGCGCCATGGGACGCTCCCCGGCCTGATGATGCACGTGATCGCCCTGGCTATCATGACGGCAAGAGGTCACCCAACAGGCCCCGTGGCCGATCAAGATCTCGGTCTCCGCCCCATTGGGATGCTAGGGGCTCGCGTGCGAATGACCGTGGCTTCGAGTACGGTCGCCCTGGGTCGCCGGGCCGTGGTCGTCCGGATGACAGGGACCGGCGCGGACACATGCCTGAATATCGCCAGCGGTCCCCTCGCGGGCGGCGGAGTGACAGCCCAAGACGAGAGCCGGTTCAGAAAGAGAAATGGGTCGAGTACGACAATAGCCTGCCCAGCGGCACCATCAAGGTGTATAGCCGGACCCTTTTTGTAGGCGGTGTAACGTGAGTGTTCCTGAAGTCCTGTTGCTGCAACCTTGCGTCTTACATCGGAGAGAGACACGGACGACTAATTGACCATTTGCAGCTGCTCCGAAAACGAACTTCGCGAAATTTTCAACCAGTTTGGTCAGGTCCAAACCTGCATCGTCAACAAGGATAAGCGGCATGCCTTTGTGAAGATGTACTACCGCAAGGACGCCGAGAGGGCCAAGACGGCCATGGAGGAGATGCGCAACCAAGACTTCCAGCTTCGGGTAAGACCCCTTGCCTCTTTCCCCTACTACTGCTCTCCACATTCGAGAAACAAAAGCCTAACCAGACGTCTTCAATATTTAGACCCGCTGGGGCGTAGGCTTCGGCCCGCGCGACTGCAGCGACTACCAAAGCGGCATCAGCGTCATCCCCATCCACAAGCTCACCGAGGCAGACCGCAAGTGGATGCTGACGGCTCCCTACGGCGGCTCCGGCGGCCGCCCCATCGTCAGCGGCCTGTGCGTTGAGGAGCCAGACATCGAGATTGGCGCCGGCGTCTCGTCCAAGGCCATCAGCCGCCGCATGCAGACCGACAAGGGCGGCAACCACGGGCCGAAATCCTCTAGGCGAGGCGACGACGAGTCTCCTCCTACTGTTGGTGGTGGTGGTGGTTATGGTTATGGACATCCGGGCGGTAGTGGTGGTAGTGGCGGTCCCCCTCCTCCCGGTGGTCCACCGGGGGGAAGGTGGCGGCACAAGGGGGACAAGCAACATCACCACGGCGGCGGGCGTGATCAGCGAAGGGATGATCACCGCGCCGGCGGCGGCGCTGGCAGCGACGAGCCGATCGTCATGGACTTGCCTGCTGGTATCACCCTGGGCCCGAACGGGATTACTTACCCTCCCAACTTTTCGTTTGGCGCGGCCGCATCGAATCCCTAGGCTGTTAAGGCGCTATGTGCGTAGGGGTAATGGATAGATACCGGGCGGCTGACCCTTCGTTCGCCGAGGTCAGGAAGGTGGATAGATGACTTAGGATGTGACTTAGGCTTGGGAGGAAGGCTAGTAATGGTGGGGAAGTTGGTTGCAATGGTAGTGATATGCCGGGTGACACCGTCTATGGGGCGTGGGGAGCGGTGGCTTTTGGTGGGGTGGTTTGATCATGGCGTCGGGGGTCAAGGGGTCAAGGGGGATTGCTTTTCGCCATTGGGACTTCATAGGCATCGCCATACTGATAAGGGAGGCCTGGATTACGCCTGGTTACAACTATGCTCTCCTTTCAGGTCCGCTCTTGCCGCTGTGCCGTCATCTTCTGCGTGTATACACTTTATTTTTAAGCTGGCCATATCGCTCCTTGTTCTGAAAAAATTACCTGGAGGAGAGGCTGCTTGACGCGGTTTCCCTAGTTCGCTCCGAATAGACAATGCCTGTTCAGAGGGGATTGCACGAGTTATAGAGATCCTCATCTGAAACAATTATGAAGCGTGAGCTCAATAGGGTGAATTAGAACTCTTCTACTGAATATCTGTCGCTGGTATATAAGGCCCTCGAAGTCCTCCTTGCATATATATATACCATCCATCCTTAGCAAAGATGAAGCTCGGCTGAACCTGTTTAAAAGCTGTACGATATCAGCTACGCTCACCTCTATCATAAACAGGGCGGTGACTGTAGTGTTACAGGATTCGCCGTTCCTGTTATCTTGTTCTCATGGTCATGCCATATGCCTGTAGTCATGCATACGTCATGAGTCTGATCGTATATCTGTGGTCATGCATACACATAGGTCTCTGCTCCAGTACTTAATGTCTGATTGTACGCCCATTCCTGTCATCTAGCTCTTACTCTCTTCATAGCAATCTCGATCTTGTATGCGAGCTGACTAGACCTTGGGTGGTGCCGTCACATGTAGCCCATATCCTAAATATTAGTCTCTCGGCACTCGAGTATTAAACTACTATGTAGCTTTTGTTCCCTTTAGCTTTTGCATGCTCCTAAGCTAGAAAATGCCTTCAGCTCTCTCTGCTTAGAGGAGGAGCACATTATGCTAAGTGAAATAAGATATATTATATAATTGAGGTGGCTCAAGGAACGAGACGGCCGGACAGCAACGAGGCCCGCAGATGACCTTGACCACCAGCATGAGACTCTGTTTCAAGACAAAACCCTAAGGAGACACGACGGCCTCAGCAGAGCGAAGAGTTCACTGTTGCTCCAGATTCGAACCGGGGCCATAGGCCTTCGGGCTTTCTTATTCGAAAGGAGAGTCCCAGAGGTTCCGACGCCTATATGCGAGTGTGGAGAGGGGCGAGAGACTGTCGAACATCTTGTGATGTGGTGCTTGGCCCCACCGTTGACTCGAAGATGGGAGAGAGCCGAGGTTAGAACGCGAAGGGACTTTTATTCTGTTCTACAGGGAATCAGTCCCAAAGCTGCACGGCTAACGGGGAGGATCCTGGACTGGCTGATGGACTGGGGGAAACTGCCAATGTACAGTCTGGCTAGGAGGCTGGAGCTGGAGCTCGCGGTCTGATATCCCTTTCCCTCAAATGCCAAGAGGCCTTCTCACTTTGTATTTGCAGGATCACACACTCATCGTTTCCTTGATTGTCGATATGGGTTTTTCACCCGGCCTACGAGGGCGCGGTTTTCCTGTATAGTAAGTTGTTGAAGGTCCGGCACGCCCTAGGGCACAACGGTCTAGGAATAATAATATTATATAATTTAGAGACCACTAGCCAAAACTTGACAAAAGAGCACTAAGATGACATGACGGCCTTATGAAGGCCGAGAGCTCTCTATCAACCTAGGCCCGAACTGGAGCTATTGGCCTCAAAAGACTTTCTCTTCCGGGCCAGGATCTCCCGAATACCTACCCCCTACTGCGAACGCGGCCGAGGCAGGGAAACAGTGGAACACTTAGCTGTTGTTGGAAAGCCAACAGCCACGATTCCACGGTGATCACACAGATGATGGGAGCTTACAACAGTGGGTTT